TTCAGGATCTGTCTCTTCTCTATCAGCTGTTCAGTCGAGTGCGAGGTGGTGTTCAGGTCCTCCTGCAACACTGGATAGAGTACATAAAGGTACGACTGCAGTTATAGTTATAAAGGTCTTAATATTATGTGCAACAAAGACGCTGAGCTGTTGTTGGTAACCGTTCTCCATTGTTTCCCGGTGTCTTGGAAATCCACTTTCTAGGCTTTTGGAAGCACAATAGTAATCAATCCTGAAAAAGACAAAACAATGGTGCAAGAGTTACTGGACTTCAAAGACAAGGTGGATCACGTCATCGACATCTGCTTCATGAAAAACGAGAAGTTCGTCAACGCTATGAAGGAGGCTTTTGAAACGTTCATCAACAAACGGCCAAATAAACCTGCAGAGCTCATAGGTCAGTAACTAAGCATTTTCCCCATTCTTAACTGCTGCACCGTCACTAACTAAGCATACAGTCGTGCTCTTCACGAAATAACATGTACTATAAATATGCTTGTCAGCAAAACACGTGGATTCAAAGCTAAGGGCAGGAAACAAAGAGGCAACCGATGAAGAACTGGAGAAGATGCTGGATAAGATCATGATTATCTTTAGATTCATCTATGGTAATATTTACTATCACATTGGTTTCAGTTCAGGATTTGTCTCCCCTCTGTGTGTTGTCCTGAATGTAATAATAAGTGTCATTACAGGAAAAGATGTTTTTGAGGCCTTTTACAAAAAGGATCTGGCCAAGAGGTTGCTAGTTGGAAAAAGTGCCTCTGTGGATGCTGAGAAATCGATGTTGTCGAAGCTGAAACATGGTCAGTCACTTCTTAATACACTCAAGGCAAAATAAATTGCAGGAAGGGAATCTTGACCTTGAATGCACATTTGACTTGTGACCTTTTTGGTGTTTGCACAGAATGTGGAGCAGCATTCACCAGCAAACTGGAGGGGATGTTCAAGGATATGGAGCTCTCTAAAGACATCATGGTGCAGTTCAAACAGGTGAGAACCCCAACAGTGATTTCAGTCAGTGTGAGTTTTACACTTTACTCTTATGATAGTGAGATTATGTATAGGGCAGTTTTCACACAGACATTAGCATGCTTTGGGCAATTGGGTACTTGCTATTAGAGCTCCAATTTAACTTTATTTTCATTACCCACATAATCTGCTGGTTCTTTTCTTCATTTAATAGCTTAAACGTTGCACCTGTATGTATTTCAGAAAATGTTGGAAAATTGTGGGGTGGGGGTTGTTAGCGGGATATATTATTATTAGTTATACTTTTCTTTCAGTTCTCTTTCCCCCTCCAACACACACACACACACACACACCCACCTCTGGTCTCTTACTGCAAACTCACCGGCTTGCCCCACCTCTTTCTGTTTCTCACTCCCTGTATGTGTCTGCTCTGCTGATTTTTCTCCATCAACAGTACAGTTTATAAAATCGCAGAAAAGACACAGAACTCATCTTTTGGATTTTTCCACTCGCTAGTGACATACCCTATGGAAACGATCAAAACCAACGTGGTACCGAAAGACATGCACTAGTGTGCTCACTGTTCACTGGTGCTTTACCTAGTCCATGCATGTAAAATGTCCACCGCATCAGCGTCTACCCAGCGTACCAGATAACAAATTGGGTTGCCAAATATATCTGGGCGGCCCACCCAAGTAAAGTCTATATGTGGGGAAACACTACAATTAATCAGTCAATGGTGTTTCAGCTCTTCCTCTAAGCTCCTGGTAGATTACTGTAACAGGAATAGCATGTTTCTCCTGATTGACTTGCATTCGTCTCAGCAAAAGATAAAGTGATTGTCAGCTTGATAAGTTTCCAGCGTTTTAAATTCCTTTCTCAAGTTATTGTAATCAACTGTGTAGTATTTTGGAATCCAGTAAGCCTTCAAACGCATGGATTTGTTATTCAGACTGGGCGTCGTGGCTCATATTTCATCATCCTGCTGGCACCTGAAAAGGCATGCCCTCACCACCACCAGTGTGGTGTGCAGGTGGATATCACGTCTCATTTTGTGTTTCTGTAGTATATGCAGTGCCAGAACATTCCTGGCAACATAGAGCTGACGGTGAACATCCTCACGATGGGTTACTGGCCGACCTATGTCCCGATGGAAGTGCATCTGCCTCCAGAGGTTAGTGTTGAGCAGATGTTGAAATTTTCAGAATTTGCTGTTTTTTTTTAACCTTCCGTGCAGTAAGTGTGTTGCTTTGAAACACCTCTTATCTTTTTCTAGATGGTGCGACTGCAAGAGATCTTTAAGACATTCTACCTGGGCAAACACAGTGGCAGGAAGCTGCAGTGGCAATCAACACTTGGCCATTGTGTCTTAAAAGCTGAATTTAAAGAGGTAGAGAACACATTTCTAACAGTACTCAGGTGTGTTTTGCTCACTCTATAAATTAGCTAAATGTGAATTGATCTCTTTGATTTCTCTTACAAAAGGGCCGGAAGGAGCTGCAGGTGTCACTTTTCCAAACACTTGTGTTACTGATGTTTAACGAAGGAGAGGAGTTCACCCTGGAGGAGATTAAACTGGCAACAGGAATAGGTCTGTATGATCACATCAAAATTTGGTTGGCAGCACTTTGATGAAGAAACAAGGATTGTCAAGTACTCATTATGCAGCACAGCTGATCTAAAACAATGCTTGCGTGTCTGTTGGTTGACAGAGGACAGTGAACTGCGTCGTACACTGCAGTCACTTGCTTGTGGGAAAGCACGTGTCCTCACCAAAATCCCAAAAAGCAAAGACGTGGAGGATGGGGACAAGTTTTCTTGCAATGACGAATTCAAACACAAACTCTTCAGGATCAAAATAAACCAGATCCAGATGAAAGAAACGGTATTAGTATTATCTTGCAGTAGTCTCCTCACTTCAAGGCCTTCAAGGTGTTGGTGAATTATTTTAACTAATTCTTTTCTCCCAGGTGGAGGAACAAGCCAGCACCACAGAAAGGGTCTTTCAGGATCGTCAGTATCAGATTGATGCCGCCATCGTGCGGATTATGAAGATGAGGAAGACTCTGAGCCATAATCTTCTGATGTCTGAGGTGTACAACCAGCTCAAGTTCCCTGTCAAGGTGATTAGCAAGGCACTGAATTGCTGTATTAACATGATTTATATAGGGCATGAGTGTTAAATTGTCTATTACTGTTTCACCCTCAAAATCTGTCCATCCATTTTCTGTTGTCCATTGTCCCTGTGCAGAGTCACAGTAGTTGTTTTGTTATTGTTCATTTAAAACTGTTTATTTAAAACTGCTTCGGTTTCAAAATTCATGAATTTTCATTATGTATCAGATTTATTTGTATACCATATTAATTGGAGAAGAGAGTATTATTGCCCATCAGCTACTGGATTTCTTAGGGCAATATTGATCGTGGGTGTGTGTATTTAGATACTAAAAGAATATGCACTCTGACATATCTTTGAATAATGCGGCTTATATAAATCAGCTTTTCGCTGTGATTACCTCACACCTCAAAGTTTAAAAATATCCAGAAATGCTTGCATGTGCCTCGTGTGTTAACCTCTGCCATCTTCCCTTTCAGCCTGCTGACTTGAAGAAAAGGATAGAGTCTCTTATTGACAGGGACTATATGGAGCGTGACAAGGAGAACCCCAACCAGTACAACTATGTGGCTTAGAGAAGGAAAAAAGTGACAGAGGAAAAAGAGATGCAGGTGGTCCAGTCAGGCTGAGGTGATTCTCTAAATCTTTTGCTCCAGTGGACGTTAACATTATCATCTTCAACCCAGCGACCGACAAGTGAATGGATACAGCTCCACAGGATTTTTGTCAGGGGTCTTGTGATCCTGTGGACTGCATGCCCATTGAAAAGAGAATATTGTCCATGTTTCTCAGTGCCTCTGAGAGAGTTGAGCTACTGTGGACAGACAAAGAAGACACACAAATGTTGTTCCGTTTGCTCTTTTTTTAAATGGAGAGGAAAAATATTTATTTTCAAACTTAGATTCTTCTTTGTTCATAGTTTGATTCAATATGTTGTTTATTATCAAGTCACTTTTTTCTGTGTTCACTCAGTATCCCAAGCAAATGCTGACACTTAACAATGCTCTAAATGTATCACGTGTTAAAGAGAAAAAAAGGATCCAAAAAATTAAATTGATGCTTGTTTCTTCAGTCAATGTCAAATGTGGGACTATTGGACTTACATTTACACTAGGGAACTGACAAGTTGGGGAATATCTGTGTTATCCTGCAGCAGAGTTTTAAATTTTTTAAGGCCATGTAGCCCTCTGATAAAGCTGTGATCATGAACACACAAAGAGTTCAAAGCAGAGTTTGTGCCAAAAAAAGGAGCACTTCTTTTGTTATAGGGTGTATTCAAGCTGCTAAAACAGTTCAGTTGTACAAGTATATGCATTTAAGTTTTTTTCGTTTGTTCTGTCTATGTTTTTGTACATACTTCACAAAAGTGGCATTTTAAATGATCTCATCTGACAGTCAACTGCTTTTTAGGTTGGGTTTTTTTTTTTTGTTAACCCTTAGTAAGTATACTAAAAGCACAACATCAGAGCCCCATCTTCCCCAGTATCATAGCCCATACATACACTATATTTTTTTTGTATGTCTACCTGTGGGGCTTGCAGGCCTTGCTGAAAAGTGGGGGGAATGGGAGTGGATTGCCTCATCATGAGGAAATATATGATTAGACATGCCATTGTTTGTATGAGTCTGTTAGATTTATTGCTTCAGATTAAAATAACTGTTTCAATCGGGTTTTCATTTTATTAATGATTGATTCCCAGAGACATTTCACTGTCTTGTATGAAAACAGCCAATTAGGAAGCATTTTTGTCTGAAGCCAGTAAGTTAAACATTCACTTTCTCTGCGAGCCTTGAAAATGCATACAGTACAATAGCTAACTCAATATAAGGAGGAGAAAGATTTAAAAGCTAGACTGTTGGTCCACACCTCTTCTTGTTTGACACACTGGTCCCTGTCATATGACTTCCGATTTCCTGGTACAGTCGGCGGCGGTAGAGCTACATCCCAAACAGCTGACTGAGCGTCCCTATCGAGGTGTTTCATCTTCTCTTCGGTGGCTGATACTCCAAACTACTGGGCGATCATGAACCGACACGCTGCATTTGTTTTACTCCTCGCCTTTGGAATCGGTATGTATCATCAGCGTAGTTAGTCTTTAAATCGACTGCAGAAACAGAAAATAAATGATATGTGATTCTGCGAAGAGACGTGATTAAACTTGTGGGACACTCTGGGCCTGGTGCTTCTGGTCTCAGGCTAAACGCCGCCCAGGAAAACATATTGAAGTGAAACTTCGTCGTTTTAAATTGTATTTAATTTGTAGACAAAAGGGTGAATTGACAGCACAGGCCTTAAAACGAAACCACTATCGCCTGTTAATTCGCGGAGCAGTCTATAGTCGTGATGTTTAGCTAATTAATTTAGCATGAGTGCTAATTGTTACCTACGTCAGACTGGAACAGCGCGTAACGTTAGTCTCCGCTTGCAGCTCAAGAAACTAAAATTTTCCACTCAACTGCTGTTAATCTTCAACCAAACTATGCCCTAAAACTAACTGTCAAACCAGCTTTAACGTTATATACTGCCAATCCGTAATGTGTTGACCAGTCAACAGTAGCTAGCCAACTTAGCCGTTAGCTTACTGGTTGGATAACACTTGGTGTGATGCTAAACTTTGAGTTGATAAAATTTTAGACCGTCTGAGTCATATCTGCGGCTAAATAACGTTAGCCATAGACAGCAAAGTTAAGAGAGTAAAGATTGTGTATAACCCCCGTTGACACAACATAAAACGCACTAGTATTAACGTTAAGCTAACTGGCTAAAATAGTTAGCATTAGCTACGTTTTTTTTCTTCTTCAGTTTACAGTAAGTTAGCGCGTGACAGTACAAGTAGAACAGTTCGGCTGACGTTGTGTGATTTAGCAAACTAACGTTAGCTTACTAACTGACAGCGGTTGGTTACATAACTGTGAACACAGTAACGTTATGACTCCAGAGCAACCGGTATTATAAAGCAAACAGCCATCACTGTAAACAAGATATCTTTTAATTTCAGAGAGCGTTTTAAATTAGGAATCAACTAAATCCATTTGTTGATACTAGTGTTACATTTACTTGATGCGATGTGATTTAGCAAGCGTTACTAGTTTTATGTGAGTAGACAATTTGGTTCGAAAAGAAATTCATATGGTTGCATGCCAACCTGTCCTCCACTGTTAGCCATGAGAGACTGGCATGCGCACTGTATGTGTGCATGTACGTGCGGTAGTTGATATGAAAGTTTACCTTCATTGCTGACAGAGACAGTGTACGCCAAGTTTTGTGCCCGGTTAGGAATTTCAGCTATGTTGCCACTGCACATGTTTTTAACATTAATTATCACATACTGTATTTTGACAGGCGTTGCTAGAAATGGGCTTTTTTTTGCAAGAACAACTGAAAATAATTTTTAAAGAGTGTACTTTCGTTTTCAAATGTTTTATTGTTGTCCACTATAGTCAACCTGGTGTCATATAACTATTGCATATGTAATAAATATTTCATAAAAACCATTATGTGACAGGTAGTAGTATATTTTTTTAGCAGTAGTTGTGTGGGATGTTATAAATTCACATCCTGAAATTGACTTTTGTACATTAAATTAGGTGCCTGAAATTATGGACTTGTGTCAACATTAGTTCTATTTAGAGTTCACAAAATTACAATATGAAGTTGTATTACAACTTGCACCAGCACGTACCTTGAGATCCTCGGGCAGAGGGCTGCTGTCTGTTCCAGAGTCTCGACTGAAAACTAAAGGGGACAGAGCGTTTGCTGTCAGGGCCCCGAGGCTCTGGAACAGCCTGCCCGAGGAAATCAGGTCGGCTGAGTCAGTGAACTCTTAAGTCCCTTCTTAAAACATACTTTTATAGGAGAGCCTTTCCCGATCTTATTTGACTTCATTTTATCCCTTTTATTGTATTTTACTAATTTTATATTAATCTGTATTTTAGTCTTTTCAATGTTTTCATGCTCTTATCTTGTTTTTTTGTATTATTCTTTACACTTGTTAAGGCACTTTGTAACTTGTTTTTGAAAAGTGCTCTACAAATAAGGATTATTATTATTATTATATTATTATTAGTGCATGGCATTGGCTGTGGAGTTCATCCAATGTCAGCTGGAGGATGGTGGTGGTTTGCCTAAAAATGTCTGGGTTCTTAGTCTCAATTTCTGTTATATAATAAGCTCTTATCTAAATCTAATCGTACCTTTATATTGGAACAGACAGACATATGAAGTGTCCATAAAATTCCATATTTGTTTCTATATTTTTAGTGAAGAGAGTAAACTATTCCAATTTCCAAATTCCAACTGGATGAATTATTAATTATAATATAGAAAATAGAGTAATTATTGTTTTTCTTTTCAGTCTTCCAGCTGTCACATTGCACTGAGGTGAATGTTACAGGGAAAGATGGCAAGTTATGCCTCTATGCCAATCTAATGGTCAACTTCACCGTCTCATATGAAATAACTGGCAATAAGGTGAGTGTCTGGTCTTAGTCACATGAACCACAAGATGTTCTGCTATGTCCAACTGAGTTTGGTGTATTTAGTCAGGCTACACAGTGTCCTTATCAGACAACATTTGTGGAGGGAAGCATATGTTGTCATGCAGATTGCGATTGTAATGTCTCCTCTTTTCACTAGTGAGTTGAAGTGTGATGGAGAGCAGCTCCCAGAAAAGTATATAATTTGAAAAAATCCTCTAATCTGTATTTATTATTCTTTGAGCTGCCTACCAGACCATCAGTTGCCTACCAGTTCCTGGCCTATTAGAATAATGTTAATGCCATGTTTATAAATACAGTGTTTTAGTTTGTTAGTTTGGCAGATGCTTAGAAACAACATATTGTTTTTTTTTTTAAGAGTTAGATATTTTTGTGTGTGTCATATTAAGTGTCATTGTAACTAAAACTGTAAATTGTTTTCCTTGGTCAAGTCTGCTTATAAACAATTGAATATCACACTAAGATAAGGTTACACTTTTCTCTTTTAGAGTGCAATAGTCGAATTTGAACTTCCTAATAACACCACAACAACTGGAAGTGAATGTGATGCTAAAAGCTCAACGTTGAAGCTTAATTTCGGAGGAGGACACTCCTGGAGTGTGAACTTCACCACCAATGGAGCCATGTACCAAGCAGACTCTATCATCTTTTCCTACAACCTCAGTGATGCGACCGTCTTCCCTAAATCTGCATTGAATGGTAACTTGTACACCTCACAGTGCAAACAAAAACTCCACAGTTGGCTGAAAAGGCCCTGTACTCATGCTGAAGTGTTTTTATTTTATTTATTTTTTTGTTTCTTTTAGACACCATAACTGTTATCGCGAAGCCTCACATTACAGATGTAGGCATGGATACTTGCTACTCCTGCAATAGTAAAGAGATGATTGAAGGTGATTCTGTCAATCAGACGCTCTGGAACGTGCTCATACAGGCTTTTGTCAGCAACGGCACCAAGAGTGCAAATAGTAAGTGCAGATGCAGTGTCACATGTCATCTTGCCTGTAATATTTCTGCCCTATTTACATTGCTTTTCTTTTTCTTTACTCCGTTCACAGTTACCACTTGTGCTGCTGATTTACCCACAACCCCTACTACCACCGCCACAACTACTTCCCCTGCCCCTCCTCCTACCACCACCCCGACACCCACCCTCCCCACACCCACCACTGGAAAGTACAGTGTTAAGCCTGATGAAAACAGCACAGTCTGTCTGTTAGCCACCTTTGGTCTGCGGATTGGTGTAATGCAAGGAAAGGTAAGTTCATAAACACAGATATGTATTTTGTAAACTTGTTACTATAGTCTTTGCTGATTTGATTTCCTTCTCTTCCTCCTGGCATAGAAATATCAGGAAATAAACCTTGAGCCTAATGGGACCAAATCCTCTGGATCATGTGGAGTCAACAGTAGTGAGCTGGTGTTGGTGTCTAACTCAATGACCATCATGTTCACTTTCGCCAATGTAAGTCCTCAGCAGTATGTTATATCCATTTAATAAACCTGTCTGGTGACATTTTCTCAGTTCTTGAAGGACCCATGAAACGGCTCTAAGATTATGATGATAATAAATTCAAAAGTCAATTTTGCAGTCATGCTACTAGAGTAGCAGAAGCTGGACATCGTATCTTGTTGTGCAATGTGTGCAACTGTGACACAGAATTTCTCCCTTTTTTTCTTTGACTTGATCTCAGTGAATAGAATATCTTTGGCTTTTGGACTGATAAAATAAGACATTTGGACTTTTTTTTTTTTTTTTTATATTTTCTGATGTTTTATAGACCAAACGATTAATTAAATAATAATCGGTCTGTGTTAGTGAGAAAGCTGCTAGAATAGGTTCTTTGTAAGATTTCATTTGTTCACAATAAATTCTTTTGATTCATATTTTCTGTTTCTAAATTTGTTTTTTCAGGACACAAAGAAATTCCGCCTGCAGGCTCTGAACGTCACTGGAAGCACAAGCTCTGGTAATTAGAAGTATCATATCCCACACAGACCAGGCACCACGCTGAGAAGCAAGCCAATGTTGTTCCTTTTTATATCTGTGTTTCTTTCAAGGTATCGCGTTTTCGGAGGGGAACACCAACCTGAGTCTGTGGGAGGCAGCTGTCGGCAGCTCTTACATGTGTAACAAGGAGCAGAACTACACCATCACCAGCTTTCTCACCCTCTACACCTTCAACCTACAAGTCCAGCCCTTTGGAGTCAAGAAGGGTATTTTCAGTACAGGTATGTTTTTCTGTAACGTCGCTCAAAGCAGACCCTGCTGAGGGAAGTGGCTGACTCTAGATGTCTACATGTTTGTACTAGGACTGGGCATTTGAAAATTGGTACGGACAGTAAAGGTTATTTTTTCATAATATTGACAGAATTTGACATATTTAAATATGTCAAATGCAGTTAAACGTTTGAGCACCCATGGAACACAACACAGGAAAATTGTATTTATTAAGGTGTAAATTTATCCCTTTGAGCAAACCAGATGTAAAAATTAAAACGGAGTGACATTTGGTTTTTGGATTTCAGAAATCCAGTCAGCAAACCCTATAGTTAAATATTCTGGGCTTTTCTCTGCTTAAAATTAAGCAATGTTTGTTCAAGATCCCTCATCACAAGTCATTTAAACAAATGTTTTTTAACGATGGCACATAATCTTAATCTGCTGTTCTGCTGCTTCCCCCGTGTCTCTCAGGATGTGTTGTTAATCAGAAAATCACTGTTTCACCTGTTGACTGACTCTCTTTTTATCTGCAGCCCATGAATGTTCATTGGATGACACCAGCATCTTAATCCCAATCATTGTTGGCGCTGCTCTGGCTGGCTTGATTCTCATTGTAGTGATCGCTTATGTGATTGGTCGAAGAAAGACTTATGTTGGATATCAGACCCTTTAAATCCAGTTTGCAATCATTACTGAAATATCACGGGGTTCCCAAGCCTGGTCCCTGGGTGTCTTGTATATGTTTAATTGGCAATTCAACAGTCAAAATCTGAAATTGAGATGTAGTTTTACAAAAATACATTTTATTATCTGCTGGGATTGACAATGAGATGTGAAATACACAGATCATTTTTGAAATGCAGTTGCTTGAAGGGTCTTTAATGATACTATAATAAGATAGTAAAATCCATGTGAAGAGGGTTTGGTGTTTTTTCTCAAGGACCAGCCTTGTCTACCCCCCCACTCCCACCCCAGTTTTTGTGTTTCTTTTTTGTTGTTTTCTGGATGTCTTTCCATTTGTGTTTTGTTAATGAGCAAGTGCAACATCCACACAACTTAAAAAAACAAATCATATATACAGATACAGCAGGACTTCTGCATTTATAGAAGCTGATGTGCGACAGTTGGAATATGTTGCTGCGGGATCCTGCACTTGCTCTGCAGTCATTCCCCTTTTGTTTTCTTTTGTCATTATTTACTCTTTGTGCACATTTTGTTTTTTACTCCTTTTAATGGTTTGACTTTTCATCCCCATAATTATTCACATCAAGACATAGAAAAACGATAAATTTCACAGCATGTCCTTCACAAATCAAAGCAAGATGTACAAGCAGCTTACTTTCTTTGTCATCAGAAATTCATTAATAAGGATGAAAGTCTACTCCATTTGGAAAGCTGTCTGTGGAAAATAAGCTTTAGCCCGTGTTTGCCCCTGTAGAGCAGGAGAAACATTGGAATTATTGTCCTAATCATGTGGCTCCAGTCATGTTAAGAATGTGAACTCAAAGTGTTTGTTGTTTGAACATTAATAGACCTTTTTCATGGAAGACATTTCGACACGTCAAGCAGTAGAAGGACAGGTGGAACTAATGACACTAACAATGGTTCATTTACATGTAAGTGAAAAGATCCTGGAACTGACAAAAGTACATGAGATGAAGCTATTGTTAGTGTTGTTTATTACACCTGTGCTTTTCTTTCTATACCATGTCAAAATGTCTGCTGTCTAAAAGGTTTTGAAAATAAACGTCAATGGTTTATTTCTCACAATACTTTTTGGCATTAGGTTTAGAAAAGGGAGAGTTTTGTTGTGTGGATATTCACTTTCAGCACAGACAATTCTGAAAGGAGAATATTTACGTATAAATGCACTAAAGCACTCTTTATATATTTGCATTATGCTGAGACTGTCGTCATATTATCTGACCTGTGTAGAGAGGCCTGGGCTTGGCCTGAGCTCTGAGGGCTGCAGCTGGATCGGGGGACGTTAACGTTCCCGAAAACTTAGTTTCAATTTTGAATATTTAAAGTTAAAAAATCATGAAGCGTTTGACTCTGGAGATTTTGTGAAATAAGCTTATTTGCTTTCTTGCAGAGTTGGATAAGAAGATTGATAGTACTCATGTCTATCTGTTAAATATAAAGTTAAAGCCAAGAGACAGTTAGCTTAGCATAAAGACTGGAAACGAGGAGGAAAAACTAGTTTAAACGATCACTTAGCATGTTTTATTTTGTTTGTTTATTCCCTGAAAAAAGGAAATGTAACAGCGTGTGGTGGTGTATGGATTAAACAAATCAAATATAACGTGTTAATTACTGATCTTTAGTTGTGCTGGTCAGTGGATTTTTGTTACCATTGGACAGAGCTAGCTGTTTTCCCCTATTATGCTATAATCGTCTGCGGGCTGTAGCTTCATATTTTGCTTGCAGACACAAGTAATTCTCTGCAAGAAAGCAAAAAATGTTATTTCCCAAAATGTTAAACCTACTTTTTTCTTTTAGTTCAGCTTAGCTGCTCTACCAGAGCCTTGTGGGTATGGTTTGATAAATTTTGTTCAACAATGCTGGCAAAGGCAAACAACGGCACATCTGTTGTCTGATTTTGATTTAAAAAATTGCTAAATCCACCGACGTATTTGATAAAATCTAATTTAAAATAGACAAAATTGTTGACAGAAAATTTTGTTTTCATGTAGGACCCTTGTTGCTCACAGAAAGAACCTGAAAGTAGGTTTCCAGGAGCATTTTAAGTCGGGGAGTTAGTGCAGGTGGCAGGGATGCGGTATCGGGGATGGATGCAAGCCCCAGAATGTGTAATGATAGAAAGCCACAGTGATACATGGTAGTAGCTGTGTATTGTTGTATAACTGCAGCAGAGAGGTGTGTACTGTACGCCTTGTTCCTACTCTTCAGGACTGGAACAATGCCGGCAGTAAACAACACTGAAAATGAGAATAGAAATATTTGCATTTTGAAATTGCTTATAAAACTCTGCTTTCCCGGGACGTTGTACATTTGTATGAATAATGGCTCTTTTGCTTGTGACTGTTGCTTTCCTGTGTATTTCGGCTTTGTATGAACTCGGTTGCCTTAATTATAAAGATGGTTTTGCAGCACTGGTGTAAATGTTCGATTTCTCATGCTTCACCTCCTGTGTTCTCAGTAAATCTAAGCGGTTCATCCTCATTATCATGACAGCTGTGCCTTCCTTAATTATAAACTTCTGTTTTGTACCTTTTTGTTAACTTGGTATGATTTGGCTCCATATTTATTTTCCTTTCACCAGTTGAGAACATTACACGCACATGTTCAGCAAAGGGAATTTGTGCTGCCAGACCATCTTGTTAAAGATCAATTGATGTGTGCTATGCGGATACAAATCACAGCTGTTAGCTATAAACAATGATCAAACTGTGTGTCAGACTTAAGTTCAGCTTTTTAGTGTTTTAAGATTTATGGAAATAAAAATGTGTTGCTGCCCTGGACACTTGAGTAAATGTTGATTCATTTGTAAAACTATTACTGTTCATGCTTTAAATACTTGGGACTACTTCAGTTAGCAGGCTACTTCTTTCTTTCAGCCGTTCATGCATTAACCGTGATTTTATTTTTTTTAAATTTTCAATTCTTCTGTACAGCCTATAAGACATTCACCTCTCTGCTCTCTTCACTCTTGTCTAGCCGAGGAATGCCAGGCTGATGCAGAGAGCTTCCTTGTTCCCATAGCAGTCGGAGTTGCCCTGCTTGCTCTCATTCTTATCGTTCTTCTGGCCTATTTCATCGGGAGAAAGCGAAACATGGCAACCGGATACGAGTCTTTCTAGTTAAAATAGCCTCATTTAGATCTTAATGAAAGGGTAGTCTGTGAATCGCTGCCTTTGCCTAATTGTGAAAAAAATATTTTACTGCCTGACTGTATTCGTAAAGGAATAGTTAGACATTTGCTCATTTGATTTCTTGCCGAGAGTTGGATGAGAAGATTGATATCACTCCCATGTCTGTACGGTTCATATGAAACTACAGCCCAGGAGCCGTGATTTTGGCCCCCATGTAAAGCCACATGTTGCCTTTATACTTTGTTTTGTTGTCCAGATTAAACAAACAAGATATAAAGAGTTAATGTGAGAGCTTTAGAGGTGCTGTTAGGCAGATTGTGTTTACGCTTGAGAGAGCCAGGGCTAGCTGTTTCTCTCTGTTTCCAGTCTGCTAGGCTAACTGGTTGCCGGAACGGACAGACACTGGAGTGCCATTGATCTTCTTATATGACTCAGCAGTTTGCATATTTCCCAAATGTTGCACTCAGGGTGCAAAATTAACTTTTTTGTCCACCAGCCAAATGGCTAGTAAATGTTTAAAGTGTACCAGCCACTCAATACGTTGTTTTGGGCTGGTGAGTGAAGTAGCAGATGGCTGGTGCTAATTTTGCACCCTGGTTGTACTACTCCTTTTCAGAATTTCCATTCATCATTCTACCTAAAATTAATGTTCATCTAGAATAACAAGTAATAACCACTTGAGTGATATCTTTTTTGTGCCTTTTTAATGACCCTTTCCTCTAATTTACACTACATATATAGTGCAGATTCCACTTTTTGGAGGTTCTTATCTCCTTTATTGCTGCCCTGCCCTCCTTCTGTAACCCTTTATGGACTATAAATATCATAAATCTCTGTCCGAGTCGTGTTTTCTGCTGACTAAACCACTAACCTGCTGTCCGTCTCCTCTCTGTCTCTCTCTTTCTGTCTGTCAGCTGAGGAATGCTTCCTGGACTCTGATTTGAGCTTTTTGGTGCCCATTGCAGTGGGTGTGGCGCTCAGCTTCCTAATCATCCTTGTGCTTATCTCTTACCTGATTGGCCGGAGGAAGAGTCGCACTGGCTACCAATCTGTATAATCCATCCCAGCTGCTCTGCCTCTCACAGCCTTTTAACCTCTTAAAAACACCTTCCTGAGCACTTTGCCGCCCGTCAGTGCATCAAAAGCATCCCAAATTTCTGCTTTTTTTTTTCTGTCTCCCTAAAAAAACAATAACTGTTAGCTTTTTAGCTTATTTCCTCGCACACAGTTTAAAATTTATCCCAGCAACCACCCCAATTGTTTCCTATGTTTAGCTTTGATGCCAACAACTAAATCAAGTACCAAAACATGTATGATCAATATTGCATTGTTTGATTGTATAATGCATGTTTTAAAAATTAAATTTATGGCTGTGAATAGCCGTCCACCTGCTCCCCAGAGAGCCCTCTCCCTCCTCCAAACCCCCAGAGAGGCTTTTTTCCTCTCGGTTTCTGTGCTGTACAATAGTATATGTGTAAATTACTCTCTTGTATAGAATTAATGACATTGATTTTTGATGACGTGAATGTACGAGCAAGCTAATAGAAATACTGTTGTCATAGTTTTCGTATTTCTTTATCCATCATGTAACATACACTAACTGCTAAATTAAATTTGGCCTGTTGCACATATAGTTACTTAATTGTAGCCTGATGAAAGGGACACTAACTTATCATGACACTTTACCACCATTGGGACCAGTTTTTTTATTGTTATTGTTTGGAAACCTGTGCTAGGTTTTTATGCTTCTGTCACTCATGTTAGGCAGATGTGTTTTCTTGAAATGTACACTTCTGTTGAAAGATTTACATTAAAGTATTTAGTGAATTAATTATAATGTTGGTCCATTATAATCCTGTTAAAAAAAAGGATATTTTGCCTAATGAGTATTGAGTCTCAGACCTGGTTTAAATCTGAACCTACATTAGTCTCCAGAATCAAACTTGGTTAAATTTACAACAATTTAGTTGTATTTTATTTATATGCTCCTTAGTTCTGTACATTCGGTCACTCCCCTCTGACAGTTTTCGTGCCTTTCTGTTGTGCACCTGAGTTGCTTGCTTGAAGCTTGTCTCCATCTGATGAAGAATGTGATGTGATAAGCTTGTTTAACACAAGTGGGGAATAAATTAAATAAAGTTTCGTTCTTGTTTTGTATCACTGTCATCCTTCTGAACAGTTTGTTGTTCTACTTTTAGTGTGAAGCTGCACATAACAAGAGTGCGTGAGTCTGAATTTAAAGGTTAATGGTTCACACTGCCGTTTGACTTTGATCAACAACATACTTTTTATAACCTGTAATGGTACACAGAGGAGGCATGACTCTCACTCCAGCTATTATTGGCATTTAGGCAGTAATAGTTTACCCAGTTTACCCAGAGGTCACCAGTGGATGTAGGCTTAACTTACTACTGACTACTGATGTCTTCAGCAATGAACAGTTCACCTTGGTTTGTTTACAATGGCTTTATTTCTGTGATTTGTAATTTATCTAACTATCTGGTGTATATGATTTTATAATTTTTGTACATGTTTACTTTGTGAGTAACAAAGTGAACTACAAATGTAATTTCATTATACAACCCTGTGCTGTAAAATGACAAATCAACCTTGTAACCTTTTATTGGTTCCCACTGTTAACGGTAATTGAACTTTTATTTTACTTTTCTGCTGCCCTAATTAAAACATAACACGTAGAAAAACTTTAAGGTGGTAACTCTTATATTTTTGATGGAGGTGACAGTACGTGAGCACATAGCTTTATTAATAACCTGTTGTTAACACGGACTGTTGGTCGGTCGACCCACCACTCTGGTCCTGACTAAAATATCTCAACAACTATTTGATGGATTGCCGTGCCATGAATGTATATCCAAACTGGACCTTTGTGACAATCGCCACAAGATCCAGTAAGAACACCAGCACTACAGGGATGGGAAAAAGAAGAATAAACACAACAACATGTGATGTAGTGGTTCCATATGAGGATTTTCAACAAACCAAAGAACACCCTAAGACAGATACCAGTCCACCACAGACTGTTTAAAAGAGGAGTCATTTACACCAGAGTATAGAAACCACCTCTCAACAGGGGAGGAGGGCTGAGACACCTCTTATCACCCACTTACAATACTGTCCTTTCATCCCTTCCCAGTAGTTTAAACAAACACCCACATTTGGCCTCATGTGACAAAGCCAAACGACCGTCATTCAGACTTGGCCTCAAGTGACTCCAATGACCATAACGACTGCCTTTACAACACCCAGGAGCACTAAGGAGCTAAGCGGTACCCATCATCTTGATAACGACCCCACAGAGGTTAAATAGCTCGTCAGTCAACCAGAATTAAAGAAGCCTCTTGAATGAGAGGCGAAATGTCTTCAAGTATCTTCAACCAAGTCCAGTTGTCCTTGATTCTAACCCAGCTTGGATTACCATGAAGTTTGGAACAGATGTTCATGGTGCCCAGGCGCTGAACCCTAATGACTTCAGTGATTTCCTGAATTTTCCTCTAGTGCCACCTTGAGGTTCACATTTGTGGTTTTGAGTGAGATATTTCAACTGCTTTTGGGTGGATTGCCCTAACATTTAATGCAAACATTCATGTTCCCCTCAAGATGAACTGTAATAACTTTGCCATCATCATAAATCTTTGGTTTATGACCAAATATCTGCAATACTAATGATATTCCCATCATCCTCAACTTTAGGGGTTTAGCCAAAGACAGTTGCTTGTTATAACACATATTTGATTTTAACAGCCTCTATCTCATCCATACTGCCTTTCACTACCTGCCTCATTCTGAATTTCGGAATCACATGACTGCAAACAGCGAATTGGAGCGTGCAAAGCTAATCATGATTTGTGAGTAAGTTTTACCTACTGCTCATAGAGAGGCAAGAAAAAAAAATGAAGCACCACATTTTGTGTAGCAATACTAGAATCCACCTTGACATCATGTACATGTGTTCCTGTTTAACCAATACGTATATGATAAGCCTTCATTAATCAGTTCAACGATGTAAATTCACTGAAATCATACAGATGTATCATTAAGATAGTGATAACTCCCATTTAGCCAAAAAATACAATTTATACCTTTTATTGAATTACTTCCAAAGTATTCGCTAAATATATTAAATGAGTCTGGACAGACGTGGAGGTAAACTGCAACTTGACTGGTTGGTGGAGACAAACAACCGGGGTGGTAATTCTATTTTAAAATCTGTAATGCAAAGTTGATGTAGACTATTAGTCCCATGTGGAAGAAAATGTACAATACATACCAGAACATTGTATTTATTATAATAACTATAATAGGAATAAATACAACATTGATACCAAGTTTAGTAGCACAGTTCAGGCAGGATTAATACTATCAAAAATAGTTATACTGTTTTAAAATGGTACAGACCTTTCACAAACTATTTCACAGTACAGTATGTCTTTTTATTGATCAGTCTTGTGTAGTATTTCATTTTCAAAAGCAAATGTTTTTACAAAAGAAGGCAAGAAGTGGCTTGTGACGCTTTATCATAAATGTATATAATACTGCTATATTCAACAAAAATATAGTAATAGTGTATTTGCAGTCATTTATTATTGTCTTTTTTACTGTGTAAGTACAGTACAAGTCCTGCTTTCAGTGTTTGCATGATAGTTCTTTGAATTCTTACAATATACATGTTTGAAAAATATAATGCAAAACAAATTAGTACACTTTATCACACACAAATGTGTACACAAAACCATAATCTAACCTGATAAAACAATATTTCTAATTGCCTATTAATGTTTTAAGTCATAATTGGATTTGCATAGCCAGAAATGCTAACTAGTGGGCAGAGTGTAAATTTAGTTTGATTAATTTTGCTAATCATTACAAAATATCAGAAATTGAATTCCAACTCACTCTACGCACTTGTCCTGTGCTCAGCACTGTTTGTTGTGGGTGCAGGTGCCAGTAGCATGCTCAAGGTACAAAGATATAACAGAAACACAAGAGTAAATATCTACTTCTTGAGAAATTTGTTTCACAGCAGAAGACATGGATATTTAAGTGAAAGATAAGGAGGGGGAAATTACATATTTCATGGAATATAATGTTTCAACATAATTTTTTTTGTACATTTTCCTGCCTCATTGTCATGGGAGCATCCTGCTGGCAGCGATATTTTTGCCTTACGCTCCAACGTCCAAGGTGAAGGTCACACTGCCCAGGTAGCGGTCAGTGGGTGAATCATTTATGATGCCCTTGCCATTCAGTTTGCATTGTACTTGGATGTGAGTGTCGTACTGCACTCCTGCAAAACGCACAGCCACCACGGGCGCAGAGTAGTTTACCTGAGGCGGAAGAGGTCACGACAGGACAAGGCAAGACAGGTGTTAATATAGACTTAAATGACATTGTCTATATGCCACAGCAGTTATCCAGGATAAAACTGTCACTCACATGTCTGAGCTTCCCATAGTATGGATAGTACTTCATGTCAAAAATACTTTTAGGGAAAAATTGGATTTCTCCCAAAGCTTCTGGAGGTCCTTTCTGAAAGAGGAAGAAGTTATGTCTTCTTGAAGCACACTTGCTTGCATGATATGACTATGACATTTTCACAGATGTTGCTTACAAGCAAGGATGTTGATGGTTACCATACCTTAACTCCACAAGTCACATTTATTGGTTTGCCCTGGCCAGGTAAGTAACCAAGAATCTATAGAAAAGTAAGAATAGTAAGAGAAGAGTGTCATCATGCGAACAAAGTTATTCCTCAACCCTGTTTTTGTTTTATATTTTTGTTTGTCATGTCTTCAAACTGAGCTCCAATGACTCTTGATCTGACAAAGACCTTTTAGGACTAAACATTGCTTCAAATAAAATGTTTGTAGCTTGCAGATATCCATGCACAGACAACCTCACATTTTACCTTGTATGCAATTTGTTTTTTATCCTGCATCAGTTAGATGTACACACTACTCACCTTCTTTGCTTCAAACTGAGCTCCAGCAGGAGATCTTTTTAAAATTACATGCAAAAGTTTATCTTCTAGGAAGAAATGCCCAAATCTTCCACAATGTAATAATATGATGATAATTTACCATTTAAAATAAAAAGATTGTGCTTCGTGTGTCTTCATCCTCTCCCTGAAATGGCCACAAGATGTCACTCACTGAGGAACCTGTGAGCTTTAACAGTGCAGTAACACAGTGTGTCCCTGCTATTTTATGTTCCCTCTTTTGTTTTTTTGCTGATGTACATAATTGCACTTTTTAAAGTGCACTGTTTTACAGGTTTTGGTGGCATCTTACCCGGTTCATTCGAAGGAGGATGCATGGCCTTCCCTGAGAATAGCCATAGTGGGGGTCCTGTAGCCCAGAACAGTCCCCCAACCAGGACCTCTTAAACTGACACGCTTTCCGCTCTGCGCTCTCCTCCAAGTCATCCTGCATGAAGTATCTGTCCTGTGTGCAGCGAATGTTCTTCCTCTCCTGAGTTCCATCGTTATATGCTGTAAATGGAGAGCAAGGGGAAAGAGGCAGAGAGGGAGGGAAATGGAGAGAGGAGGGCATAAATAAAGCCTTGCTACAGCAAAGCCCTGCCAGACTCAGGCCTCTGATTAAGGAAGCTTGACAAAAGCTGGGCGTGAAAAAAAAAACACATTGAATGGCTGCACTCTGCCCACAAAGAGGCTTCCCTTCCCAGCATGCCCTGCAAGAATTAAATTGAAAAAGGGGACAAAGGTAGTGAAGATGAGGATTAACTCATCACATCCTTGCTTCTTTTTTAACAAACTCAACAACCTCATCCCCCCAACTACAATCACTAATAACTCACATCTTAGATATTCATCCATAGACCTTGCATACTTCTTCCAGGATTTGCGATCAGAGGCGTTAAAGGCGATCTCATGGCCTTCTAGATATGGGGCCATCGTCATACCTGCCAATGGAGACACAGAGACAGTCAACTGTGCTGAGACTCAATTAGAAGTAACACTGACAGAAGGACAATAGAGGATGCAGTGGAGGGGTTTGAGTTTGCCGTTATATTTACCTGGTGGCATCACTCTGTCATTGTAGGTTGGATGGTAGGGACTAATAGACCACATGAGGCAAAACATACAACCACCAAACATGGCTGCGAGAAACACATAAAGTGCAGTATAGAAGAGAAGGATGAGGCCTAAAAAAGGGAGTGGAAAAAGGGGAGTTATTTCTGATGCAATATTTGCGCATAAGTGAATTACATAACAGACCTCTCTCAAAAAATCCCTTCTCTGATCTGAGTGGAGAAAAACAAAGAACCATAAAGAATTTCCACTTTTGCTCAGACTGTGTGGTCCATCCGGACTGCAGCTACTGTCCTTGATCAGGACAGTTACTAATTTGTTTACCCTCCTCCCCTCAGGCCTGGACTTGCAAATAACTTTCAATAGTTGTGGTATAAAACCCACTGTACTGCGCTAATGTGAGAATCACGTGATAAAGAAACCCAGAGAACTATCATTGTTCTTCAATTTTCAATTAACAGTCCATTAGCAACTAATCAAGCCAAACGTGCACTAAATGAAATGGCTTTTGCTGTGCGGGCAATTTCACAGGGGACTAGCTGCAGCCAGCCTTGCGTCCCCAGAGCCACAAAGGCTTTTCTGTTTGAGCTCAGTGAGAATTCTCCCAGCTGTCCTTTCACTCAGGAACACAGTGAACCTCCGGTTGCCATCGTAGTGAAGGTCTTTTGCAGCCATAGAGGCCTGGCCAGCTCCAAGGAGCCCCAATCACCCCACTCTGGTATTGTGTCCTCTCTTACACACTCATCTCACAGGACACACAGCACAAACTTCAACCCAGGGCCTTTCTTCATCAGACACATGGGCCCCACACCCCCACAAGTGTGCACACACTGGCTATGTCGCTGAAATTAGCTCTCAGCCCTGCCTGCCTGGGATCCAGAGTCTCAGCTCATGCATGTAACACAGACTTTCCTGGGATATTCTCTCTACACTCAGTTGGATCATGTTTGTCATTGTGTACAGTTAGTGCAGCTGAGGGAGGGGTCTCTACAGCGTCACGTAGCAACTACCCTGGAATACCAAGAGGCTGCTCCATCATCACTGACTCAACAAACTCGTCCAGTCTGCCGCTTCTGCCAAAAGAAAAAAGTTAGCTGGATTTGGCAGTGAGCTCTGTGGATAAGAGCATCTATTAAGTGTTTAACTGCAACTGAGGGGCCATAAGCATGTTAGGTTCAGCGATGAGGTCACAGAGGCTTTGGGAAAGAGGCTGTGGAGAGCATGGTAAGATGTAGAGGAATGTGATTCCTGGCCAATGTGAGGCCTGGAACAGTGCGCTCCCGCTGGGGACACGTCCCCAGGCAGTCTGTTTTCGTCGGGACACTCTGAATTGTCCATGCACCTATGTAAACATTGAGCATAAGGACACACACACACAGCACAGTGAGCAGAGTCACTGGACTGCAGAGACATTTCTCACCCTCTAAAGTATCCCTGAGTGCATCTTTTAAAGACATTCAAACACCATGTTTGCTCCTAAGCGTGTTTTAGATGATTCAACTACAACACACTCAATATTATATCTAATCATTGGACACATGCAGTAAAAACTAAAGAATTTCAGCATTAATCCAAACGTCCCTCCTCATAACCCAATAACATAAAACCTGTCTTTCTCTGTCAACTCACTCCAGCTCTTTCCAGAGCGACCCATGAATTCGTTGGTCTCTGCATTCCACAGGTACGTCTTCAAGTCGTCTATTTTCTGGTGGAGTGTCCTCTTGGGTAACGGCCTGCGCTTCCATCTCTCAAAGTTCAGGTCTTCCTGCTCTAGAGGCTGGTGCTCTGCCAACTCCTCCTGCTCTTCCTCCAACTCTTGGCCATGTTTGAGAATCACTTTGTGAGGCTGGTGGAAAGAAGAAGAGAAAAAGCCCTCACCACACATATTCTCAACTGCTAAGTTCTGCAGTCGATCTATTTTCTTTTCAAATCACCGCAGGAAAAAAATGGCATGCCTTCAGCTCCGAGTATGACCGATGATATACACTGCCAGAGAGTGCTCTGCATATTAATGAACATCGCACTGATGGTCCTGTCCCCTGTTTCTGCAAATTATAAGCCCGCTGGTGACCTTTCTGGCACTCATTGGGAGAGCTGACCTCCTCTGAGTAGACCCTCCTGCTTGGAGCAACAGCTGCAGACAGCAGAGCTGAAGGGTCACTCTGACAGCCAGATGTTACTCACTGACTCTCAGCATCCACAGGCCAGGACACACAGATCCCAGAGGAACCACAGGACACATGTCACTTCATTTGTGAGAATTTGTCTGTTAAAAGAATCTGCTGTTAAATGTTCAAAATTTTGTTGGGAGTTAAGATAACTGCGCTGTTATTTAAAATAACCTTAAGGCTAGTGGAAAGATGTCTTAATTACTCCATGTGCTTCAGAAAATAAAGTGTTGTGAAAGTTATATGTTCTCTGTTTCATTTCAGCACTTACAAGACTTGGTGGATTATTTTTAAGGAGCTTCTCTTCAGCTCCTCCCTCTGTGGAACTGGGCTCCATGTTCTTCACAGAAAGAAAAGGTACTTGTTAAGCCAATCACATCTGCCATGCAATTAAATACAAGAAAGTTCTTGCGAACTTGTGGACTTCAGCAACATTTTCAAAACTTTTTACAACAATGCCAAGCCATCTCAACAGCTTAATCTAGCATCAGACACAAGACATGATTATTTTATAGTTTCAACATAGAGAATGTCAATGACAAATCTGACATACCTGAAGTTTTCTTTTCAGTAAAAACGCGGATTAATGTGTCGAAAACCCTCTTGGCCCGCAGAGAAAAAAGTAATGTTTGTCAAAAAAGGTTTGGGGATTTCATTAGAAAGTTTTAGGCATGCAAAGGGGACCGGGTACGGAGAACCTCCTTCAACTAGGCGCGCATCGTAGTGAATGAACGCTGGACAGAGAAAAACTGGGGGTGGGATACAACGTGCTTTTTTTTGTCCCAGAGACGTTTTGGCAGCGGTCTGATCCCTAGCACTGCATTCTGTGCACGCACCCCATCAACCATTGTCTGATAAACTGGGCTAACAGTGAAGCAAACCATGAATACAATATTTATAGCTTATCCCAACATAAGACACTGTTGTCAATCATTGCGTTGCCGCATATTGCACGTGCACAAAGACTCTCCAACAATTAACGTTATTATTATTAGGCTATTATTTTTGTATTATTAATCGGGTTTATATTTAATGAAACAAAAGCATCACAAATTAAATATCAGACATTAGCTATTGTCCCTGCACATGCATGCATACTAATCCGGTTGCCAACGCCAGCACCTCCACAGATTCTTGCAACAACTGCTCACCAGCAGCTTTCCCCTTGTGAAGTTCAAGTAGCCTAGTCCTCATCCCTGGCCCCATCTGCAATCCGGTCACGTAACGCTCTGTTACCCCGTGTAAAACTGGGAGAGGGGGACTTTTCAGAGTGTGTTTCCCCCCTTCTTCTTTTACATGAAAAGAGATATTGCGTCATGGAAAAAAATCTGTTCTTTGAGAATTGCGCGGCAAAACGTGCACGTGTGAGTGTGTGTGAGTGTATTTTACAGTGAAGGAAGGCCATTGATTCTTGTCACCACATAAGGACATTTGCAGAAAAGAAAAATCCAAAACATTTTGCAGGGAAAGCCAACCTGTGAAAAGCATTAACTTCATTCCCGTGTCCACGCAGAGTGTTGAACACTTCATTGTCAGTGTACATGTAAAATCTGCTAGGGGGCTCCAGGTCACAAATGAGCTGCGGGGCCCCTTTTAACCCCAAGTCCACCTCTTTGTAGCCTACAGGAATACCACCTGGCTACATATTACACATATTATTTTAGGGATAACAACATGTAAGAAAACTACTGTGACACTGATTTTGACACAAGACCATATGTCAGGTAATAAAGCAGGCCCCCTATCATGCCTGTGCATTTCATTTAAACAAATCAGTGCAGTAAGACAGGAGCTTCAGGGGCCAAACTTTACCTTTTCAAATTCAACAAGAGTTCATCACTGAACTCTTGAATGTCAGTTTTTTACGAAAAATCTTATAATCAAATGGATAGGATTTTGCCTTGCAGTGCATTTCTGAATCAATATAAATTTTATTTATATAGCACACTTAAAACAACCAAGGATGACCAAGGTGCTTTACAGGTTAAAAATACAACAATTAAAAAAAGTAATTACAAAGTAAAAGTACAGCAATAAAACATTATAATATACAGTATATGATATGCAATGATATTAAAATTGCCAAGGAGAATAACTCTCTTACTCGAAGGAAATACCAAAGAAAAGAGATGTGTTTTTAACAGTGATCTAAAGCATTCTAGAGTTGGTGTGGTTCTGATATGGACTGGCAGGCTGTTCCACAGGTTAGGGGCATACTGCGCCAAAGGCTCGATCAAGGAGGAGACTGGCAGATCTCAGCACTCTAGCTGGAGTGAGAATGCGAAGAAGCTCCGTTAGATAAAGCGGAACCAATTCATGAAAACATTTAAAAGTAAAAGTAAGTATTTTAAAATCAATCCTGTAATGAACAGGAAGCCAAGGGAGGGAGCGCAACACAGGTGTGATGTGGTCCCTCTTTTTCTTTCCTGTCAGGAGGTGGGCAGCAGCATTTTGGACTAACTGCAGGCATTGAATGGATGACTTGTCTAATCTAAACCCACATACAAAGAGTTACGCTACAATAGTCAAGATGGGAAGTTATGAAGGCGTTAATCACGTTTAAATGCACTGTCAAATAAGACACCAAGATTCCTCACAGTCCAGCGATCATTTGAAGCTAAAAGGCCAACGAGAGTAGCCTACCTAAATCAAGCAATTCAGGATGTCCAACACTATGACCTCGGTCTTGTCTCTGTGATTGGTGGAGGCGACTTGCTTTAAGTTGAGCTTTTCAGGTGTTTTCAATCTGCTTTGCTACTACTGCTAGTTTCTGTTCCACCTTTGACTTAATGACATTTTCAAACCAGTAACTCACAATCAACACCCAGAGAGCACACACAAGTCCCGTCAATGTCGGATTGAGATCGTGAGTGGATGTTATATTTCGGCCTATAGCATGGAAAAAGCAATCAGTGAGCAGCTCTGGTGTGTTTACAGCAAACAGCTGATGGCGTTAAGCTAAATAGGCCTACTGGGTCTGGAGTTATTGTTCATCAGTTGGTCCCCCCCTCTCTCTCAAAAAAAAAAACACTGATTACAACAGGTAATAAAGCATGTTAAAACCTCCAAAGCTCAGGCTGACACAGGATGTGAGTGCTGCAAGCTAAGCTGCTAACGTTAGGTAAGTTTAGGTGCTCAATTTGTTCTCAGGAGGTTTCTACCAGGAGCCGAATTACCACCGAGGCGGTGTCCTCTCCAAAGCAAACAGACTAAGTCATTAAAAAATTAAAGACACTGAATAAAGCAGTTTCATCCTTAAAAAATGATTGTCTCTTCAGTGGGTATGGCGTCATCGAACCGGAAGTTGGAAATGTTATAATGTCAGTCTGTGCTGGAGGTGCCCGATTCTGTTTTCAGACCTGCCAAACTGTTGCGATTTAATGTTTGTGTTTCTTTGTTCCTTTTTTGTGCTGGAGTTATTTTAAGAAGTTGATGGCTTAATCTAGTTTGATCGTGTGTCTCTTTACTCACATGCATCTTTAGTGGTCAAGCATACTTTTTTTCATCATAATCCAATCAAATCTGATGTTCATATATAGGCCTACATTTTGCAGATGACGTTACTAAATAATGATGCCTGTTCATTGCTTTGTATGCCATACATCAGAGTAGGAACATACTGTATGTCAGCTGGTTAATTTGCTTAATATTTGCAGGTCTTTAGGCCAGGGCGGAAACGCACAAAACAATGGTCTGAAGAAACCTTTCAGTTCCTTGAAAAGTTGATCCTGGGTGTAAATTAAAATTTGCTGTGTGCTAAACTAAATTCTTTATTTATAATGAATGAAATAAGTATAGTGATCTATAAAGTAAATTTCCCTACTTTGAATAATTAAATATTAATAATAATTAAATAATATTTCAAAAAAATTTTAACATGGGCAGGAATAATGTTTCAGATGGAAAACACCAAATCTTATTTATTTATTTGGTTTATTATTTGTCTGTCATTCCTAGAAGTATTTTTCCCAGAAAAAAAACTGAAGATGATACTCTATGATGTGGCAGATACAATTGCAAACAAGATGAAAAAAGACATGTCTAAATAATTATTTATAAATATTGAATCTCTTTTTTGTGATTTTTGTGCATTTTCAGTCTCAAATCTGACTTGGATGTTGTCTTTCTAATGTAGCTACTGCAAATTAAATACTAGCCTACTGTCAATTTATATAACAAGTAAAACCTAGTAAACAAAAGTATGGGGTCATTTTTAATCACACCAGAAGGACTTAAAGCCTTAGGAGAATGCATATTGTATACTGTATACCAAATCCACCTACCTCAAGTACATAATACCAGTACATAATTCTTTAATTTATTCCACCATCCTTTGCACTATGCTCCATCCCACATGTGTACATGTACTTGTTTGCATGTATGTGAAGGTGTACCTGTATATCTCATCCACTCCAGCATGTATATAATAATGATAATAATTTTACTCCTGCATCCTTTGCACTTCACTCATTGCACTATTATCTCAATCTGTCTATATTGTTTTTGTTTATGGTGTGTATAGATTTGTTCTCTATACTGTAGCCTGTGTGTGATTTTATTATTGTATTATTTTTGTATTAGCCTTTTGTGTAAGCAAACATATCGTGAGCAATGCACAATCCTGAGTCAAATTCCTCGTATGTGTAGCCTACACATACCTGGCACATGAAGGTGATTCTGATTCTTAAGTACATGAAGGCATTATGTATCACTGTGTTGGATTTTGTGCCTCTTTCTGAATGTCCGATAGCTCTTGAACGTAACGCCGTAGTTTCGACAGATGGTGGCGCTCGATACTCGACCCTCATCCATCTGACTTTGATTTTGTCCCGTACTATGATCCCAAACCACCCACACAGCTGTGTCAGAAACAGAAACAGCAGAATAAAATACCTTAAACACACTAAACCTGATTTACTCTCCATGTGATGTAAAGTAGGATGTCTTTTTGCCCCTGCTTTCAGTGATAAACCCTCAGGTGATGAACATGGATGCCATGGGACCTGTGCAATGCATTTACCATAAAACAGTTACTCCCAGTGACGTTTTTAATTTATATGTAGCCCATTATATGATTATTACTTTAATTTTACTATACATTCAATGCAATACAGAATACGTAAAGCTATTGTCTTTGTTTTAAATCCCAAACCCAATTTTCAGTTACCTCAGAAGTTTGACTTCGCTCCAACGTTATCTTGGAACGTTAACCGTTATACGTTACACTAGCTAGCTTATTATCTCTAAAAGATCTGTCTTTCGGTGTAACGTTATATACGTGTATTTTCCTATTGAATTTGGAGAATAACAATCATATTGAGTTTCAACGTTTGATCTCTAAATTAGGGTCCACCCCTAATGAGAGGTTTGTCATTCACGGACATGGCGGTGTGGGAAGATAACGGTCACGTTCTTCGGGGGAAATTGATTAAACGTAATTTAACGTTAGGTTAAGTATCGTTACATTGCTTTAACGCATCTACAAGTACGAGGACTGTAGCAGGGTATCGGTACTTTGCCTTTTGAGTAAGTTACGTGTTTGACATGCGCACATACATCCACCACCAGCAGCAACAACCCACCGTCTGACACCGACACACCGTGAGGACAGAGCCCGACAGACGGATCAACATCCGCAGGGATGTAAATGAGACGGACTCGGGCTCAGCGGGGACGGAAGGCTATTGTCAGAGAATGCCACAGCAAGCGAACACACCGTCTGCGTTAGCTCACGATTGTACACAGTTAGCTCTCACACATATAGCGAATAATATTGAGTCGTGATTATTATTATTATTTTTAATTATTTGCAAGCGGTCCGGCGGAGTGCGTAAAATCCCCCAGCCAGCATGCCCCCTGCTCAGAGCCTGCAATCCAGCGGACTGACTCTCTCCGAAACAAGCATGGGTAGGTGTGTGCAAGGTCAACGGCGTGTCTGCAGCAGGTTTTATCAATTAAATGATGTACTCGTTTTACCAGAATGCGGGGTTTTATTGGACGAGCTTACTGTTATTGTTGGCACATACCAAAGTTAATATTTTGACCATTGACGTGTGTTGTTTTTTGTCGGTTAAAAACAGTGACGGCCCGTTGTGTGTACAAAAACTGTCTTTGCATCCACCAGAGCGCTGTATTATTTTTTCTAGTCCAGGCCGCAGCGCGTCACTGCAGGTGCGGCCACGTTGAGTAACCACAGCAGCCTGGATGTTTGGCTCTAATCGGTAACTAGCCTGACACTTTTTGGCAGGATGCTCTTCTGCTATCGTGAAAATATAAAGGAATAAAACACACCATTCGTGTAAGGGAACATCAGTGAATATCTTTTGTACAGTATGGTGCAGCCTAAAACAGGCAGTTCTCGGAGAAAATAGGAGATTATTTATTGTTGTACTCAGTCTGCTCAATTTTGCAACTTGTAGCACTCATAGGGTCATCCATGTTTGCTTTACACTTCTTATTCCTTGTAAGGCAATGTTTGAGAAAGAAAAGTGGTCACTCATTATAGCACTTTTTAGAGGTGTCAGGCAAACCATATGTGACATATGTGGAGTAATCTTAATAGCTACTTTTTTAATAGCCTATTACTTGAGTAATATTTAAATAAAATCTTTCTTCTACTTGATTCTTATGAGTAGTAAGTCAAATAACATTGCCCATAATTTAATGTACACTTGTAGTCCCCTGGTTTCAGGTAGAACTACAGTTTTCAAAGGAATTCACATAAGAAGAAGAAATTGATTAATTCAAATGTGTCAACAATATTTTTGCTTAAAACTTATTGACTAAGATAATATAAATATATAAAACTTAAGGGATGTAATATGATGGGAAAACAGAGATATTCATTGTTAATTTCACCAATGTAAAACAGTTAGATGCAGTGTTTCAGTGAACTGTTTTGAGAGCTCTGCAAAATTGTGCATATATTTTTGGATGATTAATCTCAGAGGCTGTGTCCTTCATTTTGCAGGCAGCATGGCGACACAATTTGACTGAAACCATATGCTTTCCCTGCTTAGTGTAGTGATGAGCACTGATGTACTTCATATTGATCTCCAGGGTGGAGCATTAGCATTCGAGTAGCAGTGACGTCTGTTTGTGGCTTGCCAAATCTTGTGTTTCCACAAATTGATAAAAACAGAACATAGAGGTGACGGGGATGATCTGTTATCTGACGGGCTTTGATGAGCTTGGGGAACATCACAGAAATAACTTGATCAGGAAGAAGTAAAATAGATGGAGTAGATTACAAACAGAAGCAGGCAGAACTTCCTCTATCATAGTCTGACTACTGCTGAAACAAATGCACCAGAGAAAATAAGTTAGACTGCTTCTAAAATTACTGGCCACTCCCTCCTCTCTCTCTTTATTTATAACGTTCGCCTTCACCAAAAGGCCCTGAATATTGTTAGGGATGAGTCTCAGCCAGAGATGCCCTCTGGGAGGAGGTTCAGACAATTTTAATTCTGGAGTGGTTTAATAGACGTGCATTAACGAAGGTTATTTGACTCATGAAAGGGATACTGTTGGCACTTTTAGGTAGATTTTTTTGTTGTTAGTTTGTGGTTGTCTTTGTTGTTATTTATACGTATTTTTAGTATGTTTAAGTTTTTTGACTCCTGAATTGCAAACCTCACACACTTAGCTTAAAATACTTTGTGTATTTTATTATGTTCTTACTTAAATATAGTTTTATTATTAGTATGTTGTGTTGTCCTATCTGTCCTGTTGCACCACAAGCTCACCAAGGCAAGTGCCTAACGATGTTTGTTGTAATGGCAATAACAAGGGGCAAGTTAACTTATTTCAGCATATGATGAAAACGCTGCTTTACAAATATATTTAATTAGATACAGTTAGATATAGTGTACAGTTGCATACAGGATGCATGCATGCAGCACACAGTACAGTGCCTGTAAAGGTATTAACCCCATTTTGACCTTTCAAAAAAAAAACTGTAATGCCTTTATCATGCCGTATATAGCAGATAGCTGAGTGGATATGACATGCAACAGAGGTCCATGGAAGGCGGGACTGATATGATCAAACTGCCTCTTTAATTTAAATGTAATGGCAGTTAATGTGCTTTGAGGTTAAAAACACAAAAACTTTCACTGGAAATGGCTGCAAATTGTAGAATTAAACAGACCTTTGAAGTATGTCAGAAAGTTTTTCTACTTAACCAAACCAAATTAGGCCTAGGTATTTTGTTTAATGTTGGCAAACAAGCCAAGATTTCCCATCATGAGCAACACAAAAAGTTATTGTAGCTATATTACTTAAAGACAGGAATATCCTCCAATGTCTTGTTGATTCAGAAAAACAGCAACATCTTTTCCCCCATTAAAACTTTGTAATTCTAAGATCATTATCTCATTAATTCTAAAAAAACGGAGCAGATTTGTTTTCTTAAATTAATGCATTATGCTTCCTTAAAATATCTGCAAGACCCTTACAACAATGAATTGAAAATGTTGAATAATAAATTAAAGATTGGGTGACATATAAGTCGAAGTCATAATTCAGAGCCAGAGCCAGAGAAACTCCAGTCCAGTCATGAGTCTCTTCCATTACATCAATGCTTGTGGTGGATTCTAGTTGAAGCCTCACCTTCTAATTTGTGTAGAAGATACATTTGACCTCACAATGTTCACTCATTTGTCGTTTTGTAGGTTCCTTTAAGAGGAGGAAGAGGAAATCCATAATAGTGACGGTGATGCTGCTGATCGTATCCGTGCTCATCCTCATCTTTGGCCTGGCTGCGACAACCAGGACACAGAACATCACAGTGGGCGGCTACTACCCGGGATTCATTGTGAGTGCGCATTCACACCTGCGGGCAACTGCAACAGGCACAAAACAGCAGGCGTGCTCACTGCCAGAGTTCATAATAAGTGAAGTGTGAGCAAAGTGAAAGTGTTTCCAGTGAGCTCTTACCGCTCCTGGACTCTGATGAACATAATTACTGGGTGAATTTCCCTTCACATTTATTATTCAACATCACTGTCATTAGAGGCTGAGTGAGGTAAAGTATCTCAGCCCATAAATGTGTTTTCTTCACAGTACTCGGCTTTCAGCATTCTGTAAAGAGCTACAAGGAAAGCAGCCAGCTACACTTTTAAAGATGTTTCTTCTAACTTTACCATCAAATTAATCAAATTCATAATTTAAAGGTGCAGTGTGTAAGATATTGATATTAAAACATTTAAAAAATGAACTAACATTATTAACAGAATATGAAGAAGTTACAGTTAAGGAATGAGATGAGAGATGGTCCTGAGGCACGAGGGGAAGGCATTTAGCGAGCACAAGAAACTAGACTGAGCTGGACTACCACTGAGCTGAGGCAATGATCTGGCGACATGTGGGAGTTGAGCCAGGCTAAATGTACTGCTGAGGTGATGAGCTGACAGGTGATGAGCTTCAGGTTTGTGTAGGGGCAAGTGGCCTGGGAGCTGAAGAGTGAATTCGACAGGTGGGGAGTCATCTCAGTTCTTACACATTGTACCTTTAAATCATTCAAATATAGTGGAATTTACAGAGATTTACATAGAAATAGAAATTAATTGAATAACGTAATGCATCATTAAATTGAGAGATGCTTTGATCTTACAAATCCTCAAATTACAGTAAATGAATCTACAATGCATTTTACTTGTCTATAAAAGGGAAGAGTTGAGACTTTGGAAACATGCAAGCATGACAAACACTTAATACTTAATGCATCCCACTGTGCTATGAAATCAAAGCTTTATTGTCAAATTAGAAAAATGCTCTAACAGCCATTTTCTCTCTTTTCAGCTGGGCTTTGGCTCTTTTCTGGGAATTATCGGTGCTCATTTGATAGAGAACAAGAGGCAGATGGTAAGAGGATTTATATTACCTCCGTGCATTGAGATCACTTTCAGTGCTTGGTCATTATAGTTCGTATCAGTCCCTATTACCCTAACGACAGCATACAGCTCGATTATGTTGTTAATGTGACAATAGACACAGCAGACTCAACCCAGACTGAGAGTCACACTTGACCCGAGGAGGTTTGTGTATCAGAAGTAGTATCCTGGGCTTCAAGGGAGGTGCAGCCAGAAATAGAAATAGGGTGTAAGTAGAGGAGGGCAGATGTCCATGTTTGAATGTGGGGAAGTAAACTGCAGAGGAGCAGGTGGGAGGTGCCGGATAGGGACTGTCTGGGCTGAAATGAAGAATGAGTTTGTACTATGACACCTTTTCCCATAATGCAGCGGGTTTGGATGCCTGGAGTTCCAGTCAATGTGTGTGTGTGTGTGTGTGTGTACACGCAACGACTAACGCCATGACATGTTACACCACGCTGCATCTGATTTGTTATTTGCCATAAAATGTAACTACTTTCAGAATGTGTTGATATTATTTATGGTTTAGGGCATGAAAGGCAAAAGACATTTGTATTATTACATTGCCAGTACAGCTCAAATGATTAGCTGTTTAACAGAAAATTCATTAGCAACTATTTTGATCATGGATTCATCATATTATTAATTTTTTTATGCAAAAATGCCAAGAATTCACTGCTTCCCACCTCTCAAAGGTGAATATTTCCTGGTTTTCTTAGTCTTCTATGATAGTAAATAAGTTTGAACTGTGGAACTGGAAATTGTGATGGACATTTTATCATCTAACATTTTAATTGAATAATTGAGAGAATAATCAACAGATAAATCAACAATTAAAAGAATTGTTAGTTGCAACCCAAATTTTCAGTGATATAAAACAAATATTTTCATTATATATTTTCACACTTGTAAATGGGGGAAAGTCAATCCTAATTGATAGGATACATTATTGTAATTCAACCAATAATCCTATTAGCAGAAATCAGCAGCAAACTGTGCGAGCAGAGTTTCCACTACCACAGTTCAAAATAAACGCCATTAAGGTATGAGGTATAAATAAAGTCAAAGTGTACATTGATGAAGAAACATTGTTAATACACAGTGCTGTTTTTATCACTCTACTCCATGTAGTAGGGTCTTTATTGCTGAACGACACAAAGAACCTGCATTTCTTCTGCCACATATGATCATAAATTATCTTCTTGAAATCCCTGAAAACTTTAATATTTACTTTAGTATAAAACTTTCTATTTCTGTACAACGTCAAATATGCATGACTAAATATGTAACAATCAAAGTTAAAGTGTGGATTTAATAACAGCGGCCTGGCAACATAAGCAAACAACCACACAACTGTCATCAGACATGTTACTGGTGTTTTTATGAAACTACTGCACTGCACCTTTAAATTATGAACCTGAAAATGAGTATAATATGACCACTACATTTAAATAAGTAAAATAGATCTTAGTTTGGCAGAAAATAGTGTTTTGGTGGATCTTTTAGAATAAACTGATTGAGAAAATACATTATCAGGGCTAACTATCAGCATGTCTGCTAAATGTGTTGTTGAAATTCCCATTCCTGGTTTTATTTATGTTAGCATCCTCGAAATCTTGGTACAGGCATAAATCCCTGTTCCCTTTACCTGCCTTAATCTATTGTGTGCACTTGCACTGCCTCCCTCCTGTGAGCTGGGGAGGCTGCAGACAGGGCGGGGTGATCTGTAATTGAATACACGCTGTCTTTATTTGAAGGAGTGAAAGGAGGTGAGTTAGCCCTATAAAAGTGCCTAAAAAGAGCTGACCACCATGCCAGCCACGAACACCACTAGAGCTAGGTAAGGGTTGTCCTTTACCCTGCCCACAACCCCCCTCCACCTTCATCCCATTCAGAGGGATTGAGAGAAGCTCATGTGCTAAAGGATAGTGTTGGAAGTAGTTGGATAGGAACAGGAGTTTATAGTCTTGAGTGAGTAAAAACAGTTTTGTCTGTCTGTTGTCCTTTACAGTTAGTGGCATCTATTGTCTTCATCAGTTTCGGAGTGGTGGCTGCCTTCTGCTGTGCTATTGTCGATGGAGTTTTTGCTGCGAGGCACATTGTAAGTAGCACTGAAGCGACTACTTATTTAACTTACCTAATAAATTATGTATATGTATAACACTTGTGCTCCGACTTATAACAAGCTTATTAATCAATGCCATCCCCATTAAAGCTTAATACAGTCTGTCTGCATTAGATATATTAAAACATATGCCCTTCTGCAAGGGCATTGCTCACATACGGCAGGCTGTATGGCTACAACTGTTGCACCCTCCTCACCGAGACAAATATATAATGTGGTAGAGAGAGATTATTCTCCATGACGCAAGTACTTGAAACAATAAATAGCCACTAATGCACTCTCAAAACAATTATGCTAAAATAAGTTATGGCTGGGTAAAAAGGGAGATCAGTGCCATAAGCAGGGTTACATTTGCCAGTATGTACACACTAAACTACATAGAGGCACACTGTTGAATGGAAGAGCAATAGGAAAAGCAATATGATGCAGTGATAGAAAGTGATGCTGTCCGATGGCTGGTTATTCATTGTAACTATACTGTACTTTACAATTGTTAAATTTCATTAAAATGCTTGTAAATATTTCAGAATTCTACTTCTAAAAACTAAATCACATTTTTGGTGCCTATGGACATAATCCTTTTTGCTTTACCTCAACTATAGATCAACTATGGGCCTGGACAATTAGGTGCATAATAATCACAATCATTGATAATTATAGTTGATTAAACGCCATCATGCTCAATATTGATGCTTGGCATCTAAAGCACTTTCTGACCCTTGACAAATGTTTGTGAAATATACTACACAGGCAACAGATTTATTTATAGGGATTGTGTGAAAATGAAGGTAATATTCTCCCAAACATTAATACAATAATAAATATACATGTTGTCAATATTGAGCAAAATAAGCCATAGTGTAAGTTTGCTGTCACATGTATGTTATAGGTTTGTGTGTTTTAGTGGGTTAGTGTACAGTATTACCAAACAAATATGTGATTAATCAGATTAGCACAGGTTAGTAACCAGCCTTGCTTACTAGCTTTCTAAGGGGGGTTGAATGACGATGATAATCATGGTTACCGTTGCAGTCACTGATCATGGAGCACAAATCAAGTATAAGCTTCTTCTAATTTAGTAGTTTGGTGTTAGTAAGTAGACCCGTGATGAATCGTGCAGTGAAATATAGAAACATGTCATTTATTGTGCTGCAGGACCTCAGGCCTCTGTATGCTGGACGCTGTGAGTATCACTACAGTGAGACTGCATCTGACCGCGATGTAAGAAACACACATTTCTCTTTCTGTTCCCAGAAACATGATGAATTCATCCTATGTATGTTATTAATCATCTGTCAATACAGCCATTGGTTGTTTAGCCATGAAGTTGTATAAAGACATAATTAAGAGGCAGAAATCAACCCATATTGAAGAGACTATAAAATAACTTTTGACCTCCAGGTCTCCTGTCAGTCATCACGCACCTCCTGCAACCTGCGTGTGAAGAGCAACACCTGTTACTGCTGCGACCTCTACAACTGCGGGAAGTGAGTACGCTGGGTGGTCGAGCCCCTGATACACCTCTGAATCAATGGCTACTTACCTTGCTGTGACGCCTTGATTGTTTGGGACTTTCGATGTGTCCCGTTTGATGTGTTATTTTTGCGGGAGATTTTTTATTTTTTATTTTTGCACTGCAACTGCGTTGATGGTATTAGAACAAGAATGTTTCTTTTCTTTTAACCTTTGTTTCAGAGAACATCCTCTTATGGGACTTCAGAATAAAGATGTTTTGAAAAAGTTTAGGAAATCCTCCATGATTTGGAAGTAGGTCCCTTTTTTCTAGAACCATATTGGCCGTTAATGATCAACTCATGATTTTATTTTATTTTTTTGACAAGTGATAATTAAACCTAAGTAATGTATGTAATGTTTAGTTTTTATGCTTTAGCCCACCATAGAAGTGTGTTTTTAGGGAGCCATTTGCTCTGCATGTCCATTTTGTGTCTGATCAAACACCCATGGCATGTCCTCTGTGTCTCAGATTTGAACCAAAACCATCTGAACTTTTACAGAGACTTATTCATCTATATAAATCAAACCTTGTTGTATGTCTTTTAATGTGTCCTGAATACAAATGCACAGAGCCCAGTGGTGATTTTTGTGGCTTGACTGTAGGCTGTTTCCCTCTCTGTCCCACCAACTGGCCTAGCCGTGTAGAGGTGATTGGAGGCTACCACGAATACACAGATGTGAAGAGCTGCCAGGACGTGGTGCACCTCTATCACCTGTTATGGTTCGCTACCATCCTCAACATCGTGGCCCTCTTTCTGGGCATCATTACTGCTGCAGTGCTGGGAGGCTTCAAAGACATGGTAGGTCAGGTGACTGAAGAGAAGACGCCATTGGACAACTGGGCTTAAATTCTGCCTGATGTGTCGAAATAAGTCTGGTACTATATATTGATCTTTAATTATAGATTTGTCAGTATGAGCTGATGTAAAGGTGTTTTGTTGAGATGATAGCGACTGATCAATATTCTTCATGTCCTTGTCAGACTCCTGCTGCCTCAGAGAGTGCATCTGAACCTGAGGCCATTGCAGCTCCAGTGCCCTCACAGCCTCCTCCACCCACCACTTCCCTCAACTCGTATTACAACACTGCCCCCTGCCTGCCGCCTTACACTGCCTACGACCTGCAGGTACAGAGCCTATTAAACCCTGCAGTGTACTGCGTGATATGCGTAGAGTGAGAATGTGGCCAAAACACTAATTCATTTATTATTGGCTGTTTTATCAGTGATGTCTAGTTATTTAAAGCACTTGAACCACTTTATCTATTGGGTCATTTGATGTTGCTGCTAATTTCCCTACATGTGCTAGTGTTTCATTTTTGGTGTGTATATATAGAGTATTTCACAAAAGTGAGTACACCCCTAACATTTTTGTAAATATTTGACTATATCTTTTCACTTAACAACACTGAAGAAATGACACTTACTCTACACCCCTGAGTGAAAATGTCCAAATTTGGCCAAGTGTCAATATTTTGTGTGGCCACCATTATTTTCCAGCACTGCCTTAACCCTCTTGGGCATGGAGTTCACCAGAGCTTCACAGGTTGCCACTACAGTCCTCTTGCACTCCTCCATGACGACATCACGGAGCTGGTGGACGTCAGAGACCTTGCACTCCTTCTTCTGTTTGAGGATGCCCCACAGATGCTCAATAGGGTTTAGGTCTGGAGACATGCTTTGTCAGTCAATCACCTTTACCCTCAGCTTCTTTAGCAAGGCAACGGAGGTGTGGAGGTGTGTTTGGCGTCGTTATTATGTTGGAATACTGCCCGGCAGCCCAGTCTCCGAAAGGAGTGGATCACGCTCTGCTTCAGTATGTCACAGTACATGTAGCTCCCCAGTGCTGGCAGTACTCATGCAGCCCCAGTCCATGACACTCCCACCACCATGCTTGACTTCAGGCAAGACACACTTGTCTTTGCACTCCTCACCTGGTTGCCGCCACACACACTAGACACCATCTAAACCAAATAAGTTTATCTTGGTCTCATCAGACCACAGGACATGGTTTCAGTAATCCATCCTTAGTCTGCGTGTCTTCAGCAAACTGTTGGCAGTTTTCCTTCTGGGATGACAGCCATGCAGACCAGTTTGATGTAGTGTGCGGCGTATGGTCTGAACACTGACAGGCTGACCCTCCATCCACCCCTTCAACCTCTGCAGCAATGCTGGCAGCACTCATACATCTATTTCCCAAGGACAACCTCTGGATATGAGGCTGAACATGTGCACTCAACTTCTTTGGTCGACCATGGCGAGGCTATGTTTAACTTCTAGTGACCAGTATGAGAGAGTGTGAGAGCGATAACACCAAATTTAACACACCTGGTCCCCATTCACAACTGAGACCATGTAACACTAACGAGTTACATGACACCGGGGAGGGAAAAAGGCTAATTGGGCCCACTTTGGACATTTTCACTTAGGGTTGTACACACTTATGTTGCCAGCAGTTTACACATTAATGTCTGTGTGTTGTGTTATTTTGATGGGACAGCAAATTTACAGTGTTACACAAGCGGGACACTCACTACTTTACATTGTAGCAAAGTCATTTCTTCTGTGTTGTCACATGAAAAGATATAATCAAATATTTACTAAAATGTGAGGGGTGTACTTACTTTTGTGAGATACTATATGTTGGCTTTTATATTACCCATTGTTTTATGCTTTTGTATGGGTTGGATACTATCTGTTTTATACTTTTAATGTATGTTTGTTTAATGTTTAATGTATTGTGTGCTTGTGTTTTTTTGTCTTCATTTAAGTGAGCTCTCTAAGGCAAATTCCAATCAACCATGTTTATATGGTAATGAAGTATTGAATCTTGATGTCTTTTGATAAAGGAAGTGTACGAGAAATGAATCAGTTATTATCATGACATGAAATGGCATGCAACTTTATCTTAATGCCAGCAGTCAGTAGTCAGTATGTACATCTGCTATAATCTGTATTCTTCTCTCACTGTCAACAGACAAATATTCTAAATAGGGTTGTAAATGCCTGCAGCAAATACGTGGTCTGAGTACAGTTGATAGAGAAAGTAGAGTCCATGTGGTCTGACAGCTCCCCCTCCCCCTACATCCAGTTTCTGACTCCCATTAGCCCCCCCCCCCCCCAAAAAAAAACAGATAAAAGGACTATTTCATACCCCATCTCTATAAACTCAAAGATGTCTTTCAGGAACCAAATTCTTTTTTTTACCCATAATTTCACTTATGTATTCATGTGCTTTGTGGTTTTATCTTGTGTTTCTCTGCTGCACAACCAGTTGCCCTTTCAGGACAAATAAAGTGATTGATTGAATAGTCACTAGCAGTGAGGACCTTATTCTGAAACCAAACTAGTAAACATGTCATTTTAATAAGTGTTTTGCCTTTCCAGCAGGGCTCCTACATGTTCCCAGACTCCTCAGGCCTGTCAGATGACTCCCAGTCTGGAGCCAGCCACTTGTGGCCCACTTTGATCCCGCCGCGCTACTCACCTCCTCACAACCACCCTGATGAGAAGCCCCCACCATACAGCCCATAACGTGGCACGAGCACAGAAAGCACCTGGCATGTTGTTAGATGCTGAATGAGCAGTTTGAATACACAGTCCCTCTGGGCTCTTCCTCACAATCGTTGAAAACTGTGTCGAAGGAAAGGTGGTGAGGAGGGCAGCCACAGAGTACACACTAACTTTGAGTTCAGCCCTACAAAAGGGAGCGAGTGTTTGTCTCCCTGGGCATCACTCACACTCATGCCTTCACTGTTTGTGTGTGTGTTTGTGTGCATATACACATCAAGAGAGAGACAACCGGTTCAAAGCCAGGACTGTTTACACATCTATCTGCCTTAATGCAAATGGACTTCCAGTGCTGCAGCACTCTGTCACCTGCACTTATTGTGGTCAAAAACTCTCCAGCTCATAATTTATGTTCACCTCTCTTTAGTACATATTGTAAATGCTTCCCGCCTCGAGTGCGCCCTCACTCTTTGCAGTGTGAGGATCTGGACTGACCTTGTGTCAGATTAGATGAAAGCTTTAGTATCTGTCACTAATCTAAATCAGCAAGAAAATTAAAAGCTGTAGAGCTGTAGGCCCAAGCAGTCGTTTCACTGTACATTATTAAAAGGCAAAGTTAGCAGGTGTTAAGTACTCATAATGTATGTATAGCAGTGAGACATACAGATCGTTTCAGCAGTTAAGCCTAAGTTGTACAAACAGATCATGGTATCTATATATCAACTTTTCTGTTTATGTTCATAAATATCTCAATCAGTGTGGTGAACTTTGCACAGATGTATTCTTAAGTTAACTATCACTCGAAACCCTATTTATTGTATTTTCACTAAAAGCTGCAAAGCAGATAAGCATATATTGTGTCTATTTGTAAGTAGCCGTAATTTTACATCTATTAGTTGTGTTGTCTTTGTCACGAATAAACACTGGTACGGTTCAGTATGAACAGTCAGTGCTGGATTCATTGACAGGAGATGGGACATTGTGAAAAGTCAAAGTTAAGAACTGTTGTTCACTGAGGAAGAGAAAAGTGTAAAGTCAGTCCATGTCCACAAAACCAGTCTGTCAGCTTTAATCACTTTTTATTATTTAAATACATTCTCAGGGACTGATTGTCAGTTCCCTTTTGTCTTGCCATTAAAACATGTTTTGTGTAAATTCAAATAGTGTGCGTTTCTTTTTAGCCAAGCTTTAGCCATTTGGACGGCAGCGTCAGTTGGTCCACCATTAAATTCTGTACAACAGTGATTCCGAGATGATGATCCCGACTTTTCCTTTAGTGCCGACATGAGGTTCACATTATGGGTTGTTGGTAAAATTTCTCAGCAACTGTTGGACCAATTGCCACGACATCTGTCAAAATGTTCATGTCCCCCGTCAAGATAAAACTGTTGTAACATCCAATATAGCGCCATCTTTGGGTCAAACTTCCCAAACACAGACCTGCAACGCCTCAGCTCTATTTATATGTATAGTGCTAATCAGCAAGTGTTAGAGCATGCTAACACGCTAAAGATGGTCAACGTGGTTAACATTATACCCGCTAAACATCAGCATGTTAGAACGCCAACATTAGCATTTTAGCGCAAAGCACCCTTGTTCCCAAGTATAGCGTCACAGAGCTGCTAGCACGTCGGAAGAAAAGTCTTGTTTAAGTGCAATTGGATGAAATTAAATCATGTTTACCCATGTCTCTGAAGTCTCATTGCACAAGTGAGTTCAGCGCTTCCATCATGTTCGCTGGCTGTACACACAAGACTTTGTATCATTTGTTCAGACTTATTTTACTCTAATATTTTGCATTGTGGCAGAGAAAATTGATAAGATTTCCATTGTGTCCCATTTTGAGATGCTAGAGAAGATACATTGCAATGACACAACACAGTAAATAAAATAGGTGTTTATATGCTGGTGGTGCAAGACGATTAACTTAAAAATAGTAAAAGAATAATTTATTTACCATCAGGGAACCCTCATTGTTAATTGACAGAAAAGGGACATTTTGTACAATGCCAACAGAACTACTTGATTTTGTCTACTGCTATGTCCCTAATAAATACAACTGTAAAAAATAAAAATAAAAAAAGGGATTAACACAAATATACACTGTACATCATACATCAATGTTAATCTGTTAATTACAAAACAAAACCTGCATTATTTTATTGAACAGCAGAATAGATTTTCTTGTTAGCACTACCTTTTTTACTCATACTGACCAATCACTACATTTTGACAATGGAAAATCAGAGTGAAAAAGTAAAAATATTACAAAAAAAGGATTCTGCCTAATCCAAGCTAAGTGCTATATGTGCAAACTGAAATAATCCTCAGTTACTGTCAATCCTATCATCACATTTGTATGCAAAATCACTAGCCTACTCTGCGAAGACTGGCAGATTTTTGCAACACTCCTTACAAGACGTCAAAAATTTACAGAAAATAAAACAGGTGTTTAATGGACAAAAAAAATAAGCCATATTTGTTTTTTTCCCAGCAATTAAAATCATTTATCTTCCCTGTCACAATACCCACATGTGGGATCACAAATGATCACAATGAAAAAATATATTTCAGACCATAATCAACATTCTCTTGTACAGAACGAAAACCAGGAATGGTCATTTCAGAAACTCCTTGTATCTGTTAAATGGTTTTCCTCTGATACTCAAAAACAGAGAAATTCAAACAACCTTGATTTATTTGATTATGGGTCGCATCCTGTATTTTACACAAATCTATAGAAACCACAGATGCATAAATGTATCCAGACCAAAGGAAAAAGGTCACCTGGTTACACAAAGTCATCAGCTGAGGTTTCACCATCTTAAATAAGTGACTCCAGTTCCAATTTAATGGAATAGAGCTCAATGTTCTCCTTAACTGATTTAGGCAACATGGCCTTAAAGGTGCTACTAAAAGGATAACGCTATTTAAATATCTCATTTCAATGCTTCCATGCAAATCTTCAGAATTTGAGGCCCAAAAGGAAATGTCAACATCAGTTTGAGCCTGCACCAGCTGTAACTTGTCTCATTCAGAGAAAACCTTAACGAACACGATTATTATTTTTGATTTAAACCCCCCTTTATATTTCTGGGGCAGTTCCATATAGATTTTCCTCCATGTGAACCACTTCTATGTTTTCTTGCTAATGTGATTATCATTTATTCCAATGATACCAAAGATCAACTATTAGCACAAGCAGAGTAAAATCAGTTTTTTTCGTTTCCCGTTTCGATGCCATCTCCAGCGGGCACTGGCGGACATGTTTAGTACAATATTACAATACAAATGTTCTTAAAGGGTAAGGATACAGTAACCATACCTTAAGCTGACACTATCTAGAATTACAGAAGAATATTGTTGACATGGAACCAAAGAGGAAAATGGGTGGGGGGCACCTTAAAGGCACAGGCAATGGAGCAACGAGAGTTGCTCAGTAAGTCTCTGGTATAACAAAGTCAAACTCTGTAGCTCCCTGTGGAGGAGTGTTCATCGTGGACTCTGGTTGGGCGTGAGCATCAGGTGGCATGTGAGCTTCGGGCTCAACAAAGATGTCGTCCCAGTTCAACATTCTACTCTGGGTGGAAGACCTGATGTCTTCGCCGACTGTGGTTATATGATGCACGCTGCCATCCTCGGAGATGACGGGGACCCCCGGCCCGTCGGTACTCCATGAGTATGGTTTCATCTGCACCGTTTTACACGGCAGCAGTCGGTACAAGTTATTGTCGGCTTCATCTTTCTCTTTTCTCCCGCTGGGGTCCTGGTTGTGGACTTGCTTGCAGTGGGTGGACAGTACCTGGTAGTTCATGAACATCTCATTGCACAACAAGCACTGGTACCTCCGCTCTCCTGTGTGGTGGATTTCATGTTTAGTTCTGTACTCTGCCAAAGCAAAGACCTTGTTACAGTAGCGACACGGGTACTTCTTTTCCCACGAGTGGGTGTTGAAGTGACGACGGAGACTTGTCAGACACACGTAGGGGCGCTTGCAGACAATGCACACGTAGAAAGTCTTCCCATCCATAATCAGCTCATAGTGATCCTCAAGCTCTGTTTTGGTCCTCTTCTTGTTTGGGCTGGCCTGAGTTGATGTGGGTGTTTTATCAAAGGGTTTCAAAGGCGTTGCCATTAATGATCTCTTCCCTTTATTGGCTTTAGAGCCTCCTTCGCCTGGATCTTCCTTCACTGGGACAATGTCATATGTATTTTCTCCAATATTAGCATAGACTTTACAGCCTGATGAAATTGAATCAATCTCTGTGGCTGTATTCAGTGTCACTGTCTTTTTTGCTGCTATAGCTGATTTGGGAGTGTTGGTTTGATCTACTGTGCTTTCAGACACATCTAAGAGCCGTATTTTGAAATTCCCTTGCTGAGGTGAAGTAGAGACATGTTTTTTGTGGACTCCCAATATATCGCTGTTTTCAGAGGACTGAGAGGCACTAGAGGGCTCAGGCGTGATGCTGCTTGACCTGGCTGGTGTTGTAGGAGCACTTCCTGAGGAAACTCTGGCAGGGGAAGACGAGTTATTGGAGCTGCTGTCTGGACTGCGCAGAGGGCTGCTGTTGGGCAAACTGGGGTTTTGACAACGGATGCTGGGAGGCTTTGTAGCACATGTTCTTGAGGGGGCTCTGGCTTTCTCTGTTTGTTTTGCAACTGCATGATTTGATTCTTCATTTTGTTTTGGTGCTACATTTTCTGAATCTGCTGTATCCAAATCAATGACCTCTGCAGAGTTGGTTTTCTGATTGGTTGCTCTGGTTTGACCATCTGTCTGAGAGACAAACATAACATCACTGTCCGAGTCCTCATCATTACCTGCAGGTGTGCTCGTCTGATTGAATTCCTCCGCAGATATTGAGAATGATTCTGTGATGATCGGCATCACCTCAGCGGGTGTGTCACTTTTGCATTCCACCTCCTTTGACAAACCAGGTAGTCCCTTAACTTGTGATAATGGTGAACCCAAGTTTGCAATAAACTTGACTCCCAGTATCTGTCCAGCATTTATGAGCTCCTCAAGCATGTCAGAGCGGACGCGGACAATTTTGGAGCTGTAAATGTAATTGAGAATTTCCTCAAAGATTTCTGCTCTGATGAAGTTTAACTCGATAACTTGTCCAGCTACACTGAAGAGCTGGTGGAAATATGAACTTGAGGCAGACAGGATTGTTTTGTGCGCTCTGAATTTCTTGTCCTGTATGATAATAGTGACGTCGCAAAATAATCCATGATTTCGCTGCTCATTCATCGACTTCAGCACAGCTGCTGAATACTGTGTGTCGGTCGCAGATATTAGCTTTAGACTTGGCATGTCTGTAGAGATACAAAAAAAATGTGCAAAAGTCAGATACATTGTGTTGATATGCAAATACCACTCAACTTCAATGAAACATGTAGTAAAGGTATTTCCCTATCCTGATCTTCCAGTTCTAACAGACAATTATCACTGACACCCAGGTGAGTAGTGCATTAATTTTAACCACAAATACCTCTGACTTTGTTTTCTTGTGTTTCTGCAAACTACAGTCCACTCCACTTTATTAGCTAGCTGATACTATGGTTGTCTTATACCCCAAATAAATCCTAAATCCATGAGGGTTATTATGTTTTTGTGGAAATTGTCTTAGGTGTTGATTTAAGCTCATGGCCACAGGCAGTAGTTTGACATGCTTTTTAATTGTAGTGCGTTACACAGTGTTTCAAATAGAAGATTTGAGGCCAGTATTGATATTTAACAGTAAAAAAAAAAAAAAAAAGTCTGTTCTCTTGTGGACAAACTATATGACAGTGACACCATTACCTCAAATATGTATATACACACACACACACACACACTATTCCAAAAAATATGCCAAGCTCTAATTCCTAATACTTTGTCTAACCTTACCGATACAAACGAGGTGGACAAAATATTACAAAGCATTTTGTAAACAGTAAAATCTAACAGCACCACAAACTACAGGCTGCAAAATTATCATGCAGTCGCGGAAAAACAGTTAAAAATAACTGAAAGGCTTTATGGCAGGGCTGTTGCTGGCTGCATTAGCTTAAACTGACAATTAACGTTAACTGGCTATTGTTGAGGTGACAAACGCGTTATTTGAGGAAACATAGTTCCTAGTGGTGGGACAAGCCGTGTTTCAGTCTTTGATACAAACAGGAACAGTGAGAATATGAATGTAAACGGTGTTTGTAGTCATGCAAACAAATGTTGTGTGTGCAAGTTGTGGCAATCAGGCAACAACAACAAACAATAACGTAATTTTAGCTTGTGTTAGCTAAACGTTAGTTAGCCAAAGTTGAAGCAGAAATGTACAGGCGTTGAACTACGATTATTTAACTTTAACAAAGACATTAACTACTTTCACAAATCTCTAAGTATTCCTTTAGACGTGTTAAATGTGATATTCAAACGCTGTTGTTAGCCAGCTAACAAAGGTAACGCTAGCTGCGTTCACTCCCCTTCTTCCTCTCTAATGAAACCCGGACAGCGCGGCCTACAATTTAGCAGCGTGTTAGCATACTACATTCAAATACAACGCAACAGTGAATGCATGCTACCATAAAATAGTCCTACTGCACATACAGTGAAATCTGTTTACCTGCAGCACTTGTGTTTTCTGCCAAGACTAAGCAGGTCCGCTATCACCGACTGTAACAACTTAGCCAGAAACAGACAATGGCTAACAACAGACAGCTTCCCCTGCCAGCCGCTCTCAGCCCTAACTACCGCCTCATTGATTAAACAGCCACAAGGAGTCGCCGTCGTGTAGAATGAACAACTATATAACTCAAACTACATTGTATTAACTTACAGGACATATTACAAATAACATATTGACTTCATGCTAGCCAGAAAAAATAATGAAATAATGCACGTGCGATAATTCAGTTGAAAACCGTTTACTTTTTCCACACCGGGTTTTAGCGTCGAGCCAACAACTACCGGTTCATCGGTTTAGCCTTCAAAATAAAAAGTATAGCGACAGCTACTAACGGGAATTACACAAAGTAAATTAAAGTACCTGGCGGTCTCTTTTAGGTTCACATTGTCCTCCAAGAATGGATCCTGTTTGAGTCTCTTTGCAGCGGTAAAAGTCTGCGTGAAGATGATCGGACACGGTCTTCCTCTCGTGTCCATTGTACTTACTATAATTGTTTGCGTGTTTAGCAGTGTAATGCCGCTTCATATTATATTCTTTATATAGTACTTTCTGCCGGCAGATGAGGCACGTAGCGGTCGTGTTCAACTCCGTGAAAAATAACTCCACTGCCAGAGCCTCCTCAACGTACTTCTTCACCGGCTCCACGTTTCTAATGATAGAAACAGGCATCTTGCTTTGCATCGCGTCTCTGTTGCTACGAAAACAAACGAGCTAACGTACTTTACAGAGAGAATATCGCCGTGTAACAAGTTAATTCATTCCGTCTTGGTGGTTTAAAATTCAAGCCCACATTGCTCCGAGGTTCCGGTACGTTAGTGTGAGAAATCGGAAGTTGTGTTTTCAATGTACAAGCTAAACTTTACAAAACGTCCAACAACACATTTTAAACTTTACATTTATGCGCACCATTGTGCCACATTTTTACATTATTTCTCCATCATAAGAGTGAGCCGCTTGATATTTCATTGTTTATATCGCTATTTAGTCAATAACCTTATTTTCCGCAAAGGACACATAAATCACCGCCACCCTCACTGGACTGCAGCAGAACTAAATCCCACAAAAATTTTGGCTGAAGTGCTTCACATCTGCAAAAATCACATTAATTGAAAAGGAAGTACAGTCTTGATATGAAACACATTTAAAACGCACTGTTTTGATAAATCTTTTTTTATTTTAATAATATAACTTAAATGATATAACAAAGACAATCTGAAAGTGGAGGGGTTTACATTTACATTGACTAATTTGGCAGACCCTTTAATACAATAAACTATCAAAAGAGATCTACAAGTGATAGTAGATACTAGTAAGGAAGATAAAAAGATATGGAAAGACTGTGGCAGGTGCCCATAAAAGCTGTCCTATATAATAATAATAATAATAATAATAATAATGTATTAAATTTAAATAACGCCTTATCTTAAGACACTCAAAGCGCTTCAGAATGAAGGGGGGAACTACTCTCTACCACCATCAATATGTAGCTTCAGCTCATTCATGATATCATGACTCACCTTTGATTCTCCTTTCAGGCTTCACATGAGCCTGTCCAGCAGCTGGTTCAGTCTGGCACCGGATCTCTCTGGTCAGTTCAGGCTGAAACAGAACAAAAAACTGAATAATTCCAAGAAACTACTTTACTTTTTGTAACACCCCATAACAATAATGACTTCAAGAAAAACATCTTTTCCAACATCAGGCAAGAAATCCCTATTATTGGTCCTCGTTTTATGATGCGGGCACTATGGAAGCGGTCTGAATAGGATTATAAAAAGTATATAAAATATAACTGTTACATAAAATCTCACTTTTAACTTCGGGATTTGATAATATTCATTATTAAACATTTTCAACAAACATTAAATTACTTTTTCATAAACTGTGGCTAGATTATTAAGATTTTCTATAAACATTGTATTTCATTATCTAACAACAGATACAAACTGCAATTTAACTCAGTTTTATTAACCCAACTAACCCAACAACAATAACAACAACATAGCACACATTAAAACATTATAAACTGACTGAATTGGTCATCTAAATAAAACATATAACTTGTGTGCTTTTGGCATATGTGTGTGTACGTGTGAGTGTGTGTGTGTGTGTGTGCACGTGGGTTTGTGTGTGCGTGCGAGTTTGTGTGTGTACTTGGTCATCTATCATTTAGGACCATTTTGAGTTTTATAGTTGAGTTGAGTTAAGTGAAGACATTTTAGAAGGGGACATTTGAAGTTTGAGGCTTCAGACTAGTGTTAAGTTCAGAATTGGGTTTAGGTTTAGTTTAGTAGGGGTTGGGGTTAGGCATTTAGCTGTGATGGTTAAGGTTAGGGGCTAGGGAATGCATGATATCAGTGAATTTCTTCACTAAGATAGAAGTACAGTAGTGTGTGTGTGTGTACGTGTGTGTGTGTGTGTGTGTGTGTGTATGCGCCTCTTGCTTAATGGCATTCAAAGTCTAGCCCACACCTCTTTCAAGAGCTCCACATAGCGCTTTGTCACAGGCTGTGGGGGTGGTTTCAAGGACATTATCAAACAGGTACCAGAGGATATCATCCGGAGTTGAACAGAAGAATCGGTTTGGTTCAACGCGATGCATACATTTCACTTGGACATGTGTTTCATCTGTGCTAAAGATGATGCCTGGATACAGCTCTTCATCACATCTGAGCATGCACCACTGCCCAACCAGCTCTAAACTTCCCCACTGGATTTCCTTTTCTGGCGGTGGATTCCCTTCACTGGCTGGCTGTGGCACAGCTAAACACTGTGTTGAAGAGCTTGCAGTTAAACTTCTCAGGGGCATGATTTGGACTTTGTGGAGAAGTGGTTAAGTTCGTCAGTACTTCTCTTCTTTCCTTGCTTCTTTTGTAAGCCACTCTCCACTTTATACGCTTCTGCTGCTGTTCTCTTTCACTTAAGTCATTGATTCTCTTTTGTTCCCCTGTCTCTGTATTTTTTCTCCATCTCTGGCGTTCATTCTGCAGGTATTTCTCCCTTCTTTCAGGATCATCGTTTAGGCGTGCACGATACTGCCTCTGCCTTTCTGCCACTGTTGTTGATGCCATCATAGACTCATAGATGTCTGTAAATGTTTAAATTGATATACTTAAATCAAAAATTTGTTAAGATGACATTAAACACATGCATGTGGTATAAGACTGTTAATCAAAATAATAATTAATTTAAATAATTGGATAACTTCACAACCAAAGTGTTAACACAACCCGTCACAATATAAGTAACGGGGTTGAGTGTGACAGGGTTGTGATTTTTTGCTAAAGATGGCTGCTCCTCTACATGTGGTTCATAACAGGAGAGCACATGGCATGCATAAGATTAAAAAATCATATTTGTGGTTGAATTAACAAAGATCATTTTCACATCTACAAATTGTAACAAGGTTGAGTTGTTAAGCTTGACGACCACAATATCACAATATAAATGACTGAAATGTGGTTAAATGTGTGCACAATGTTGTTCAGAAGACTTCGATGATGTCACTTCCTGTTGTAGATGTCACTTAAGGATCAGTTTATTATTTTTATTGGGGGGGGGGGGGTGACATGTGTAAACAAGGTTTAGGGGTTGCTGAGGTATGGAACTAAATAATGTGATTTTAATGAATAATCAGGAATTTAATTTGGGGAAAAAACATTGACGGAATAGAAGGATAGATGTTTGTGACTTCTATCCCAAGTACACTTTCCTAGAAGCTCATGAGGGACATGAAAAAAAACAAGATCCTTTTTGATATAAACTTAAAATCTATTTAATGTTTTTACACTTTATCAAAATAAAAAAATGTTTTAAAAAATACACATAAAAGAGGTCAGAGAGACTCAAATCATACTGGTTATTCAGTATAATAATAATGTCATATTCTAGTCTATCCACAATTATTTTTTTTTGAAAACAACCATGTTAATAGATGTTAAATATGCAGTCAGTCAAACAGATATTCTAACCAAAAAAACAATTTACATAAACTGCAACAACAGCTCTGAAATTTACATATAAGGCTAATGTTACCAACTTTTGCCATATTAACCACTCTCGCCATTACAACACAGCCTAATTGCAGTTTTCAGCACTTTACAAGCCTATGACGTCCTCAAATGTCTTGTTTCGTCCACAACCCACAGTTATTCAGTTTACTGTCATCAAGGAGCAAAGAAACCTGAAAATATTCGCATTTAAGAAGCTGATATCAAAGAATTTTGACTGTTTTAAAAAAAAACTAAAACCAATTGATCGATCATCAAAATAGTTGGCAGTAATTGATTTTAATCATTGCAGCTCTAATTGCTTTGTAGGTAGGTAGATTTTAAAAATTCCATAAAAAAACTAATAAAACTTAACTACAACAAATTAATGCACTGATAATGCATTCCTGTTTGAATAATGGGGTCAAACGTTGAGTTGGGTGGGTAAATTATCCATTTTTGGGGATTGTAGCATGAAAATTTATTAGAACTGTGTCAAAGTGGTTAATTGCATGGATTACATGTGGATAACAATTTTCATAAAAACATATGTGAAATTCCCACATCAGCTACTGATAGTTTAATGGGGACATTACAGTCATGACTTCAAGTAAGCCAATAAGTCCTATATTACTTTCAGTTGACATCCAGATATTTATTTAACTTAACTACAACAAATGTTCTTGCCACAATCATTTTGTCAAGCTATTTCAAAAGTGTAAAATGTATTACCTATAAATATGCCTATACTTAACTATCAATATTGTAAGGCTCTGAGGTTTAAGGATATGCTATCTTGTACATCAGCATGTTAGTGTGTCATATGAATTCAAAAAAGTTGACAAAAGTTGAAAATGTATGTGGAACATGGAGATAAGAAAACTAACCAAGGGAAGACATCCATCCATCATCAACCGTTTATCCTGCGCACAGGGTTGCAGGGGGCTGGAGCCTATTCCAGATGACATTGGGCGAAAGGCGGGGTACACCCTGGACAGGTCGCCAGTCTATCGCAGGGCCAAACATAGACAAACAACCACTCACACTCGCATTCACACCTAAGGACAATTTTAGAGACACCAATTAACTTAGCATGCATGTCTTTGGATGGTGGGAGGAAGCAGGAGCACCCGGAGAGAACCCACGCAGACACAGGGAGAACATGCAAACTCCACACAGAAAGGCCGGGGCAAACGGGGTTTATGGGAAGACATATGAAGGAATATTGAAGGAGTGCAGGTAAATAAATAAAAAACATATCTTAAAAAGAATATAATGTTAGGAATACCTGGAAAACTCGATAATGACAGGATGGGTTGTTTATTTATTCAGATATCTCATTATGGGAAATTGCTGGGAAATGATGAAGCAACATTACATCCATGTCAGAACCAAACAATAGATAGATATTGCTGACAAAAAAAAATTCTGATCTGAAAATGTCATGCAATGATGAAACCCAGACTGCTTGTAGCAAAGTGGGTATTTGTTTTGACTTTGCCATTCCAACATTTAGGAAAATGTATCAGTAGACCCAACATGAACATCATCTTTGGTTTGATAAACTAAGACCAAGGATGTTATCATTGATTTTCAGAAAGAAAAAGGCTGTGGTGACCCCCCCAATGTCATGATTAAAGATGAAGCTTCCTCTAATTGCACTTCGGTGTCCTTGTGAATAACAGGCTGGTCTGGAAAGAGAACACCAGTGCCATCTTTTACAGGAAGCTGCAGCCTTTTAATGGCAGCAGTTCACTCCTGCATGTGTTTATGAAAGCATTTTAGCAAGTGTCCTATTTTATGCAGTTTTTTGTGGCTTAAGGAGGACGAGGACAAGAACCAGAAAAAATAAACTGAAAAGTAAGGCAGGGTCTATTATTGGCTTGACCCCTGACACTCTAAAAGGGTAGGAAGCCCAAGAGTGATATGCAAAATGAGGATCATCCAGTGTACAATGTTTAGCCACAGATCAGCCAACAGCAAAATTCAATTGCACTAGCCAAGTTTCAACCAGTAGAGGGCATATGCATACCCACCAGACCAGGCAATTTTTGTGTTTTATTTTTTATTTCAACTTCCTCATCTCCTCAATTTATTTGCAACTATTTTGTCTCAATGGACTTACTATTAATGATTGGTGTGTATAGTGTTTAGTCTGTTTTATATTTTTTGTTTGATGCATCTGTCCAGTGCATGCTTCATCAGATCTTATGTGTCATTTGTTGAAACTGCTTCTGTCCACCAAAGTGGCACTTGTGCACTCCTGTGCTCACTCATGAAACTGTTGCTACCAGAGTACACAGCTCCCACCCAATTCAATCTCTCATACTCTTCATTCATACTGGCTTCTTTCCAGTGAGCTAACATCATGGCTTGCATCTCAGAAAGAGCCATTTCTAATTTTGATTGATTTGCCCCTTTGTGGTTGTGATGTCAATAGCTGCATCACAAAATGTGGCTGTCATTTTATGTATAAACCATTGGTACGTCTTGGACCTGTTTGATGCAGCATAAGTGAGTGCTTACAATGTCAACATGAAGGATCCTTACCACCCATTCAGTTTCTGTGTGAATTTGTATCCGGCCACCACCCCTTTCCTTTTTAGTGGAGTCACAGTCTACAACCAGCAATGGAACAATGTTCAAGTCTGCAAAGAAACATAGTTTGAATCCCCATTTATTTTGGGCTTTGCCTTCATGTGTTATTCCGTTTTGAGCTTATGTTAACAGCACCACATGGCAAGCACGGTAACAGTTAACATGGTTCTGTAGTTCACCTTTGTTGAAGAAATATTAGCATGAATGAATTAATGTGATTTGGGGCAATAAAGCATATCCAGTTAAGAGGGTCCCAAACACTAAAGAGCAAGCAAATTCTTAATGCAAACATTAAGTCTGAAATCTCTTTGATTTGAAAAACAACAACAAGAAAAGGACAAATAAATATCTATTTCTCTTTTTATAATATGTCAGGTAAACTTACACCCCAAAAAGTAGCCTACTGACTCTGAACTCAATATCAAATACCTACATACCTTAATATTTCATTAAGCTAAGCAATTTAATATTTCTTCTCATCTTGCTCTGTAACATGTCCTACCTTTGTGTTGGCTGTGTACAACATACAATTTTCAAGACATAGGCCATTTGTTTGCAGTTTGTGCTCGCATTGTCAATGAATCACTTATTGAAGACTGAAGTACTGAAACAGCTACTGTCGTGATAACAAACAAAACAGGTAATGTCAAAGTGTTAAAGCACAACATGATGTGCTTTTCAGACATCAGAACACATAAAAATAATGAGCACATAAAATACACAACAAATACCTGATGCAGTTATAAAACAAAGTCTGTAATTAAATAATAAAATAATTTATGTTTACTATAAATTGTCCACATGACACAAAATGCATTTGTAACGTTATAATGTAAACAAGTAGATCTTATTTAGCTAAATGTCTTAAAATAGTGACAACCATTAACAGTCAGTATAAACTAGAGTTTCTAAATAATATGTTTTTAAGAGGCTGCAGGTAATAAATAAATAATTGGACTCTTCAGAAACTTTTTTATATTTATTAGACATACTAAAATGTCTTGTAACAAAGTTCAAGCGGAACTTTGTGCTTATACGTGTTCAGGAAGACCGGTTTCTGTTTGGGAACGGACGGATCGGGACTTCCTGTTATTAGACGCTTTGATTGCGTACTACAGAAAAGAGAAGAAACATGAGCGCATGTTAATATCTCCGTTAATCTGAACGTGTTATCTAGTGTGTCCCATAGTGTCCGTGTGAGTCTGAAGCAGTCAGTAAGTATGCCAATGTCTGACCGCTCGAGCTCTGACGGCGGCGGGGAGCCTCGGAGCCCTCGGAGCCGGAGACCCCGGACTCGTTCCCGCAGCCGCAACCGCGGGGACAGCCGTGAACGGAGCCTGTCTCCGGATAGCTTTGGCCCCAAACTCCCGAAGCCACGCAACAGGGAGAGGGAATGCGAGGAGCGGGAGCGCCGATTCAAAGAGGCAAAAACCCTCAGACGGATCCGCATAGGAAGCCCCCACCGGAGCCGGTCACGGTCCCGGTCCAGAGAGCGGCACACCAACAACAACAACAACACCAACAACAGCAGCAGCAGCAGCAGCCACAACCACTGGCCCGAGCAGCGCGACGCTCCGGGAAAACACGGGAGCTCCAAAGACGACTACTACTACGAGCAGCAGAGGGACGATGCTCAGAGACAGAGACAGGAGGCTTTTATTGCCAGGTAACAAATGCAAAAATCAAAGCTTGATAATAGTAATCATGAGGAGACATTTACAAAAAAAATGCTGTTGCTTTTTGGGAACGGCCTTTTGAAACGACATTTATGAATATTCTTTTGCATTGTCTCAAAAAATCAAATAACAATAGGTTAGACCCAAATAAGCCACATCCCACTCCTTTTTTACAAAATATTTTTAGATAGAAAAACAGATTAAATAAAAATTTTACCAACGCCTCCTTAAACTTAGAATCTGTAATCCTACACAAATAAACAAATTTACATGTTGAGAAATACGATATAATCAAACCCTTGACTCGCGTTTTTGTAGCGTTGCTATTGGGCCTGAACTTTTAAAGTTAGCTAAAGTCATTTCATTATTTAAAGCGGAGGATCCCTCAATTTTTCTGATTATCACGCAGTCAAAATTCTCATACGCTTTTTCAAAAAAAAAAAAATTTTTCAAGGGACTTATAAATCATCTGAAAAAGAATAATATAATCTGTGCATGGAAACTGCGCTTTATGGCAAATAATCCCTTTGAATATTTCTCGATCTTTCAAAGGGTTTCGACACAGTTAACTGTGATATTTTGCTTTCCACAGCCCAAAGAAACATGCCTTAATCAGACAGACGGCTAGAAGACTTTGAGTATGAAGTTTAGAATGGTGTAAATCTGTAACCAGCAAGTCTTTAGGGTCACAGACTGATTTTCTGCTTTCGGCTGCTGTATGTGTTTCAGCATTACCTGCCGTCAAAAGCTGTGAAAAAAGTATCCTAAAAGAGCTTGCTTACTTTAAATGTTCAGACAACTCGTCTCTTGACAAATGTGCCGTATTAGTCAAACGTTCTCTTGACAAGGACTAGGTTGAAATCATTATCGAAATATCAATGCGGGTATTTTCCAACACTGCTGAAATTGAGTTGTTGAATGCTCTTCTGCTGATCGTACAGAGATGTATTTTTTCAGGCAGGTTTTATACAAATAGAGGAGCCGATAGGAAGTATTCCTCAAAGGTTTTCCCACATAAAAACTTATTCTTCGTTTATTTTAACACAACCAGTTATTTGTTGTGAAAATAAAATGAGCCAGGTGTCACGTGTGATGAAGAAGGTCTCGGAGACTCATGATGACTTACGCAGCATTGTATATTAATGCTCGGCCAAGGAGACAGCTAACAGCATACAGTGTGCAGACACAGAGCGTACTGCCAAACCAAATCTGTCCGAACCTTCTTTCATCCGAAATATTTATTTCTCTGCCTTTCCCTTAGTGTGAATGGGCTTTGCCTACACGTTTATCATTAACTGTCATTAATAGCCTCCAATGCATTACCTATGTCACGTTAAAATCTAATGGTCTCATGTATTTTCACTCCAGAGACTGTATGTTCTGTAAACATAGTTCTGACTCCATCAGCCAGCTGTCATCACCCTGACTAGAAGTGAGACAGAGGCAAAGAGCTATAACTTGAAAGTGCAGAGTGCATTTTACTTTTTGGGGTCTGCTAGTGACCCTGAGCGTAATACATGAGCCGTATGTCACCTGTTACCTGGATGAAAACTTGTTTAGACTGCATCTGTCTGTCTTGCTGTTACAGGCGTCTGCAGGAGCGGGAGAGGATCGGTGAGCTAGGTTGTCCTGAAGTTTGGGGATATTCACCAAGAGTGAAGGAGCCAGAGTAAGTCAAGAGTCTCTCCTCTGTTAGCTATCATCACAGCATTAACATGTTAGTGTTGTATATTGTGCGAGATGAGAGATACACAAAACTAAATATTACTTTACTGTTTTAAGACAAACTGACTTTCTTGATGGACAAAATTAGATTTTGAATTGATAAATGTCAGATGTGTAAATCGGGGCACAATTCAAACGGGATCAAAACATTTGTTGCCTCTCGCTGTTGACTACTGTACAGATTTTCTCAGCGGGGCAGAAGTGGAAGGGAGGGACTTAGGCTTTCTATATTGGATTATATGTTGTATTTGGGTGCAGAAATGAATCTCTTTCTTTTGTCTCCACCAGCTCTGATGAATTCACTCCGGTTGAAGACGAGAAAAACAGCAGCTCAGAATCGAGCTCAGAAGGTACAGCCCATACCGTGTTTGAACATAAATACATGACGTTAATATTATATGGAGTTTGAATTTACAAGGAAGTCTGTCTGTCATTCGCAGAAGAGAAGAGGAAGAAAAAGAAGAGGAAGAAATCCAAGAAAAGAAAGAACAAAAAGCACTCAGAGGATAGTGAGCTGCAATCCGATTCAGATGGTAAGACAATCAAAATTACGATTCATTTAAGAAAGCTCAGTCTTTTTCAGTTCACCAGCTGAACTGTTGTGTTTTTATCTTGCAGAAGAAGAAGTAAAGAAGAAGAAAAAGAAAAAGAAGAGCAAAAAGTAAGCGCCGATATGCAGCTACACGACAACTTCATTCACACAGAAGGGGACGTTTTGATTAACCAACCGTTACGTGTTTACTAACAGGTCTAAGAAGTCCAAGAAGAAAAAGGCGAAGAAGAGCCGCAAGGAGTCCAGCAACTCTAGTAGTGAAGAGTCAGAGGAGGAAGAGGAGGAGGATCCTAACGCGGTGATGTGGGTGGAGAAAACCTGCATGGACGAACATGTGGTTGGGCCTGAAGCGCCACTCACCCATATGTCCCAGGACGACAGACCTTTGGAGTGAGTCTATTTCACATTTGTATTTAATCTTACATTACTGTTGAACTTTACATCACTGCAACTTAGAATTTCCACAATAAAAACACTGCAGAGGTTGTCTGAGAACAAGCAGGAGTCATGAAGCTGACAGGTTATGTTTTCCATCAATGCCAAGAAGACAACTTTCTACTATAATTCTTTTTGGTTTCAGTGCAGTTCATCAGGAGGCTGTTATTCTTCTGTTTCTGGAAAAACTAGAAAGAAATGATACGATCGACTGTGTCAAATCTGTTGTGGAGACAGAAAACATGTCAGTGACCACATGTATACGCTAGAGTGAAAAGCAAAGCAAGTTATTACACAATCTTAGGTTATGTACAGTTGGTAGAGCTGAAATGATTGGACAATTATTCTATTGGTTTATTATCAGAAAATCAATCTGCAACCATTTAATTAATAATAATGGAATTGTAAGCCATGCTAGCCATGTGGTGGACACGGCCATCTCTCTATGGATGGCTGTGTCCACCACTTTGGTCCAGACTGAAATATCTCAACAACAGTTTGATGATTTGATTAGGTTGCCATGACATTTTGTCCTGACATTCACGGTGCCCAGACGATAAATACAAATTCAAAAGCAGGTTGAAGTTTTTTTACATAACTTGTGACGAACAGTTAATCAAAAATAGCAAGATGGCGCACGGTTGGTTGGGCTCCGTGCTCCTCCTGCTTTTGCACTCTGATAGACTTTCTACTGACACCAAGATTAATAAGCAGCAAATACGTGAATATGTCAATAAACCAGAAGCCGCAAGTAAGAAGAACAAACAACATCAACAAGTGAAATGCCGGCGTGGAGCAAACAAACAGCGTCAGCGTTCAGACCTGCTATTCACCTGTTTGGTGTGGCTTCTGCTGCTGCTAACATTTGGATCACTTGTCCTAAGGAGGAGGAGGAGGAGGAGTTCTGGTTTACATTAAAGACCCCTTTAAGACCAAGAAAGTCCAATTAGATTAATCTCATTCAGTTGAAAGTCTATGTGTAAATGTTGCTTTACATGCAGCATGATGTTTAACATCCCTGTGGTGTATAACCCACCATCTAGTTGCCTACAAACTTTCTATCAAAATTTAGAAAACATTTTCAAATCTTTTAAACCTAACAAGAGAGGTCCTTATTTATGGAGACACTAATGTTAATTGGCTAAATAAATCCAGTAGGAAACAACTCAAAGAACTAACATCAAAATATGATTCATCAATTTATAAATGGACCCACTCGCCTGACAAAAACATCACAGACGGTAATAGAATTAGTTTTCTCAAATAAGCCTGAAAGAGTCTTAAAAACATACAATTTGGTGTGTGGCTTATCCGATCATAACATGATATTAATTTCCAGAAAACTCTCAAAGCATCTAACTGAATATAAAAATGACGAAAAGACAACAAAGTAGTTAACAATTCCCCGCAAGGATCTTAATAAATTTGAGAATGAGTTAGCAAACACTAATTGGGATGAAGTCTCACAACATAGTCAAGTGAATGAGTGATGTGATATATTTACTTCTACAATGAGTAATATTTTAAATAAGTTCTTAAAACAATGCAAAAGGCCACAAAGACAAGTACAACTTCCATGGGTAAGTGATGCAGTGCGACAGCTAATTAAAAAAAGAGATTTTGCTCTAAAAAAACAACCTTAAAACCAGATTTGACACAGACCTGAAGTTATTTAAAGGTTTACGAAATCAAGTAGTAAAAGAATTGTGCAACTCTTAAGCAAACTATTATATTAAAATTCTAACTGAAGCTAACGGAAATTGTTGCTGATGCTTTTTTAATCAATTTTTCATTAAATCCATACAAGATGTTGCTTCTAAATTTTCAGATAGCGAGCCCAATAGTAGCAACTTAAACATACTATCATCAGCAAATGAGAATTCCTTTAAAATTAGAGCAGTGGATCAGGCAGTGGTATTGAAAACTATTTCAGACCTGAATACCACTTTATCCAAAGTCAACTACAACATAGACGCAGCTTTCCTCAAAAAATATGCTCAAATTATCATCCAACCTTTGACCCACATTATAAATGTCTCTATTAAAACTGGAATATTTCCAGATGCTTGGAAAAAGGCACTGGTTAAACCCATCTTTAAGTCCGGGAATACCGCAGACGTCAGTAACTATCGACCAATAAGTCTAGTTCCAGTAATGTCGAAAATACTAGAAAAAATCATTTCAGAACAACTAACTGAATATTTAGAAACACATCAATATATACACCCTCAACAGTATGGTTTCAGACAGAACCATTCCACTGAATCAGCCATCTGCGCATTATTGGAAGATATTGTGCAGCCGCTTGATAAAGGAAACATCGTGGCTGCAGTATTCCTGGACTTAAAGAGGGCATTCGATACAGTAAACCATAGCCGTCTTATCTCAAAACTGTCATCCTTTAACATATCACACCAGGCATTATCATGGTTCGAGTCATACTTACAAGGCCGAGAACAATATGTAGTTATTGATCATATAAAATCTGCCCCATGTAAAATTAAGACCGGAATCCCTCAGGGAACCAAACTGGGGCCTTTTTTCTTCAGCCTGTATGTGAACAAGCGTCCTGAAGTTGGCCTTCAGATGTATGCCGATAACACTGTGGTTTATGTGTCCAGCAAAAGCCCTGCTGTTATTGGCAGTACAATGACCAAAAGTCTTGAGAATGTGTTTAATTGGCTAAACAAATCCTGTCTAACACTTAATCTGAAGAAAACTATTATATATATATATATATATATATATATTTCTATATTTCTATATTTCTATAAAAAGAACTCGGACAACAAATTACATTAACATCAAAATGAATAGCGAACTCATCGATCAGGTAGAACAAGAAAAATGTTGAGGAGTGATTTTAGATTCTCAGCTAAACTTTAAAAGTCATATCAAAAACATCTCAAGAAAAATGAAGGCCAGTATGAATTGTTTCAGAATGATCAGGAGCTGTCTGACATTTGAATGTGCTCATGTCTTTCTGAACACTATGATCCTGTCCCACCTGTCGTACTGTTTGGTCCCAGACCAGCCAAACTACCCTAAAGCTTATTGAGGGGCTTTATAATCGTGCCCTAAACATTTTAGATAAAAAGCCCATTTGATTCCATCACTGTTAAATTTACTAAACATAAAATCTTAAACTTTGTTAATTTTGTTAATCTTAGACATATAAAGTTGTTTTTTAAATGTTTGACTGGACTTGCACTTGAGCCACCTTGTAAATTTTTGAACAGGCTGGAACCCTTCAGATCAACAAGAGCTGCTACATGTGTAAAGTTCCATTTCATAAAACATCTTTTGCCCAAAAAGTTTTTTCTGTGAAAGGAGCCAATCTGTGGAAATGTCTTCCTACAAATATAAAGACTTTAACTAAACTTTCCACCTTCAAAAAACAAGCAAGCAGTGGTGTGATCATGCCATATGAAATGTATATCTGTGTGTATGTGAGGTGTGCATCTGTGTGAGCTCGAATGAATGTGTTTATTTACTACACTAACTCTTATTGGTGCTAACTGGTTTCTGGACATTTTATTGTATTCACTGTAAATTTTTACTCTTTCACTATCTTAACTGTTAAAAGCCCTTCTAGGGACAGGTGTTTTGCAAATTAGCCACGGCTATAAACAATGTGATACAGGCATCAGATTATTTTTTATGTAATAATCTATGTTTTTTGTATCTGTCCCTATACAAATAAACTATTAATATAATAATAATAATATCTCAACATCTATTTGCACAACATTTTAGTCCAGACATTCGTGGTTCCCAGACGATGAATCCTTATGACTTTGGGGATAACCTGACTTTTCTTCTAGCGCCACCCTGAGGTTGACTTTTATGGTTGGGACTGAAATGTCTCGACATCTGCTGGATGGATTGCCTTGAAGATTAGCACATTCATGTCCCCCCTCAGGGTTATAATTGTAATAATTTGGATCGCCTGATGTAGTTCCATCATCAGGTCAATAATTTCAATTTTGTCCAATACTTTTTAGCATGCTAACTCGCTAAACTCAGAACGTTAATGTGGTAAAATACTTACCTGCTAAACATATACCTCAAGAGACAAGGCTGTAGACTCTAAGTCTTGTAAATGTAGTGGTTCCGGCTTCTTAAATTCTTTGATAGTAAACTGAATATTTATAGGTTTTCGACAGTTTGTTGAACAAACCAAGAGATTTTAAAAGGTCAGCTTGGGAACTTGTGATGTCCATTTTCTGACATGTTGTAGGCCAGACAATTAATCAAGAAAATAGAAAATCTGCAGGATAAAAATGAAAATAATCATTAACTGCAGACCTAGAAGTTGTCTTAATAACATTACTAGCAGCTGTATGAAAAGGTTTAAGAAGAAGAAGCACATTCAAAATCTTTTGGTTTGTAGTATTTATTTCTGCCTAAAGTAAATTTGTTTCTCCTTAGGTAAATGTTGCCTAATTGTTTTAATTTTCCCTCTCCTTCCAGTTTTGGCCATGCACTGTTGCCAGGTGAAGGTGCTGCGATGGCGGAGTACGTGAAAGCAGGCAAACGTATCCCTAGAAGAGGAGAGATCGGTCTCACCAGTGACGAGATCGCAAACTTTGAGAAGTCTGGCTATGTGATGAGCGGCAGCAGGTACGCAGTGTTTACAAATGGAACTATAAACACCACGATACGACTTGTATCGGTAGGATGCAGTGAATCCACCAATTTTTCCTTTATCACAGTTAAAAATTCACTTTAACTACCAAGGCCTCACTGGAAAAAGAAATGCATGACTTAAATGAAGGTGACTGATCACACAACCTAATGTGAAAACTTGAATTACATTTTGCCTCCAGCCACCTCTGCAAATATATCATATTATTGTAGAAAATAGATTTCAGTATGTGTTTGGGATGGTGCCGTGGTTTCAAACAAGCTTGCGTGTTTTAATTACTGTGATTATGCACATATATAAAATATTGTATACTGGTCCATCTTGTCATTACTGTGTTACTGACAAATTTCGAACGTGACCCCTGCAGACATCGTCGTATGGAGGCTGTGCGTCTGAGAAAGGAGAACCAGATCTACAGTGCAGATGAAAAGAGAGCTTTGGCATCCTTCAACCAGGAGGAGAGGAGGAAGAGAGAGAGCAAGATCCTGTCCAGCTTCAGGGAGATGGTTTACCGGAAAACCAAAGGCAAGGAGGAGAAGTGAACGTCACATTTCTTAGATCACCCTTTACTGGACATCTTTTGTTTTTGTGACTTAAGAGTAAAGTTTTATTTGTTTTGGAGGATAACCACATTCAGCTTTAAAGGAATGTGCAGTGTGTAGGGAGGATTTTATTGTAAAGAAATGTGTCTGAAATGGTAATCAGTTGTATTATTATTATCCATCCTATTTACTCACTGGAACTGGTCTTTCCTTTCAATTGTTTCATTATTTTTTTTCTTGTACATTTTAGCAAATGATCCTGGTCAGAACCATAAATAAAATTTCATTATCAAGTCATCTTGTGGTTTTCACATTTCTTTTCACAAGTTTGGTTGCTCTGAGATAAATATTTCCAAGCAAAGTTGAGAGAAATGCCTGAGAAATGAAATGTTATTTTGTGTAGCATAAATGTTTTCTGTTGTCCTATTTTGTGGATCATTTAGTGACCTCTCAGATTTATCTTTTACCACATATGATGACCCTAAAGTCCTGTTTCAGAACCACAGAATTACAGCAATATTTAATATTATGCCAATTCATATGACCTAATCTACTACAGGAAATATTTCAGCTTGTTTCAGCCAACTAACTGGAGCTGGTACATGTTGGTAAAATCCAGTATGTTTCTTGTTCAGACACTGATGAGATATTTTGGATGGGGACAGTAATTCAACAGGGGTGACTCTTTCAATGTGGACATGGTGTCTGGCCAGGCTGCAATGATTATTTGTTGACTTGATGAATGTCTATCAAATTCTGAAAAACAACTTCTCAAAGCCCTGGCTGATGTCTTCATGTGCTTGTGTTGTCTGAACAGCCCAAAAGATATTCAGTTGACAATAAAATAAAACAGAACAGCAGCAAATTCTCAGATGTGATAACTGGAACCAGTTATTTGTTTCGCTTTTTGGATAATAAATGACCTAAATGATTAACAGATTATAAAAATAGTTAGCGATTAGTTTTCTGTAGATCAGCTACTTGATAAAATCGACCAATGGTGTCAGGTCTAATGGCAGGCAGTTTGTTTCTGCTGACTGTGATGAGGCCTTTAGACTAGGAAGAGACATTTAAGATGAACTATTACTAGCCTCACTACAGATACTGATCTATTCCTCAGGTGAGACATTATCACCTGTACAAGTGACATGACATCTACAGTTAATAGAAGCTCCACAACATATAACCAGGTGTAAAGTATTTATTATATTAGAGCAACAATCTCTCGTCTTTTGAAATTTAACATATGAGCCTCGCAAGATTTCCAGTATGGAATAGTTTTAATTGATAACAAGGACAACAGCCTTAAAAGACTGAAAACAAACAACTGAATGTTAAATGTAATTTATTTGACGTACAACGAAAAACTTTCTTCTGATCGGGGACTTCATTTTCCTCGTCATCAGTGGATGTTCTCAAGTCCCTGTTGAGGAAAAAAATAAATAAAAAAAAAGATCATCAACTCTTATTCTCTCATTTCTAACAGCTTTAAACCTCATGTAATGTCTAGCATAGCTCCACTCATCTTCAACCTGAGCAATTAACCAAATATAAAAAGACCTGTGTGGGTGTGCAGGGTGTTTTTTTGTTTGTTTGTTTTTTTACAATAAACATATGCTCTTGTTTGTTAATCAAGCCTGTTTAAGTGTGTTTTATGTGCAAATTCTGCTGGTATGGACAGTTTAAAAGCTATTTTAATATTTGGGGAAAAAATGCATTAGGAAAACATTTCAATCCCCTATCATAATGCAAGAAAATACTAAATTATCTTAATGAATTTAACAATCTTTTCTGTTGTTGTTCTTTTCTGTTTACTTATTTCTTTTGTCTTCTTGTATTGGTACCACTTAGGCTTGTACCGGCATACTCAATGTATTTACTGCGGTGAATTGTAGTATTCTGTAGTAATAGTCAAACTAATAATTATGCTTTTATTTTTGCATTGTTTGCTTAAATTAAATGATTGGTGAGCTAACGTATGTATTAGTATCCAGTTACCTCAATAACATCATTAGTTGTTGCTATTAACATCGCAAAGCATTTTACATTTCATATATAGATGTATGATACTACTTTTTCTTTAATTTACTTTATAACAGGAAAATAATAGTGTGCCAAATGTGCAGTCGATTCAGAACACGTCACTTTCAGATGGAAGACTAATGCTCTGAAATGATGGGTTTAGTTGGAAATACACCACCTAAATATAATGCCATCATTACTCTAGACTTTTGTTGTAGATGTTGCTCCATGAAACAGTATTTTGTTGCCTGTTTTTACACATATATTGTGTGTCTTTTCTGAAAATGTACACACCACTGAGGTCAATATGTTTGATAAATAAAACACTTGTAATGTCAGTGGCTAGCTGGAGGGTAATACAATTAGTTTAAAATACTAAAAAACTATAAGTTTTCTTTGGAAAATATGCACAATTCAAAGTATGCAAGTTTTCTTTGCAAGGAAATGTTTTATCACTATTGACACATGGACACTCACCTTGGAGTCAAAGTACTGTCCTGTTCCTGACACTCGCTTGTCTCTCTCCATCAGGTACCATTGCCACGGAGCCCGAGCGATTCTCTTTTCCTACAGGGAAAACAATAATCTTTAATGAAGTGGTTTACAGAGTACATAAACAATAACAGACTGCATATTTAGCTACATCTGACTTGTTAGCATAGCAGTGTTACATTAGCATCCAGCATCCTCCTCACCTTCCCTCCGTTGGTAAACTTGTGGATCTGTGCGGTGGCGACGCCAGGGATGATCAGACACGCGGTCATGATGGCGAAGCTAGGCAGAATTTCATACCACATGATAACAGCCTTAAACTGTCAGGCGACAAAGAGCAACTCTGATGACTGCCCTCGACAGCTTATTTTGCTAAGAAGCTAACAAAATGTCGGCCCTCCTGACGACCTAGCAGAACAAGAATAATACTTCCTGTCGGATATTTTTCAAATGAAAACCTACAAAGACTGCGGTATCTAACCCGTATAATTTGTGTACAAACGACTTCACTATTATGCTGTCAAACGTTTGTATACATTCTGAAAAAAATGTTGCCGTATTTGTAATGAACGTGTTGAAAGGTTGCTTCAATAGTTAAATATAGAAATTACAATGTAGTTTTCACACTGAATATTTAGACAAAGTTTACTCAGCAGCAAATATAACTTGTTTTGTTACTTTAACTAAACACTCGCTTGTTTTGTGTGGCATATACAAAATGAACTTAAACTTTAAACTTAAACTTGCGAAAGTTTATTTTGAAGGGCATCTGAAAGGGAAGCTGAATTTCGCTTACTTTAAGGTTATTATTTTTTAGTGAAACAAAACAACGAAAATTACTATTTCAGTCAAACACGGTCTATGGTCAATCCGAAGATTTAAAAAAAAAATACAAATCAAAATCTTAAATTATAATTTCAAATCCACGTTTGCTTCATAGACTGCATGGTTTGCTTTCACTCACAGCGCCGCCCTCCTGCGGTAACGCTGAACTGCAGGCCCAACCGTCAAAGAGGAAGTACGGTTAGCATCAGTTGGTTTGCTGCTAACCGGTGGCTAACTTGCTAAAAAAGTAAACAAGTCCGCGGGATGAGATGAAATTCAACCCCAGGACAAAGTAACTTTTCAGCTATGAAGGAAGACAAAGAAAACACTCGGCCGAAGGAGAAAAAAGTGGAAATAAAGTGTGAAGATGGAGAAAAGACGGAGAAGCCCAAGGAAAAGAAAGAGGCCATGACAAAGGTAAACTGTATGCTAATACTAGCTACGTTAGCAAAGGTTAAGTCGTCAGTTATAGATAATTATAGTTTCATGAAATAACATCATGTTTTTAACTGGCTGTATTTTGTCAGATATATCATACATAGCCTACTTTGTAATTTATGTAGTACGTTGAAGCCAGACAAACTGTCACTTGAACTAGCCCCAACTTTAAGATAATATTAGCCATTTTATTGCCCTCTTTTCCCAGGCTGATTGTTCTCCTAGATGTGATGGTGTTGACATTGTCAATAATCTTTCCTCAGATCGTGATCAGACGATTACCACCAAGTCTGACCAAGGAAGAGCTGGAGGAGCAGCTGCAACCTCTCCCAGAGGTGGACTACCTGGAGTTTTTCTCCAACGACACCAGGTGATATGATAAAAAGACACGTCATGATTAAAAAATACCACCAGCGACTCTAATAATAGTGTGAACTGACTTGAGTATTCTGTCCTTTCAGTCTTTACCCACACCTCTTCGCAAGGGCGTACATAAATTTCAAAAATCAAGAGGATATAGTTCTCTTCAGAGATCGATTTGATGGATATGTCTTCATCGACAGCAGAGGTATGGAGAGCAAACATTTATAGCTAAATAGACAAACTTTTCTCAGACATGAATTGAGGCCTCATGCATGTCCACATTTTGTTTTTAAAACAGGACAGGAGTATCCTGCCATTGTGGAGTTTGCACCTTTTCAGAAGACTGCCAAGAAAAGAAGTAAGAAAAGGGATGCCAAATGTGGAACAATTGTTGAAGGTAAAGATATTTATTGGTATAGATTATATATGTCCAAAATGTGAGATTTGGTGATCATGCATGCTAGGTATGCATGTGTTTGTGATTAAATTTGACGTTTGCTTCTTAAGAGTTGCCTAAAATAACCTGGATTAATGCTAGTAGTTGTTTTAGTACATGTGTGAACTGTTCTTAAGCTTTGTCTGACGTTTAAATGCCCTATTTCAATTAAGAAACGTTTTAAAATACTCCACACCAGACAAAGCTTCAGAGAAGCAGTCCAACCACACACAGTAACATGTCTTTATTGATATGTTGTATATTTTCTTTCAGATCCAGAATACAAGAAGTTCCTTGAATATTACAACGGAGATGAAGAAAAGTTGGCATCAACACCTGAGACCCTGTTGGAAGAGCTTGAGGCAAAATCAAAGGAACTTGTAGGTAGGTGAACAGACCCTTTAATTAAAACTGAAACATTACTGGTTATATTTTAAAACAGTTACACTGTTGGAAGGATAAATTAAAACATTTATTTGTCTCTTCAAGCTAAAAAAACAACTCCTCTGCTGGACTTCCTGAAGAATAAACAGGTAAATAAAGTACTGTGGGACAACAGTGTGGTTTAGTTATGCATGTTCATTTGCATAACTAAACCTCATGTCCTGTTTCAATGATGTTCAGAGAATCAGGGAGGAAAAGAAAGAAGAGAGAAGAAGGAGGGAGCTTGAACGCAAGCGTTTACGCGATGAGGAGCGTCGCAAGTGGAGGGAGGAGGAGAGAAGGAAGCGCAAAGACGCAGAGAAGATGAAGAGGCTCGAGAAACCTCTGGAGAAAGACAAGGACCAAGTTAAAGAAGAACCAAAAATTAAGGTGTGTGCAGCAGTGGATTGAAGCATTTTTTAACTCTGTGCAATTCCATGTAATGATTTTGTCTTTATTTGCATCTGTGTAGCTCCTGAAGAAGCCAGATAGAGGTGATAATGCTGATTCTGAGAAGCCCAAAGAAAAGGTTAAGAAACCAGAGAAGCCAAATAAAGAGGACAGGTCCATGGGGAGTGCTGATCATAAGAGGCGCCAGAACATTGAAAATAAGGATGATCGAGGAAGGAAGTTAGTTGCTTCAGTGTTTGTTTTGAATTCCCATTGCTCACTTTGAACAGAATACTTAAACAGGATTTCTGCTTTACCCTCAGGGTGGACGAAGATGGGCGTAAGGAGTTCAGGGAACGTGGTGTAGATCGAGACAGAGAGCGCGAACGAGAGCGGGAGAAGGAACGGCGGCAGAAGGAGAAGGAGCGCATCAGGCGACAGGACGAAGATCGCCGTAGAAGGAGAGATCGGCAGGATGGAGAGAACTCGGGCAGGAGGCGGGAGGAGGAGGTTAAAAAAGACAAAGAGCGTGTCTTCGAGAAGAAAAAGGGTGAAAACACTGGAGACTCCACTCACTCTGACAGGGCCGAGAAGCCTGCCAGAGACAGCAAAAGGGAGGAGAGCAGTAAAAGAGAGCGGCTACGAAATAAGGTAATGAGTCTGGCCTACCGAATCATTCCTCGCAGGCATTTTTCGTTTTTTCTAAAAGTATTGTTTCTTCGCATCAGGACCGGCCAGCTATTCAGCTGTACCAGCCAGGGGCCAGAAGCCGCAATCGAGGAGGAGGAGGAGGAGGTGGAGCAGGAAGAGGAGCCGAATCCAACTCTGCCGACAGGAAGGCAGATACTGAGACCGAGAAAGTGGCTGACAAAGGAGACGATTGAGCAGATTTCTACTTATGGCATTTTAAGTTTGGCGAGGAGAGGGAAGTAGGGCCTGCAAAGCTCAGAGCAGCGATGTGGCGCCTCAGGGCGACGTGCACTGTAGTGCAAGCAGGGCTGCATCTGGCTCTCCCAGTCTCAGAGGCAGAGATGGAATTGTGGAGCCTCTTAGTGCCTGAATGTTTATTTGTTAGGAGAGGTAACCGTAACCTTTGGAAAGAGTTTGGCTTTAGGGCACATTAGTTGAAGCCAAAGCTTTCTTGGACCAACTGAACTCAAAGTGACCTTATTTCAGTATTGTTTCTCTCATGTAGTGTTGTACACACAGCAAACATTAGCTTTCCACATCTTCATCCATATCACACTCTGATGGTAAAACATAACCTCGCAGGTCTTTAACTTCTCAGTTACTAAATATGTCAACATTGCCAAGCTCATCAATATTGTTTCCACGCTGTCTTGAATGGAATTTCTGTGGTAACATTGCCATTTTCAGTTTCACATGTAAAAATTACATCTTACTCCGCCTGGGGAGCCAGACAATTTAAACGCATGTGCAGAACTTCTTAAAAACATAAAACATAGTGCTAGTCTTACAGGCACGACATGCTGAAGGACATCATGTGTACTTGCCTGGATCATGTGTTTTGTTCATACATTCATACAGTGATTGAGGAGAAATAGCCATTTCTGACTAGAATCAGAGCGATCAACCTGTGCCCCCTCCCCTTTTTATAGTCTGAAACTCCCCTTTAACCTTAATCTGTGATGCACTAAACTGAATACTGCATGAGAACACGTCACTGCTGGTGATGCTACAGGAGCCACTTCTGACTGGAAATAAAAGAGCTCTTTGCTTAAGTCTACATGTCTTTTTTTTTTTCTCCTTGGTGAATCATTCAGTCTTGAAATGTTTTTTAATAGGTTGAGTGTGTGTGTATGTATGTATGTGTATGTATGTATGTATGTATGTATGTATATGTGTGTGTGTGTATATATATATATTTTATAGTTAGGGACTTTTGAGGTATTTTACTGGAGTAGTTCACCTCTTCCACCATATAACAATGGGTAGGCCTGATTAACTGGTGACATTAGACTTGAATCTTGAATCTAGGACAGAAATTTGCCCCTACTGCCTTAATTAATTTGATTAGGAATATGTATTTTTTGATGTCCACAAAATTGCCTTATAATGCAGACTGTGCTTTAGCTGATATTGTACTTTAGTGGTGTGGATTCCTTGACAAATTTACAATAGATAAAATTACCAAAACGTGTGGCATGCAATATACCTTGGGCTTTTGGGGCACCTCTGGGTTTAGAGCAACTGCCCACTTTGCCCAGTTGGTAATCCACTTTTAGTCCAAAACATTTTCATCTGTTCATATAAACATACATACTCTATTCATTTCAGGTTTCAGTATCCAAATATATCAGTAATGGGAAATAGGACTGAGTCAGAAGCAGGATTCACATCTAATCCAATATAAGTAGTAACGTGATGATGCCCCCGCGACCCTGTACGCAGGCTAAGCGGTTGACAATGGATGTATGTGATGATGCAGTGGCTAGGACACATGCCTTTGGTGTGAAAGACCCGGGTTTGATTACCACTGTGACATCCATAAATGTGTCCCTGAGCAAGACACTTAACCTCTAGTTGCTCCAGAGGCTTGTGACTTCTGACATATATAGCAATTGTAAGTTGCTTTGGATAAATTTGTCTGTTAAATGAAAAAATGGACATGTAAAAATACTCTGTTACAAGTAAATATCCTGCATTCAAAACCTGAGTAAAAGTACTTAAGAATCATCCTTAAAACTAACTATACAATTTGTCTCTTTTTAAATATATTATTTTATGCACTAACATATAAGCAGAGTTTTAATATTGTAGCTGGAGATGGAGCCAGTTTTCATTTTCATCTATAACAATGTATGTTTATTAGCTTTTTGTTTGTTTTGTGGGAAAAGTCATTATCTGTAATGTAATTAGTAACTACAGTAGCCAGGTAAATAAATAAATAAAATAGTACAACACATACATCTCAAATATAGTGGAGTAAAAGTATAAAATAGCATCAAATAAAAAGTACACCTACTTCAGAATTGTACACAAATGATGTACTTGAGCAAATGAACTTTCTACCACTCAGTGAAAAGTAGTTAGGAGTTAGCAGAAGCTCTTCAGACTACTTTTCCTTACAAAGAGGTACCCCAGAGAAACATCGTGTCTCAATCTTCGAGTAGCAGCTACATATTATTTGTATCTCCTGAGATGAACGTAAAGAAAACGTCCACACGGTGTCGCTGTTTGGTGGACGCCTATTGGATAAAAGAGCAACGTCACTTCCTTCTCTCTCTTCGACCACCGCCATAGTCGGGAAAGGACTGTGGACAAAATGGTAAATACAAAATCTTTAAACATCCATGTCTGCAGCCCCTTCAAACCTGCTCCGACACATTTAGTGATTAATAAATATTATAATGGTGTTGCAGAAATCTGGATGTTATCTAAAAAGATGGATTATGACCATATTAAAGCCTAATGATGTTAGCCGGTACCCACTCTGTGGCGCTACGCATGTTAGCTTTCAACTTTCTTCATAGACGTTAGCTGCTAGCTTGTTCCCTTTTACGTTATACATGATGTGTATTCCTTTGAATACGCGGACATGCCGCATTAGATAGAAACGTTTGTTGACATGGTGGTCTTTGTTGTTTGTAGTCGTCCCACAAGACTTTCAGAATCAAGCGCTTCCTCGCCAAGAAGCAGAAACAGAACAGGCCCATTCCTCAGTGGATCAGAATGAAGACCGGGAACAAGATCAGGTGAGTTTCTAATGTGTCATTTGCCAGTTTATTAGGTACACCTTACTAACTAATGCAGTCTAATGGAACAAGCATATTTTTAATGTCCTGTTAAGACGAGTAAGATGCTCACAGATGCACAGATGCAAGAATAACTACAGCAGACTACATTGTATATCGTCAGCACAACAGATTACTAGTCAATTGAAGCCTTCTGCAGGATTTGTCAGGCACTGAGTAAAGTTTGCCTTTGCGTAACATACTATATACTCCCATTTACAACTCAGTCACAGTAATGTGTGTACACCTAGGGCTAGGCAGTGAAACGGTAATGATACTTTCCTCTATCGATTTAACAATGTTTAAATATATCAAATGTTTGATTTAATTAATTTGAATAAGAATCAATTAGCACTTAATTTTTCTATTAAGATGTCTTATTGAGGAAAAGGGACTGGAAAATAAGATGTACTAATTTTTTGAAAAGATTTTGTCATGTTTTCAGTGTTCTACCTTAGATTTGTGAAGTGATCCACTGTTTGGTGTCAAGTGTTTGTCAAGTTCTGACCATATAGAATAGTTTAACAACACAATTAACCATCTGGTTTCCTAAATTTTTACTCAGGAGCAAAAATCAGACATTAAACTTAAAAGAAATAATGATTTGACATTTATCATGATAATTATCTATCAAATTATATGAATTTGTTTTATTGTGATAACACTTTTGGCCTATGCACACCTAGTTAAAACAAAGCAGTCTCATACAACAGCCCTGCATTAAGTCCTACTGGCATGATGGTGTTAGAAATGCATTTGTGTAATGCAACACAATTCAACAGTAGGGCTGCAACTAACGATTTCATTATCCATTAATCTGTTCATTAATTAGTAGTTAGCTCCAGAAATTGTGAAATGACGATCAGTATTTTCCAAGGCCCAAGGTGAGGTCCTTCTGTCCATGACCCAAATATATTCAGTTTACGGTCATAGGAGTAAAGAAAACAGAACATGTTCACTTTTCAGATGCTGAAATCAGAATTTTAACCTTATATAATAAGAAAAGGACTCAGTGGTAAATCGATTTATTAAAATGGCTGGCGATTAATGTCATTGACAACTAATTGTTGCAGCTCTGTTCAACAGCAGCACAAAGTACAATCTCAAATTACCATAAATACAAAAATTTCCAGTTTAACCTTTTTATAAGGGTGGGATTTATTGCAGGACTGTTGGGTACTTTTACTTGCACAGAAAGTTCACTTAATAACTTGAGCAACAACCTTGACTGAGTATTATTATAGTAGGTTAATTCTTCTTTTTGTTTTTAATGGTTTTAAAGTTGCACTTCCGGTGTTGGATTTCATTTTTGAGCTGTGTCAACTCTCGACTTAAGTGCAGAGAGGTATGGCTGGCTGACTAATGCAGGGAAGAAGCAGGAACTCCATATCATGTAAAGCAGGTCTGCAATTGCAGCACTTCATTGCAGTAGAGTGCTGTCATTAACCCTGCTGAGAGTATCTTTCTGCTGCAGAGCTCTTGTTCCTGCTCACTGTGGTGGTGATCAGGAAGCGCTGTAGCTGAACACTGTTTACCTAAACTGCTTATCTGCCTACTAAATTGCTGTCCTGAAAGAATTCCATGGTATGGCTTGTTTCTGAAATTGCTATGGTCTGGAACAAGTCCCATAATTGCCATAATGATTTAGTGCCAGTGGAAAAGAGAGAAATGATACCATCACCAAATAGCTTTTTCAGAGGAGGATTTATGAGTAGATTTCAAAACATTTGACATTCACTAAAGAATCTAATTATTGCAGTGACTTTAGCAATTGACCATGTGTCATGCAGGCTGTTGTAATCAGGATGTTTGTGGCTTCTGAAATCAACAGAATTTGCACAGGTTCAGCTGAACCTTTTGAACCTGCCCTTCATTTGACAGTTTGTATTTATTGAAATGAGCATGGTTTCATTGGCGTCTAGTAGTTTTGGACTTCCCAGTTTAGTGTTTAGTTCTCCTAGGAAATAAGAACACCACATGACAGGGAGAAAATTTATAAAACTGCTAAAGCTTGAGCTCAAATTATTATAAAAATGATTATAAAATCAAGTTTCTGACCTCAGTAGTAAGAAGTGGATTCCCCAATAGCTAAACTATGTATTTTTATTAGTGAAGTATTCGCCACTGAAATGCAACTTGATAGCATGAACTGCACAACTAGCAGACTACATAGGTCATTTCTACAAGATGCATGGTCTGCTTGAGTCACAGTTTACAATCCGTACAAGCTCATGATGCGGAGCAGATTTAAATCACTAAACAATGCTATGAGTAGCTTTATTTTCCAACCTTGACATATTTGGTATACATTAAATCCCTCTGTTACTTTCTCTTCCTGTCAGACAGTTTAACTCTTTCTTTTAATAGTTGTCGTCCAAAAGTCTAAATGTTATCTCTTGACATGTTTGTCTTTACATTTGATTTCAGGTACAACTCCAAGAGGAGACACTGGAGGAGAACCAAGCTTGGCCTGTAAGCATGAGGGTTCCTGGATCCAAGCATCCCTCCATTCCAACATCTGCCAGGACCTCCAGCTGCTGGTCCTGATCGCGGGGAGGGAGCCATGTTATCTGGAGCAGCAGTTGTTTTTGTACAGATACTCTGGTTATGCTCATGTTTGACAATAAAAGATCTGTGATCAAACTTGAAATGATGTTGTACTGCCTTTTTTCCCCCCCTTGAACCACAATGTGTAGCTGAGCAATCCACTTAGTGTTTTTCTGAGGCAAACATCACATAGGGAGGGGTACTGCTGACACAGCTCTGCAGAAAGAGAAGCACTGAAGGGGTTTTCCAATATCTTAACCACGCAGCAAACTTGTAAATCACTGTTTCATGGAAAATTGTGGTAATTTGTAGTTTGGCTGTGTTGCTTGTGCTGAAGACAGCAGTGCCATTGAAGAACGCTAATCTAGTAGCAAGACAAACTATGAAATGTTTACTTAAAGGGCAATCGCTAACATTTGAGTTGTTGACAAGAGCATGCTGGGTCAGCAGCAAGAAGTGTTTAGACAATCATGCAATATCATGTTTATTAAAGCTAGGTTCAGTGGAAGTTGAGGCAAAATTGAAAAATGTACTCAAGTACCAGTACTTTCTTCAGGTTGTTTTTATTTAACCAGATGACTCCCTGAAAATCAGTCTAGACTTGGACGTGGATTAAGGTGAATTGATACAGTGGCTCCCAACCTTTAAGAATAACTTCTTAAATGGTTTAATTTGAAGGATTTTTAGAGGAAGGGTTGAATGTACCAAGTATTGTCTTATCCATTAAATAACCACTTTGAATCTCCATTTCATTAATTATTTCTGCCTTAAATCCTAAAACAAGTACAACAATCTGCAACTACAGTGGGAATTTCAGTCCGTTTCCAGTAGAAACTCTCTTGTTTTTAAGGACTGAAAAAACATGGTGTTGCTCTAGAATGGAGAGAAATTAAACTTTACCCAGGTGTAAATTTGTTTAAAGAAGTAGAAACATTCTTGCTGCGCTGACAAAGCTGCAAGCGTAATGACTTGGTAAAGGGTCTGAAGGTTGGGGTCCATGAATGTGAATCAATGCACATATTGCAGGCTGCTGTCCAAACACTCAGTTTTTGTTTCCAAATAACGAAAACGAGGGTAGCAGCTTCCTTAAAGACCCAAACCTCCAGCTGCCACCACTCCTCTTAGTCCGGGTAAAGGAGTTCGCTTCAGCAGTCTCTCCACCGTCGACCTCATCATATGCGGTTAAGTTCATTGCGCCGGCGCTGTTGTTGTTGGCGTTTTTGTTGACATTTTGCGCACACCCACAGCTGTGCTCCTCGTCCCAGGTCCCCAGCAGCTCCTTCATCTCCGGCGGGGCGTCTCCCTTCAGATACTGCCAGGCTCTTTTCCCATTGTAGTCCATGGCATCGACGCTGGCACTGAACGCTCCGACCAGCAGCTTGATGACCATGTACTGACCTTGCATGCTGGCAACGTGCAGCGGGGTGAGCCCGCCGCTGCCTCGCAGGTTCACGTTCACGGGGATCCCCGCACTTTCCGCGTACCGCAGAAGTTTAAGCAAAGTCTCGTCGTGTCCTCTCTTGGCCAACCAGTGCAAGACCGAGTACCCGCTGATGAAATCCTTCCTGGTTAACAGATAGGGGTCCGCGGAGATGAACTCCAGTATGGTGTCATAGTTTCCCTCCACTGCAGACAGCATCCACGCGTGCTCCATCGGATTCAAAGCCCAGTCCGCGTCCTGCTCGGAGCACACACTGCGAGTTTGCGAGGACAGCACGCTGCTAAACCCGCTATGCGATGGGTCGCTCAGAAGCAACTCTTTCAGGTATTTCTTACGCATAGCGGGTGTGAGCGAGCCTCTCTCCGGAGCCTCAGTCTGGAACCCCCCCTGTGCGGAGCTGTCAATGACTTCTTGTTGCCTCTGCAGCCTCGACCTACGCTGGAAAGCGCTGGGCATGACCTGCATGCCATATCTCGAAAGTCGCTCCACAACGCTTCCCTGTCTGGATGTCCCGCTGTCGTGGGCGTCGGCATTGCTGACAGCTGGTTCGGATCCAGTTGAGTCACATCCAGCATCCTCCGATCTGCTCTCATACATGCTGCTTGGCTGCCTCCGCGCCGAGTTCAAGGCTACTTCCCTTTATTTAGACAACACCCTGGAGAGATCAGGTGTCAAATTATAAACTGGGGACAGTTTCCCCTCCACTGGACTAAATCCCTGTGTCATAGGAGGGAAACATTTGTAATATAAATGTGAAGACGTTTTAGAGAAGTTCAGACATGCCAGTCTTAAGCGTAAGTGAACCAAGTTCCTCATTTTGAAAGCATGAGGGGTTCAAGTAAATGCTTCATGCCACAACACTAAATATGACCAATGTTTGTTATAGTCACGCTAGAGTACTCACCTGTTCTCAGACCCACGGATTTAGCGCACACTCACTCCCAACTGAAGCGACGTTGAACATTAAGGCTTCAGTCTCGGTCAAACGCTACGGGCAAGATTCCAGTACAGTTTGTAAATTTTAGAGGTTTTACCCCGAATAATGAGCTGCACATTCAAGTCGCGGTTCTTCTTTCCTTTACAAGAGGAAATGAGACAAAGTTCATTCTAATCTCAGGAAAACCAATAGCGAGAATCCCTCACATGTGACCACTGATTCAGTTCAAAAGCAGGAAGTAATGTAGTGTATACTTCGCTGATATGTTAAATCCGTCACCAAGTATAAACTGGAGCAGAACCCCCCCTACTCACATTTAACAGCGGGTTAAAAAAACCACAACTTTATTTCAGTTAAAAAACAAACAGTTGACAAAAACATGCATTAACATTTCAATCAGTAACAGATTCTGGAGGAAGTTGAATGGTCAGCTCATCAAGGGTCTGAAGAAAGGCATCCAGCTCTGAACAACAATCTGGAAAGGGGGAGATGCAGTCAAGTTAATGATACCTGTAGTTAAGAACATGTACCCTGTACTTTATGGCTACAGCTGCCAGACAATTGTCACTTCTTAACTGCTGCATGTGAGCGTTTCCTCTGGCCATCATGCATATCAGATAGGATAACATTTTATGCATATAACTTTTAGTCTACACAATAGGTCATTTTCACTAGTGTTTATACACACACAAAAAAAGCTTACAGAGTTTGTGGTCAGGGTTGAAAAGTTATATGGTGCCATTAATGTGCAACTAAGTGGCCTCAATGAAAACTTATTCACAGCAACCAGGGCATTGTTTCTGGAAAGACAAGTTACCTTGTACTGGGGTGTCAAATGTAAACAAGCAATTAACACACCACTTAGGTACATTTTATTTTTATACATCTTTTTTTGGTGTTCACCAAGAGAGAACTGCCATTTCTACTTCACTAAGGTTGGGCAATATGAGCGTACATATAAACATGAATCAAAGTACATCTCCATGTCAGATCTTGGTGATAATTGTAAACAAAATGATTAACTGCATTGATTTGCAACAATTGATAGCCAAAACAGACAATCCTAGTTAATTTATCCATAAGTGGTTGCCCCAGAAATGTTCCATATCACAAGTATAGATGTGTCATGAAATCACATACTGTGGTGAGGATTTTAACTAGACCAGCCACCCTGTGTGCTTCATTGTATTATAACAAGCATGAATGCAGCCCTAATAGGAACTTGATACCTGAATGTTTTGACATCTTTACAGGTGACAGGTTTGGGAGTGGATCAAACTGTTCCAGATCCACCTTGCACATATGTGGAGGTGGCGAGAAACAGGCCAGTCCAGGCAAAGCAAAGCCACTGAGGAGAATCAAATCTTCAGGTACGCTGTACTTCTCAAACTCTGGAAAAATAATGGGGGGGGACACATGGGTGAATGAGACCTACACATGTTTTGTCATTAACATATTTGCCATGTACAAGTTCTTATGTAGCAAATCCATGAGCCTCAATGGGCTGAGTCCTGAGGGAACAAACCATTAACAGACTCAAGAAAGCAAGCTGTGTGATGCTGCAGTGAGATTCACACAGAAAATGGTCACAACTGATCAAGTGCCATTTTCCCTCCTTTAAGTCCCATGCCTGGAATGTAATTGTACAACTGATGTCATAGTTACCTAGTGGGTCATAAGGGATGAACTTCTCAATTTCTGGACATTCCTCCACTTTGGTCTGAGGAGCATGTTTGACTTTTGTTTCCTGTGGCAAATATATTGTATTAGTAAGCATGTACTTGAGGCATAGACCAGATGGGTTGCAGTTTTAGACTAAACTCATTTTAGTTTATGCTAACCTGCTTTACAAGTTTCTTCTCTTGTGTGGTGACAGCAGGGGTTGAGATTTTTTTGTTGATGGCACCAAATGCCTTGCGACCAGATGGCAGGGGAGTATTAAAGGTTTTGGCTATCATAGGAGATTTCAAGAGTTTCTCTGGTGGGTGGGAAAAAAGCAAAAGGTTATTGCACATTTCCACACAGAATCATTACTGCCAGAAGAAAAAACCAAACATCTGAGCACAACATTGGGGATTTCCCTACCTGGAGCAGACTGAAGCCGCTGTCTCATCTTCAAAGCAGGTGGATGAAGACATGCATTTTCTCGCTCTGCGAAAATTATGTTGGCCATTGTATCTGAAAACACAATCTGATTTTAGCTAATGCAACACATTACAATTGTTCATGGGACACTCTGAGGTGACAGTCAAGTACTTGATTTGAAAAATGCAATTTGTGATTCTAGCTTTGTCATAGTATAATAAAACTACTCTGGATTTTGTACAGTTGAGACAAATACATTTAAAGATGTGATTGAGCAATAACCCCCCCCACTCAAGATTGGTTAATTAGAACTGTTCCTTGCATCCATAAGGCTATTAACAGTGGAAGTTAATTTTTGATCTTGGAAAGTTTGACAAAATAATCTTAAGGGTAGCTTCTGTATTTTTCCCCCAACCAGACTATTTTTATCATCATCACCACCTCTTGTATTGAGTGAGTGCGAGTCGGCTGAAGCAAAACAGGGCTGCAATGTAATCCTTGGGCAATTGTGCCCCTTCCAACAGACTCCATTGACAAGACATTAATTTTACCTCCGTCTACCACTGCGTCGATGATTAGTTTGAACATGTGACTTTGGTTAAAAAAAAAAAAAAAACCCAGACACACATGTCACCCAATAGCCATTGATGCCAAGGGAGTCTAGTGCCTTGGAACAGAGACACTTCAACCGTTTGATTAAACAAAATTGTTCGTTTTTACTCCGTTGTGTCTTGGTTGCAGTGTTTGCGTGTCATTCGTTTGATATTTGTTTACCATCAGCTACTGTTGAAGTTAAGTCTACCAATACATAAACTAGACTCCATGGCTTAGAAAAGTATTTTGCATCAGTACATGTTCACATGTTGTCACACTTTCTACAGGACTGCAAAAAACATGCCACTTTGAGGCCAACATGCCCTCCACCAGCAGACTGGATTCTGCCATATTTCAGAGATCCTGGTAGTATTGGTTGCCTTGGCAATAAGAGTCCATTAATTTGGTGGGCAGCACTTTAGAGGAAGCACTGAAGGGAGGGGTGCATTTGTCTGGTCCTTTTATCACTACCAAATTATCAGCTGTCACAACTGAGCCAACTCCATCTGCTGATGAAGACCGTAATAAGCGGTTTAAGCTCAGGAAAACGCCAGTAAGTTGAGATTTTGTAAAGTCACGGTTATAGTATTAGGATCACAGGTTATTCCAAAAATCATTGATAAAAAGTTCTGTAAAATCACATGATTAGGTTATATGAAAGGGGGAAAAAAATAAAAAATAGAGGGTCCAAACCACTAAGGCTGGCAGCCAGTTTGTTTACGCAGTACTTGACACGAGACATTCAAGTAACAGAAGTGCACTGCAACTCATAGCCATTCTGGTAACGTTAGCACTTAATTAGCTAGTGACATCGGTCCTCCGCTAGCGCCTAAACTGCTGAAATACAGGCTTGTTGTCTCTCTGTTGGTCTTTATCCTCCATTTTTGGTTTAATATTAACACTTTGATAGTTAAATCTTTGTGGGTCACCGCAACGAGTTAGAAGAAACTTTAGCGTCTGCGACTTTTGTAAACATGCAAACTTCACTGAGTTAGCCAGTAACTGGGTTAGCTACCTTACGTTAGTCACGTCAACTCTTTTTCGTTAGTTTATAAAACTTAGCAACTGGCATTACTTAATACAAAAGCGCTGACAAATAGAAACAAACAGCAACTTCGATACACTGGTTTTAGGGTTACCTCAGTCAGTGTGTGCTAATCGCTGCTCGTCCCGTTGCTCTCAGTTGTTTTGGTACAAATTTTGTTTCTCAGCCACCGCGGCTCGTTTTTAAATTCACTGCCTTCGTCCTATTGGTCGCTGTAGCACAGAGGACTTGAATGGGCGTTACCCTAAAAATTTGCTGCCGTCATATTTAAGTCGATAATATGCACTACATATAGCTAAAGCATATAAATAAATAATGATACGGCCTAAATATTTATAATGTAGTCCCTGCAGTTCATCTACCTGAGATGTAACCGCTATCAGTCCTACTTCCTCTGTTCAAACACCTCATATACGTGTTTGTGACTGTATTTGATATCTTTACGTCATCATCAAGATGTTTGTATCATTGTAAATTGCCTGTCTGTTCGCCGTGGTTTCCCCCTTTTCTGCTAAATAACTGTTTCCGTTTGTAACGGTCATTGACGGCGGTTCACTTGCATCCCAACTGGACGAAACCATGAACACATCCTGTGAGGGGAGATGAGTGGGTAGTGCACATTCTTTTTAATCAGAATTATTATTGTTTCAAAACACGAGCCGGGGTGTATATGCCGTTAATAATTGTCTTAACGAAACACCGCTCAATGTGAGCACAGTTATCACAGTATCGTACCTAAAATAGCGTGTTAAAAAAGTGGTACATTCTCACTAGGCCATCTGTTGGCGTAACTTGAACGGTGCAGCCCCGCTTTGCTAAACACAGAGAGCAGCAGAGGTTTCGTCCTCCAGCTAACTGCTACCACCATGGCGTCAACTGAGATAGCGAGGCAAGCGGTGAGTAGCCTGTTTTACTCAGTATGTCATTGGAAGTATCCACACGTACCTCTTGAAATGTGTTTTGCTAGCCTCAGTAATGTCAAAAATACAATTGTAGCGTTACGTAAGATGTAATTTGGAATAGATTTAGGTTAGCTAGTTAGTCACCACTTGCTTTTCCTGGTTATATATCGTTCAAATTTCAATAACGTCGCTAAACAAAATGACGTATAGTTTACGTACTTTGAGCTATTATAAATCTGATTATGCATTTGTAAGTTGTTTAGAATAGCTGATTTAAAGTAAGGCCCAAGGCTGCTCAGTCGTAGCTTTCTGTTAAAAATATTTTCATTCCGTAACGCCTGCACATTAAGTTACCTGTGCTGATAACCGTTAACGTTAGCTAAAAAACGGTGTTTTAATCGACTTACGGTGCTTTAAAATAATTTAAATACTGTGTAGCAGATTCAGAATTCGCTCACGTTAAAACGATAACCTATTACAGAGCCATCGGTAGGCCATTCATTCTGAACGCCCCCATTTCAGCACAGCTACGGTGCTCATTTCCGTTATGTTGTTTCATGCAAGTCCCGTTAACTTTCAGTCGGGCGTTGTCTGATAAAGAATATGGACAAAACAGATTCTAGCTGTTTCTGTATTTAGGCCTGCAATTTGAAAAGCATGTGTAAAGTTTCCCTGTTTTTTGTTTGTGGGGCGGGGGGCACTACACCCAGAGATAGCTCAGAATAACAAGGTTTTGCAGTTTGATATCCCTTTGCGGCCCAGATAGATAAAAACCGGCTGTGTGTGTAACTTTGCTGTGAGTGTCTTGAAAAGCAAGAATGGTTTCAGGAATGTTGCACTTGCAGCTGAAGAGGAAAGGCTGTTTGTGCAGTCACATTAACCCCAGTTTTCCAAATACTCCCCCAGCTGTTTAAACCCAATTTCAACTATCCAAATAATCCACAACTGTCCAGTACCATCAGCTAGTCCAGTTATTTTAAATTGACCCTCAAGCGGAATGTTTCCTCTCAAAGCCTATGCCACTTTGGAAAGCAACATTTGTGTTATGTTAAGCCACATAATGGCTGGTTGGTTGCGTTGCCGTATAATCGAAATTCCAAGCTTTTCTTGCACCTCATAATGTAGACGTAGGCTGCAGAAATTAGATTCAGAGACTGAGATGCTCAATCAGCCAACACACACACATAACAACAGTGCTTTCACACTTTGGTGTTACTCTGGTCCAGATATACACTGTGTACAAACAGTGTAAGAGCAGAGTAAAGGAAAGTGCAACCGGCCCAAAATAGGGAGTTTAAGGGTTTAAACACAGAAACACAGTGCAGGCTACATTAATGTACTCTTTGACTCTTCAATTTTGTAATGTCAAAACTGTCAGATTTTAGATTATATATTTTTTTGTCAAAGGTATTTGTTGTTTTTACAGTAATCTTGACATGAACAACAAAACCTTTCCATATATGTACATTGTGGTCTGTAACTGTCTCGTCTGTAGGAAGAAAGTTACAGCACAGGAAACAGGAAGTGAGCTACACTGCACCTGAAGTCAGTCTCAAAGATTAACTAAATCAAATATAGTGGGAAAGTGTTGTAATTTGAGTGTTTTTTTTAGAGATATAATGTTACTTCAACAATCACTGAGATGTAGATGTTAAGTATCGGGTGTAGAGATTGAATCCTGTGCATGTTTACAGGTGTGAGAGCGCAGTACCGTAACAAGACATATCAATGCAAAATGTGTTCAGTGATTGATACCTGATGTTTTATGTTGATTTGTTTTGTTTTTAGGGTGAAGGTGCTCGTGCTGTGCCTCTGGCAGGCCATGTCGGCTTTGACAGCATGCCTGACCAGCTGGTCAACAAGTCTGTCAACCACGGATTCTGCTTTAACATCCTCTGTGTTGGTGAGTGTGTCATGCATGAAACTGCCTTTATTCTCTGTCCTGAAGATGACTTATTTGCTTCAATGAAAGTCAGGATTTTCTACGAGATGCACAGCATATTGCTCAGTATTCGCCCCACTTAGATTCCTCTGGCATTCCAGTTGGCATTGGTTACCGTGATGAGGAAGATGCTGTGGGTAAGAAATTCGAAATGTCTGCAGGGAGATATTTGATTTTATTATGAAATTAATTATCAGCATGACTGTTAACTTACAAAATGCAAGCCTTTTGCAGAATTTGTCAGACAGTGAGAATTATTTGTCTGGACATTCAATTTTATATTGAAAAAACAAGTCACTTCAGCTTCATTAAGCACCAGAATTATCCACTCACATACACTCAGTTGCCAGTTTATTAGGCACACCCAGCTAAAACGAATTAAATCTAATACAGTAAACAGTGCTGCAATAAACCCAAGCCTTATAGAGGCGATAAAGTTCAGCTTGTGCTGAAGCTGTTTCAGTGAGGCATTGATTCAGCTTTATGGTTATTTTTAAGGCCATACTTTGTGGTGCTGTCTCGTTATATTGTGTTATACTGAGAATGTTGTTATATTTTTTTCCACTCCGATTTGTATGAGTGAGTGCTGGATAAATTACTAGATGTTGCTGTTTTTGACAACATTGCATTACTGCACTCTGCACACAGTCAAAAAATTCTTGCTATTTGGAATCATCTTGTTTCAGGGGCACATGAAATCCTCAGGCAGCAATGGAAACGTGCAACCAATTGGTTGGCAGTGTTTTCTCTTCCTCTGCCATTTTTTCATGACACTTTGTAATTTTAGTATACACAGAGAGGAAGACATGGCACATAAACACACACACACACGCACACACAAATGCGAATACTTTGAATCTCTGATTCCTAGACTGATATTTTGTAGATTTCTGATGTGGATGCTTTGTCATTTTGCTCCAGAGAGCAGTAGTGAATATTGACCATTTATATTTCTTATAGACCTTGTATGCTATCTGTTTCTTCTGATATGCTATTTAGAGGTCTTGCTGTAGTATTTCTGTGTCTATATTTTTAAACATTTTGATGATGCCTTGTGGCCATTCTTAGTGCCATGGTTTTGACTCGCCTCCCAGCAGAAGATCTCTCTGCTATTTTGTGGATATACTCCAGTCCATTTGTATTTGTGTAGGAGTGAAATGTGGGATAGGCTGACAATACTGTCTCTTTCATAATTCAAATCTGATTTAATTTTAATTTTATCTTGGTGCTGTTATAAACAGAAACTTACACTTCATCCAATCCATTCAAGAATATGCAAGCATAGATGATGCAGGAGACTAGCAACATGCAAACTGTAAATGCTGTTGTGTGACTCACAAGTACAGCATTTCACAGTAGTACAAGCATTGCTTGAGGCAAAGGCATGGGATCTCTTTTATAATTTAGATGTGGTCTAAAATTCCAAAGAGGGAATCAAACATTTGGAGATGATGGTTCCATTGGGCAGAAGGATGACTGACTTTTCTGCACAGGATTTTTATTCTGTCATTTATGATTTCAGGAGGATTGATTGCAATCCTGTCCAGTTTGGCATTTTGTTTCTTTAAACAAGATGCCAGATTGCCTTCAGCATGAGAGTCTTCTTTATAGTGACTTAAACAGAGCTCAGAAACAGACAAAAGGACCCTTGATGCATCATTTACTTTGGATTCTGAGGGAAAGATTGGAAATTTGGAGGGTAGTGAGACGTCCTACAAAAATGGGCTAACATGTTTAGACTGTAGGTCAGGCTGTGAGGAATAAAAATAGAATTTCTTACAGTGGGAGCTTTGTATCTGAGTCATCTGACTGCCTTTAACAGGATGTCAGAATACATCAGAAAATAAGCAGCTACTTCTAAGCATTAAAAAAAAATTAGTTTGAACTATTTTGAAAATGTCACATTTAATCTACTCTACATTTTAGTTGACACTGTTTTAGGCTTTCTTTTTAGTTTCTTTAAATAGATGATCAGTAAAAGAGTCTGATGAGCTTGAATACACATTTATCAGAAGCTTACAAAATAAAAATGGTCAATATAATTGAATTTCTGCTGGTGTAGAAATACGCTAGGTAAAGTAGACATCGCCATGCACATGAAGATTAAGGTCTGTAGAAACTTAGTAACATGATGCACGTTTCTATGTTGTCAGGCGAGACGGGTCTGGGGAAGTCCACCCTGATGGACACGTTGTTCAACACCAAGTTTGAGGGCGAGCCCACTCAACACAACCAGCCGGGAGTCACCCTAAAATCCAACACTTATGAACTCCAGGAGAGTAACGTGCGCCTCAAACTCACTGTTGTCAACACCGTGGGCTTCGGAGACCAGATCAACAAAGAAGACAGGTAAAGCAGTCTGGCAGCTGCCACGCCTTCAAGAGAGAGAAAAATCTGATCTTTGCAACCTGGTTCCCTTTTTCTACTGACAGGCTCTGTCTTACTTCTACAATAGCATAAATCCACACCTGATTATAAACAACATTCCTCACATACAGTACAGTTACTGTGTGAAAGCTCTGAGCCGTTTCGTAGCTCAGGTTTCAGTCCTGATCCTGCAAAACATACCCTTTTGTATATGGAATCAAGCCTGCATCTCAAGAAGTTTCCTCAGCAGATTCATAGTATCACTTTAAAAAAAATCAGAAATCGGACGTAGATGCATCCTTTCCTGGCACAGCATTGAGGCTTTTTCTGGCTGCTGCAGACTGGAAGTATTTAATCAAACATAAGATATGATCTTGTTACCAAGCTAGCCATCCACAATGTAATTGCTGACTCTGCTCCTGAGATAAGTTAGGGGTGAGAATGATGTCACGTGAGCTCCAACCTTGTAAGTTCTGTATAATAGAAGGCTGCGGTTGTTTCCAGTTTTACACTTTGTTCAGTATCAAATTACTAGTCATAGATTTTTACAAGCACATAGTCATGTGAACCGCCACTGGGAGAATATCCTACAGTGTGTTCACAAGCTGTGTGTTTTGTGTATGGTGGGAAGTTTCCTGTAGTCCTCAGTGCATAGGGTAAACAATCTTTTTCCGTATATCCATTTTCTATAGCACGTATCATTTCTAGGTTTGCACATAATGTTGAAATAGTTGTTGTTTTTAGTCAATTGGTCTGAAAAGAATTGCAATGTTTAAAGTCTATATATGAATTAAAACATTAAACATTTGGTTGTGAAACCATCTCAAATGGACCTTCTCCCAAATGAGAGAGTGTGTCCTCACAGAGACCAAATCTGAGGATGGATTCCTTAAATGTGTTAAGTTAAAAATTAGTTAAGTTAACCAGGAAGTTGCTCCCAAATGACTGACAGTGTAAATACCAGGTGTAGGTTCCATGATACATGAGATTTAAAGTATGAGCTTCAACAACTTGTGGACAGTTGGTAAACAGTATAGCATGTTAACAGTGATTATTAGTAACGGCATATTTACGCTGCTATCAAGAATAACTTATTTATGCCTGGCTTCCATTTCTTTTTCAGAGGTTTAGTTCAACCAGTAAAAATATGGTGATAAATATGGCTCAACCAATGGAACACAGATACGCAGGAAAAAACAATGTGGTTTCATGATATTTCCCAAATTTAGGAGATAATGTGGATCACCTAAATGCCTCCCAGCTGAAAACTTGTTGAAAACTCTGTGGCTGTACTAAATCTTTAATTATGTTGAAAGGTAAAAGTGGCCAACAAGAATGTGTTTTTGAAAATTTACTAATTTTGCTAACTAATTTTATCATTATATTATATCCTCTGCTTTTTATTGGTGCTATTTCTACCAGAATTACTCTACACTGTAGACAAACATTAGTACAGTCCATTCAAGAATATGGAAGCAAAGATGGTGCAGGAGACAGTCAGCTTTTGTCAGAAACTGTAAATGCTCTTTTGTGACTCACAATTAAAGCATTTCACAGTAGTACAAACGTTATTTAACACGTTAGTAACGCTTTCGGCATTTTTTGAGACGGATGGCCTCAAAAAATCTGTTTCCTTCAAATTTGGGAAAAAGAATTCTGCTTTTCTTGGCTACATAAGGAGGACCCCTTTTTAAAGAGCACGGTGTTTCTATATCCAATCAGTGTTGCTACACTTTTGATATACTGATGCTTTGCACAGAAGCAAATTACTCTAAAACACTGTTTTGTTTAGTAGCAGAACATGACATGTTTTAATAAACAGCGCATCAGAAAAGAAATGCTCTAATGTCTTTCATGTTTCTCATGTCTCTGACAGCTACAAGTCTATTGTGGAGTTCATTGACGCCCAGTTTGAAGCATATCTACAGGAGGAGCTGAAAATAAAGCGCACGCTACACAGCTACCACGACACCCGCATCCACGCATGCCTGTACTTCATCGCTCCCACGGGACACTCGCTCAAATCCCTGGACTTGGTGACCATGAAGAAACTTGATAGCAAGGTGAGCTTCATGTCACTTCATCAAATTATCATCAGCCAGAAGACATTTTTATGTGTCCCTAGTTTCCAGGAGAATTTGTTTTTGTTGATTTGTTGTGCTGGGGGATAATTTGTTCAGAGACCCACTTTCTATTCTGGGTGTTTTCCATCAGTCCCAGATCAATTCTAGTTAGTGCTGGGTTTTATTAGTTTATGGCTCTTGTAGTATAAAGCTTCATACAGTTTATTTGCAGTTGTACAAGATTCACAAATTGAATAGCGAGAGTGTCTGTTTTTAGCCTTAAGTGAGAAGTACAGCTGCATTGCAGGAAACTGATATTAAAGAAGAACCGTTATATAATGCCTAAAAACATGGATAGACTTACTATAGCACGTCATACACTGCAAAAACTAAAATCTAAGTAAGATTAATTATCTTAATTGAAGGCGAAATATACTTGTTTTTTGTCTGACAAGATATTTCTTCTTACCAGGCAGCTTTTATGTTAGAGAATTTCACTTGTTTCAAGTTTTTTTTGTAGCAAGTGAAATATTCTTGTTCTGTTGGCAGATAATTTTGCTTATTTTAAGTAATATTTCCCCCATTTTAATGCTCCCCCCCCCCCCTTGTTTTTGAGAGCTCACTTTTTGCAGTGTAGATCTACTGGAGGTAAATTGCTGTGATCACTTTCATCTATCTACTCAAGTCATGGGTCATAAACCTTTTTTAGGCCATCTGCCTGCATGCAAATTGGCTCTGATCTTGTTACTGCGTCGGTGTAGGTCAGCTGTGAAATGCAGCCGGCTCAGTGACGGATGCCCTGTTTTCTTTTTTTTTCCTTTGTGAGGTCCTTTCCACAGCAGCTTATTTGCATGGACCTCCTGGCTTTTTTACAAAGAGTTAGCTCAGTGTTTGCCAGAGCAGCTGTGCCCTCTGGCAAACGCTCACAACCGCGTCATCCAGAGCAGAGCCGCCGCCTCAGCTTACACATTCACAGAGGGTGGGGGGGATTCAAACAGTACTCTGCTGAAGTGTCCTAGAGCAAGACGTTGAATCTTCACCAGACTCATGGGCGCTAGAAAGTATTTTTATTCACATGACCCAGAGCATGCCTTGCTGTTAGTAAGGGGCGCCCAGTTGGGGAGCAAATAATTTGTGATTGTGTAGGTGACAGGGCACCTAGAAAGTAATTGTGTGTGAGTGAAAGTCTCATTTTTCATCAACCCAGTTGTGCATATGAGACCATGCCTTTCTATTTGGATAGCATAGATAGCATCAATTCATTCAATTGAGTCTGACTACTAATGCCATGTTTGGAAAACTTTTAAGTGATCTGGTGCAGGATAGCAAAGCCTACTGCTCCCTTTGCTGCGTCTACTATTTATATCTCTTTGCTTAAGAAAGTGTTATTGTCTGCAATACACAATTACCTGATTTGCAGAGATCCTGCAAACTGAGAGAGGTGCAGTGATATGATGGAGAGAACACAGGTTATTAAGCACCCTATCCTTTATGAAATTGTATTTTAAATTGCTACTATAATCCTGAGCAACTAGCGATAGTAAGATATATAAAATAAATACGTGTAGGTGTGTTTTATTTTGTTAATAAACCTGAATTTTGTTCACTTGGAGCTACTACTTCTAAAAGACCAAAATGATATGATTTTGTATTGATTTGTTTAACCTTTTTGGTCCTCTTTTTAAAAATACATCAACTCCTTTCCAAATATGGAACTACGCAAATGGTGGTGAGGACAAGTTGCCACTGACAGACAGCTATAAACCGCTCTATATTTAACTGAATATCTGTAAGCTTTCTCTGCACCTTGTCATTGTGTCAGCCTATGTCAAATCTTTCCTCGTTTCTCAACTGCAGGTCAATATTATCCCAATCATTGCCAAGTCGGACGCTATCTCCAAGAGCGAGCTGGCCAAGTTCAAAATCAAAATCACCAGTGAGCTTGTCAGCAATGGAGTGCAGATCTACCAGTTTCCCACTGATGATGAGTCTGTGGCAGAGATCAACTCCACCATGAATGTAAGGCTCACAGCTGGCTTTTACACCGAACATCTTACTTAGTTCATGTTATAGATGATGTGTAAGGTCATCGTGGTCATTTTAATCTTAAGGAAATACAGTTGTATATGCAACACATTTTTTGTTTTTATATTTTGTTAAGGGCATAAATAACATGTGATGCAGATTCAGGACATTCATCGTGCTGTCAGGACGCCACCCCATGCAGGGAGGAGTGTGTTCACAGCAGCACAATCGGCCATCTCACTCTGCAGGAAGCCTGCAGTGTGGGAAAGGGCCTGTGCTCACTGACAGATCAGCCAATGCTCACTTGAGGCTGTTTATGAGGTCTGATCTCTGGAATTGCCTTAACCTCTCCCTCACTGATTGTGTTAGACCGTTGCCTCTCGGCTGTTATTGTATAGTCTGAACACACCTCTGTTCTGACAAAAGTTCATACTTCCTCCTGCTACAGCCGTTTCTAGATGTCTGTGAAAATGTGCACTTCACAGTCAGGATATATAAATAGAAATATCGCATTTTCTCAGTCTTCTTAGTTATGTTAACGTATCCTTAGCTGTCTGTAGGTTTTGTCCTGATCACTCAACAATGAATAAGATATTTGCAGCAGTCATGAAATAGAGGTTACATGGTGGCTTGTACCAGAATTTGATCAGAATCCACAGAGCTCTCAGGTGTGTTTGGCAGTATACCAACGTTGCTTTTTCCTCTGCTCTACAGAGCCATTTGCCATTTGCCGTGGTGGGGAGCACGGAGGAAGTGAAGATTGGGAACAAGATGGTGAAGGCCCGGCAGTACCCCTGGGGGACTGTGCAGGGTAAGCCTCGGTCACATCCTGTACAGGAAATGAGAGCGTGCTCTCTCTCATCAGAGCTGCTGCAGCTATTCCCTCCCCTCGTATTCCTCTTCGGCTCCAACAGCTGTTGCAAACTAGTTGATAACCAGTTATATAACCTCATTTAGCTGTAGCACCCTCTCTGCAACTATACTGTATGTTAGAGCTACAGCAGCTCTGAGCTCTTACAGATTGATCGCTGACAACGTTGACTTGTTAATGACTTACTCGATCAATCCATAATGGAGTTTATAATGTGCTGCAGTTACAATACTATTAGTTCATACAAGTATCTAAAATGTGCAGCAAAGGTTATGCTATGCTAATCTACTCTTAAGATATTTGATACTTTTCCAGCCACAAATGATCAGTTTAACTGTATAATGTTAGTGTGTGTGTGGGGAGGGGGTGTATAAATGTGGTGGTTGCATTATCGATATACTGCTTGGTCTATAAAAGGTCACATAATTGGGGAAAAATGCTCATCCAAATTTCCTACAACACAAGATCTATTTCTTTGCAATATCTTGGTTTGTCTGACCAACAGTCAAAAGATATTCAGTTTCTAATGATATAAACAGAAAAGAAAGCAGAAAATCCTCACACTGCAGAAGCTAGAACCCAGAATAGTCGGCATTGTTGCTTGATAAATAACTCTTTTGTTGCCTAAGAGGTTGGACGTCATTAATTTTAGGCGTGTTCACATTCACATCCATTGATCTGTGTAGAAATTAGCCTGCTTTATACACTGACCCCCCCCCAGCGTAAATAGGGCTGTGATTTTTTACCCAATATGGATATGAACAAGTCAGCATTTTAACCCTCAGTCTTTGTTCCATTTGAAATTTAATGTGCTGGATTACAGCCAAAACAGTGAAAAAACATATTGCTGTCCTAATACTTTCGGACTGCACTGTATAAAATGTCTGGCCAGAGGCTTTACCTGACATTGGTTCTGTTTACCACAGACTGACTGTCATGTGTACTCACATGATGTCACCCGTTCTGTGGGGGTGTGGTGCTTGGCTCAGGCCAGTAACAAAATCAATAGACAAGCCACAGGACATGACCACTATTCTGTTTTGGTAGGAATGGGTCTGTGAAATAGTTTCTCAAGTAATAATATATTTAATTATGTTCTGTAATTTAATGCAAACATTAGTGAGCATAGTGCTATCTGTTTCTGCCCACGTACACATATTGCAAATGACGTGCATGTGTCACTATGATGTGTCTCTCATAGTGGAAAATGAGAATCACTGTGACTTCGTCAAACTGCGAGAAATGCTGATCAGAGTGAACATGGAGGACCTGCGAGAGCAGACTCACACGCGTCATTATGAGCTCTACCGCCGCTGCAAGCTGGAGGAGATGGGCTTTAAGGACACAGACCCTGACAGCAAGCCCTTCAGGTAGTAGACTCGAGACTGCCCTCATACAGCTGGATTGTGTTTTTCATTTATCTTCTTGCTCTCCACCTACATCTGCTTGTTTCTGCTCTGCTCTCTGTTTCATTTAACATTTTCTGCTTCCATTTATAATTGGCAAGATTGCACCAGTTTGTGTCTGCGTCTAGTGTGTACTATAGTATAATGTTTCTGCTATTCATTTTTATCCTCCTTCTCCTTTTCTCTCTGCCAGTCTTCAGGAGACGTATGAAGCTAAGAGGAATGAGTTCATGGGTGAGCTGCAGAAGAAAGAGGAAGAAATGAGGCAAATGTTCGTCCAAAGAGTCAAAGAGAAGGAGGCTGAGCTCAAAGAAGCAGAGAAAGAGGTATTCTCATAAAACTTGAATGCTACCCTGTCTTGAAATATTACATGCATCACTTTGTTTAAGGAAGTTTCTGCTCTTGTCTTGAATAACACAAAGTTTCTTTTGTCCCCACCACATAGCTGCATGAGAAATTTGACCGTTTAAAGAAGCTCCACCAGGACGAGAAAAAGAAAGTGGAGGAAAAGAAGAAGTCCCTGGACGACGAGCTCAACATGTTCAAACAGAAAAAGACTGCTGCAGAGCTCTTGCAGAACCAAGCCCAGCAGGCAGGGGGCTCCACCACACTCAAGAGGGACAAAGAGAGGAAAAAGTAAGTATTGTTTTCTTCCTCTTGTGACTTCCTCACATCTGTCCTTACATCTTAGGTGCGGGAGACACCAGTTTTATGAGGATTGGAATAGTCTGGATGCTGTGAAACCAGGAGGCCACATATTGCTACACTGACATTTCAGGATATAGTTCCTGCCTCTGTTTAGAGAATTGCCTTAAAGATCTTTGTTACACATCAGTACATGAATACCACTGCCAATATGTGAGAAGCTGTTTGTGGTTAAGCCGTTGGGGTCCTTACGGGGTGAATTAGACTAAAATATGTAGCTTTGTCCTGACAAAAATGCAATAATGGAAACAGTATGACACCTTTTCTACATTCCATCAGTTATATTGTTGTCAGTGGCCACACCTCTGGTTTTAATGAATCTACACTATGAATTGTTCCATATTTTCCCCCTCGGTGTATCTGAAATAAATTATTTTGTCCCTCCAGCAGTTTATATGAATAGTTCCGCTAAACCATGAGTGTACGAGACTGTTCTCCACAACATGTTGCCGGATGTGTTGTTGTGTGCTATTGACATTGTCGGTCCCTTCATGTTGGTAATCAACTCCTGGTTTTGTGTTGAAGCTGATGAGATGCCGTGCCTGTTAGAAAAGGAAGAAGACACTTGCACTGAGAAGGTTCTTGTTGCTTTATTTTTTTTCCCTGTTAATTTATTTTCTTCACAGCCACTTCTTCCTTTTATGGGCTCTGCCTGGAAAATGTCTCTCCCTGTGCAACTTTGTCTGTGGGTCACTGATTAAAACTGACTAAAGAGGTCTTACACTTCAAGTTCCCAGAAGACAGTCATTGATTACTGCTTGTTGTGTAGATGTGAGTCTGTCCTGTGAGTGCATGTGTCACCTATGTCGCATCCATGTTTTCCAGTTAACTCCTCCCACACTTGCTGCATGCTGCATGAGGCACCTTTTCTGGTAAGACTGCCTTCTTGAGTTACACCACCAAGAATCTTAACAAAATGTAACATTTAAAAATTTAAATGAGGTGTCATTGATTGGCTTCTCAAAACCTTTTTGACTTATTACATGCATGTGAATAGTAATTATTCTAAAATACAACAAGCAAATCATCACCAAAACTTTATTGGACTGAAAAAGGCAACGTGTCTACATTACCGAGTGTCTGGAGATTTAATCGTGTGTGTGTGTGGAGGGGGTGTGTGTGGGGAGGGGGTGTATACATGTGGTGGTTGCATTATCGATATACTGCTTGGTCTATAAAAGGTCACATAATTGGGGAAAAATGCTCATCCAAATTTCCTACAACACAAGATCTATTTCTTTGCAATATCTTGGTTTGTCCGACCAACAGTCAAAAGATATTCAGTTTTTAATGATATAAACAGAAAAGAAAGCAGAAAATCCTCACACTGCAGAAGCTAGAACCCAGAATAGTCGGCTTTGTTGCTTGATAAATAACTCTTTTGTTGCTTAAGAGGTTGGACGTCATTAATTTTAGGCGTGTTTACATCCACATGCATTGATCTGTGTAGCACCCCCCCCCCCCCCATTGCGTCTGACATCCGGCACCTGTTCTAAATATAGAACGGGCTGTGCACTACTTTTCTTCATCTCCACATTAGAATAAAAACACAATCAAATGAACCATTAAAAGCTGTTAAAAGTACTATCTTAATTCACATGCATTTAATTTACTCTAAAGTTATTTAAATGCGACGCAGTCTGAGAAATGGGTGCAGTAATTCAGATATTTGAGCAGGCCTGTGGTATATCATTGGTAACATCAGCGTCAATCATATCCTTGAGCTGGCAGTGTTTACCGTCCTTGTGCCAGCTTCTAAATCAACCAGTTTATTAGATCCCCACACACCCATTTGATGTACTGCCCCATCTGCCTCTTTAAATCCACAACAGTCTCTTTTTTTTGTGGCTCTCCCAAGTCTTTCCCCACCCGTCCGTGCAATGACACAAAGAGCCATTCAAGGCTAAACTGAGACTAACAGGTCACACCAGAGTAGCAAATGGCCTCAGGGCCCATCTTTGTTCATAGAGATGACATGTTTTGTTGATCTCGCAGCCATATGACGACCCCTTCTGCCACCCCTCCCTCTTGAGTGGATACAAAAGCTAAATCCACAGAGAGCAAGAGAGAGATGTTGTTGAAACTCAACAACATGGTAGAAGTGAACGAAGACATCTGTCTCGCAATCTGTAAACTCCTCAAGCAGCTCAGGACCATTAAAATAGATGAAAACAAGCTGCTGTTTGATGAGCAATGAGGAAGACAATCAGACACATTGTTTGAAGCTCAAGGAAATGATAAAACCTAAAAAAAGGAAAAATAAATACATTTGTCTCTTTCTAAGAAGTAGACAACTATACTTGCACCCTAACGTCAGTACACTCAAACCCTTTTGAGTTGCCTTGAAAGCATGACCTCTTCTAAATGCCATCTGGTCACTAATGTTGATGTGATGTCACCGATGTGAAACTGTGTGTCGTGATGATGTTTTAACTCAAAAGAAAGCAATAACCTTCTCTCTCATTTCCAGCTTAGGATTCCTGTAGAAAAAGTGCTCCCTTGTGGCCATCCTGCTGTGAATGAGTTTCCGCCCCATCATCCTTTACAGTACCCCCCTTCCCCGCCCTCACCCTCACCCCATAATTACCCCCCCCCCGCTCTCTGGAAGACGCTGGGCATTGCTTATGAGTTTGACATCACTTTTTATTTTGCTGAATGACACTTGTCTATTAAATGGTTTGTACAAGCAATTATTCAGCTTGTCCTTTTTATACATGGTTATGAAAAAATGCATTCCATATTTGACTTATATTCAGTGATTCTTTGCATGATCCTTTTTTTTTTTTTATATTAACATACATGACTACTGTTGTGATGGGCAGAAATGTATTGAAGCTAAAGTGAAACATGCATCAGACAGTTGAGTATGTGTATGTGGTCAAAGATCTGTAGTAGATTAAAAAACAAATGATTAAGACCGATGAGGATTGATGCGAGGATGGATTAAGTTAATGTTTAAAACTGCTCCATCTTTAGATTGATTCTCTTCTCTTATTTAGTTGTTGGCTTGGGGTCGAGCTGGTTAGTTATAAGCTTGAAGTTATAATGCTTAAGATTTCAGTCCTGGTTGATTTGGTGACAGTGAGTGCAGTTTAATACTACACCAAACACTTGTTGAGCTGCTACTTCAACAGAAATACAACAATAGAGCAACTTGTGTTTACAGCCAAGCCAAACAAAATCACATTGGCCTTTTTCCATCATGCCATGAGCAACGACAATCTGATTTCATGCTGCATATTTAGCGAGTAGTACTATCTGCAGTATTTAAAACTGATCAGAAAAAAGACCACTGTTTTCCTTTGTAGATGCATTTTTGATCAGCATTGACTGTTGCTAATTGTGGCAATGAATACTTTGCACTTCCTGTGAACTCTTCACAATAAAAGCCACCCCGTGTTTTGCCAGTTGAGAGCTTTTAATGTGAAGTAGCAGCATTAAAGTAGAAGTAACTTAATACAGCTCTTGTACGACTGATGGTGAGTGAACAGGAAACAGCGAGGCTGATGTCTGAGATAGAATTACAGTAATGCTGAATTACATGCACGCATCTTTTCCTGCTAATTCCTTGTGCGCGTGAAGGCAAAAGAATGGCGGACCCCACCACTGACAATGAAGATAGAGATAATTACAGAATGTAAATAAAACAATAATAGACTATTGCAGAAACCATAAGTAATTAGTATCAAAAAGGAATTTGATTTAATGGAAATCTTGAGGAATATAACTTCCTAATACCACACCACACTTTATACACCCAATAAGAATTGAATTTGAGATTTAATTTGTTTGGTATTTATGTCCCTTTGCTGATGCTGTTTCACTTCAGCCTGATGCATGAGTAGTTGTGAGCCTAATCTCTTCTCTCCCATACCTCATTTATTGTCATGTGTTATGTGCATACTTGTCTTAGCTTTCACATTTGCACTTTTTAAAAATACTCAAATGTGATGTTTTGTTGCGTATATATTAATGTTGTCAGTGCAATTGTAACTTTCCTTTTATTTTACTTATCATGAAGGCACATTTATAAGTCATTCATCAAGATGTCCATTGTCCTGCAGGGACCAGTTTTGTTTGTATCAGTGTTGCGCATAAAATAAATATTATCTCATAAGAAAATAAAGGCCAGATTTTCACCAAATATTACAACTGTGGCCATAATCATTGTCTATGACACACATTGCTGGTCCAAAGTCTTCTCACAGCTTTGATTAACATCAAGTCAAGAATTCTTCAGGTATGTTTCTTTCTCTGTGCTCACAATCACAGGGCATCTGTTGACCTTGTTTAATACTTATTTTTTCACCACTTCAAGGTTGCTTTTATTGTCTTATGAAAGAGGGAAACTGTCTTGAAGACATTGCTGCATAAAAACACTTTGATTTCATATGATACCAGGGTCAAAATACATCAGGAGAAAGAGCAGTTTCCTCCTCCTAATCCACAGCTCACTGGTCTGTGTGGTTTCACTTTCCTTTGCAGTAATCCCTGGCTCTGCACTGAGTAGGTCCTCAGCCCTCAAACTTTGCTAAGGGACCAGCTTTTGTGGGCACTGAGTACCTCAAATGTGACCAGAGGCTTTGTGGACCCCATCCTTCAGGGTTTCTTAATTATCAGCTCTGCTATAATATTGATTAATGTGTATTTGTGTTTCACTGCAGCTCTAACTTCACCGTCTGCCATCTAATTCTTGCTTTATTGCCTCTGCTTATGTTTAGATGTGTACTTTTGTTTGCTGTGACTAACACCCTTCACTTGTGATGGAAATTACATGCGCACTTGTTTGTTTATTGTCACATGTGGTCTGCATTTACATCCACAAGAAGACAAGAAGACTTATAATACATTGGCCACAATATAATCTCATGATTTTATGCTTAATGTATTCTTTGAACTATGATCCCTATGAACTTTGTATTTCAAACTAAATCTGTTTTCTACCTGATATCAGATGCACTTCGAAATCTCAAGCTTGACTTGTGTTTTTGTAAACGCTTATGCTCTGCCACCTCTCTAACTGCCGGCTTTCTTTCTCTTTGTCTCTTTAGCTTCTTTTAATCTGTCTTGACCACCTGAAGAGGGAATTGCAGCTTCAGCGAGAACTAAGCACCCTTTACCTCTTCCCGTTTTCCTCGCTGTATGAACCTTTTTTATTCTCCCCATCACATCTCCTTTTGTTGAATATGGCCTTATGTGGACTCGCATGGTATTTCTGACCACCTAATGAAGCTCTAAACCCAGGCAGGTTGGGTACCGGGCACAGTTTAAATCTGTTATTATGTCTTAATGTATATAAAGAGACTCTTGTAGTATATAGAAGTCATAAGTTGGGGTTCACACTTTTGCAGGACTCGTAGGTGAAATCATTATTTGATCTTTACTTGAAACAAAATAGCAGGGACCTGCACTATGCACTCATCTTATATTTCAATAGGATTCTTAATACAATGCGATAAACAATAAAACGCTACTGAAACATCGAGGCTTGCTGATTTAAAACTAACTCATGAAGGACAGAAGCACTTAATGCACTGTGTAATGTGTTTTGAAGTACAGTAAAATGTGTATAGTCATGTTGTTTTCTTGAATCTAGTTCATTTGCATTGAAAATCTCCTGCTTCCAGGTTTTCTGAACATCAAAATTAGACAGCGAAATAAAGAGTCATAATCATGCAAAAGCCAAAGCAATATTTTATACCTAGCACTTCATTTGATGGTGCCCATGTTTACATGTCACTGTTGAATACCATGGAGGTCACATGTAATGGCCTTTTATTACACATTGTGCTTTAATATTCACCGGCCTATTCTATATTTTGCATGCATCTTTTAGTTTCATTACCGCAGTGATCTTTGACCTTTTGACCTGCTTGTTTTTATTCCCTAATAACTAAATTTTGCAGTCTATTTCTGCTGTTTTCTTAAAATGGTGCATATTTTTAATGTATTTTTGCTCTGTCCTTATGATTTCAGCTCCCTTTTTGCCAAATATTAGTGTAAGGTGGAGTTGAACTGAATCCCAGATAGGAGTATTAAAAACAAATACTCGTGCATTTATATAATTTATAAGGATATATTTTGTGTATTGAAGTGGAGACTTGTTGTTTATTACCTATGATCTTTGGATGTAACTCTGAGTGTAAAGTAACATTTTGGTGTCAGAAAATGCCATACATTTTTCTAGTATCAGTCATCACCTCCTGTAGTCAAAAACTCTCCCACACTACAAATGATGTAAAATCTTACTTTAGTTTGATTCCATTGGTGTACATTTTCAATAAAAATATGATCTTAACATATTAAGCTTTTGTCTTTTATTTACAGTGATGAAGCTCATGGTTACACCTAATAATGTTAATTACTGTAGGTTTGTGAAAACCTCGAGCTGATACGACCTGTAATGAGCACTTTCAAGGGTTAATTTAATGGTCTGTATTCAAACTTTTTATTCAACATGGACACAAACAACTGAGTTGATGAATTTAAAAGAAATTATTATAATTAAAAATGTAAAAAATATACATACGTGCCATAAGTATTTGTTATTCAGAATGGCCCATTTCAGAATATAAATATATATATGTATATACACACACACACATTACATTTCTGGATAATTAATATTGATGTATTAATGTGTAAGAACCACCTTAATGTTAAAGGTGGGACAAATTACAATGAATATATATTTCATGTTATTTTATATCATACTGGATAACGTGAATTTCCTCCTGGAGATCAATAATATCTTATTGATATAACTGTAAATTATTTGTTGATTTTATTAATCTAAATCTGTATAGTAAGCAAACGGACATACTTGAGTAAAGTACAAGAACTACAAAATTGCACTTGAGTAAATGTACATTAATTTGTTACTTTCCACAACTGAGCAGAAATATATAAATGAATGTGCAACCATTTACAGTATATGGAATGACTAGGACGGTGTTGCAAAGAAAAGAAGAAAAGCGATTTGACGTAGTGCTAATTTAGCATCACAATGTTCTAAATTACTTTATTTCTAGACTTCTACTTAATCGTGTAAGTCTGTACCGAGAGAAACTCTGCAGTGAACCTGAGATTAACACACTGCATCTCAGTGATATAATAATATGTGGCATATTTCTGCTGTATTTCCTCTTCAGTGTGTAAGCCACATGTACTCATTAATGACTCACTGACAGCAGCCCGCTGAGCTTGAACTGTCCGGCGGCAAAGCATTCTGGGCCAGTACGGTGTCAGACGCCATGATTTTCCTGTAGCTGGACCAGAAAATGGACGCTTCCTGCTAGTGAGCTAGTTGAATGGGTAACTGGAGTTCCCAGGAGGTTTCGCGCCGCATTTTAAACCTTCCGTCAAATTAAAGGATACAAACATACATGTGTTTTCTTTTTTGCAGAGGACGAGCTAAATCTGAAAGCTATTATAAGCAGCCTGGCGCTGCTGAAGTGGAGCTGGGAAAGCTACAGCCAAAGCTAGCTGGCTAATGCTAGCGGTTGCCAACGTTAGGCTAGCTAAAAGAGGCTAGGTCGATAATAATAACCGGCTGATCATAAAAATAAAAATAAATGCACCGTATCTTGCTCAGCGGAAGGACAGAGGTATTAGTCGGACCAAAGGCTACACCTTAAGGTGAGAATATGACATCGCTAGCTAGTCGCACATTTAAATGTTGATACGTGTAACGTTGATGTTTAGCATCTTAGTTACAACATGTCTGTGAGAGATGGACCCTGTCGGCCTACTGCGTCACTCTGTCAAGGCCTTGTGTTGGTTCAAAATGCAGCCTTTTTTCTCGCCCTTAACATCATATCCGTTAAATGTTTTTAGAAGTGTAGTGTAATGTTTTGTCCAGACACGTAGTTTGTATCTCAGTCACTGCATGCTGCTGGCAGGTGGTTTTGTTTTGCAGTGAATGTTTTGAGCCTCTATAGGCAGCATGGCGTATTAACTCATTATGCTGTGTTTGTATATTTTCATCCATTCATGTGACGTCTAACTCACACTGCCTCGATAACACAGGTATGGCCTGGATTTGATTTGGACGGTGCTGGTGATGGCAGAAGGGACCGACACTGGCGAAATGCCCTCCTTTGACCCAAGTCCTAGTTCTGAAGCAAAAAAGAGACCTACTTCTTCTGATGGCAGTGAGTATATTGATCTGTGTTTAGATTTAAACGTTTATTGAAATTTATACCAGGTTATCATCTACAGGTTGTGTTTCACCATTACATCTACATATCCACATATGCGAATATCATATTTCTTAATAGTACTGTCAGACATATGCAACATTCAGTCATTGAGTGAAGGACTGATTTGGGGGTAATCCAAACATCTTAAACTTGAAGGTTTGCCAGGCTGTTGAGCCAGTAGCATCCGTAATGTGAGTCAGGTGTGTATTTCAGGGGTTTCAGCAGCTCTTTCAGCTCTCACCAATGTTAAAGAATAAGGCTGTCAATATTCTTTATTATTATTTATTATTATTATTTATTATTATTTTTGTTATTGTCAACAAATCCCATGAAAAGGCCAAAACTGTATTCCTACTGGAGATGTTCATTTTTAAAAGCAGGCCAAAAATATAAACTCGAGTTATTTCTTTAAACAGTTGGGCACTGTAGTTTTTTTAGTAAACATTACTCAAACAGAAGCCATTTTCAGCTGCAGATTTTGGTGCACTACTGAGTATTTAAGGCTGCATGAGAGGTGTAAGTGGGATTGACTCAGAATAAACTAAAGTGCCCATAATGAAGGAACATGTCACCCAGTGCAAAAGTGTCATGTTCCTCATGATGTGTTTCTAGCAGTTTTTGGTTAGCAATGGATGTCTAAGTCACAGAGGAATAAGCTGTATGTGGCTTAGGCTTCACAAACAACACTTGTTACTAGGATCAATTCAACATTAGCTTTTTTCATGGGATGTGTTGACAATACAAAAACTCAGCCTTATACTGTAAACGCTGAGACCTGTATGGTCTGAAACTTATATCATGTACCTCTACAAAAACGTGACACTTAAGTTTTGCCACAACATGTTGTTAGGAGAAATGAATGCAGTCACAACCAGTTTCATGGAAATTTTATCACATTAACCCTCTAGTGCCCATCTGAGATTGATTCATCTGTATGTCAAATCAGACATCTATCCCAGTTTTCTAACTGTTTACCTGTGTCATGTTATTGCAGGAGACGAGCCCATGAGAAAAATGCCTGTGTCAAAATTTGGTTCCAGACCTCGGTTTGAGCCTGTACACTTTGTCAGTGGGGGAAGCAGTGGAGGTGGAAATGGTGCTGATGGGAAGGAGAACGATAAGGAGCGCAGGAGGAGTGAGTTGTACGGTGCAAGACAGTGGAACTCTGAACACTCTTCTTACAAAAGCACCAGCAGAGCGCAGGGCTCCGCATCCCTGAGGCCGGCTTTTGACCGAGTGCCATCTTACAGCTCTGACTCTTGGGGTTCCAATAGAGACAGAGAGCGAGACAGAGAGATTTTTTCAGGTAGCACGAGTGGGTTGGGTTATGGAGGACGTGGGTCCTCTTCAAACTTCATGGCAAAAACACAGCAGGACTACATATCCAAATATGAAGCGCACACCTCTCGAAATTCAGATTCCTATTCACAGCCCCACAGATACAATGGTTACGGGGGAGGGAGCAGATCAGGAGGCTGGGATTTGGGACGTCAGGGTTTGGGGTACAGTCATCAGGACCGGCCGTCATCAAGCAGGCCGTTCTGCAGAGTCTACAACAGCCCGGGCAGGAGCAGTCCCACCACTTCTCAGTCGGGTTCTTCGTCACAGCCCCTGCCTGTATCTCAGTCAACATTGGATGAGAAGCAAAGGCTGATTACCAATGTAGGGTCTGCGTTGGCTGTTGCTTTTAGGGACCCTATGTTCATGACCGGAAGTGAGTCGCCAAACTATAATTTCATGCTGAGCCGCAGCATTCAGGCCTGCAAGACTAATCCTGAGTATATTTATGTCAACCTGAAGGATATTCCTCAGGCTGACCTACCGAAGAACAGGAAAGTACCAACAGACGGTTATGCCTGTGAACTGAGATGCCAGGGTGTGTATCTTGCTACTGGATACTCTGGGAGTAAAAATGGAGCAAGGGATCGGGCCTCTGAGCAGGCTGTAAAACTCTTCCTGAAACCAGTAGAGGTTCGTGTGGTGCAGCGCAAATACAGACACTCCACGGTCAGTGACATAGTTGTGTGCCAGATGCAAAGCCCAACCCCGGCCTTTTTACCTGCTCTCCGCAACCCCCAGGATAAGCCGACGCCCAGCTCTAAGGGTCAATACGAGCCTGACAAACGGAAGCACTGGACCGAGTTTGTGGTTATGGACAATGCTCACGACGCCATCTGCATACTCAACAATTCGGCGGCTTTTAATCGCATGAAGATAGACTATAAGTTCGACCTGCTCCCAAACAGCAGTGCTTGGCTGTGCAGTGTTTTCCTGCAGGATGAGCTGGTAGCGCAGGCAACAGGCACTAAAAAGAACTCAAAGCACGCAGCGGCGGAAGAGGCAGTCAGGAAACTTCGCATGAACCAGGCACAACGACAGCAGCAGCAGCAACTGCAGCAGCAGCAACAACAGCAGCAGCAACAACAACAACAGCAACAACAGTCACAATACTCCAGAGGAAATAATCAATCGGATTGTGGTGGACGCTTTGGGCAACAAGGTGGCAAAAAGAAGCATCTGAGCGAGTTAGTTATCCTGGAAAACTCTGACAATGCAATCTGTATCATTAATGACACAGCTCAGTTTAATAAAGTGTCTGCCGATTACAAGTTCACGGTTCTGCCTGATCATCGCTGGAGGTGTGAAGTTTACTTGGAAGGACAGTATGTGGCAGCAGGAATTGGGCCCAAGAAAATAGTGAAGCACATTGCAGCAGAAGAGGCCTTAGCAACTTTGAGACAGACGCAAGCTGTGGTCAAATCCAACCTAAGAAAGGAGGGGCACAACGATGCCATATCCCGATCCCAGATCCTGGCTCGCTCCGGTGAGGAGGCCACGAGGCAGGAGATTAAGGAAGACAACATCGGAAACCAGCTGCTCCGCAAAATGGGCTGGAAGGGAGGTGGTCTGGGACGAGATGGGGAAGGCATCGCAGAACCAATCAGAGTGAAGGAGCAGTTCTCCAGAGAAGGGTTGGGAATGGACACGGACAAAACTGGAAACCAGCTCAGCAAGCGTGATATTGAGGACATCATTCGTAACTATGCCAGTTCAGACCGCCAGGATGACCTTCGCTTCTCGACCGACCTCACCAACGATGAACGCAAGCAAATCCACCAGATCTCTCAGAAATATGGCCTACGAAGCAAGTCATACGGACAAGGACGGCAACGGTTCCTTGTTGTCAGTCGCAAAGTACACAAAGATCAGCTCATTGGTCAACTTTTACAGGAAGGACAGGTGGGACGATATGAGCTGGTGAAACCCCAGGCGTCTCACTAATTTGCATGCAGAACAAAATGAAGAAAACAAAGTTGTCATTGACTTGGACTTCACAACAAATCACACTCAAGTGTAACTGCTTTGTTTTTACTTCTGTGACAAATTTACAGCACACATTAATAAATGAGAATCCTTCAGGTAACACCTGTGGTTTCCACATTCCTTTGCCATATAATGTATAGCAGGGGCTTTAGGAAATGTAATTTTCTTTTGTCTCTTGCCATTCCACATCCTGTATTTGTTTCACTTTTGCACAACTAGCTACTGTTCAGTGCTTTGTGGTATCATGTCCTGATGCTACAGTTAAAAAAAGGCTTTTGAGGTTTTTCCTCACCACTTTTTGTTTCTATTTAAGGAACCTGGCAGAATATGCAGCTTTTCACTGCTCGTTGGTGAACATTGTAGAGTGTTGACTCATGAAAGACGAGGATTAGAGGCGGTGACATCAAACTGTAGCTAGGTGCTCATACCAGTCTCGCTGTAGTGATACATCTCTATTCAGCAATACCTGCAGTGTTGTTTGCTCTGTTAACACCAGGAGATCATCCTAAAAGTACAAGCTGCATTGAAGATGTGATCTTTGTTAAATGTCAGAAATGTTGGTTTACGTGAGTACAGTTAACTTGTCCGCTTGTTTTCACAGCTGTAATTACTGAATAAATTAACTGATAACCATCAACTGGCTGAACTTGATTAAAATGGATATTTTTGTACAGTGAGTTATAGAGCAACAGAGACAACTTTTGCATATTTATTTTATATACAAGAAAATGTACAGTTTGTTACATGGGTTACCAGTGCAACGATTTATAATCTGAAAACAGACACAATCGGCACACAATCAGCCTAGTATGACAGCTGATTTGTAAGATTGTAAAATAGCATAGAAATGTTCTCACACAGCTTTTGAATGTCAGCATTATGAAACCGCATGAAACAAAGTGAAGGACCTGGAAAGGGTACTGAATGTCTTGTTTCTGTGTTGGAAGAGGGACAAATATATTCACCAATATCTAGAACATTTTTAAAAATCAAAAGGCATGGCTTTACAAGTACATCTGAGAGAAAAAATAACCCCCAAAGGCATCTGTTGAATGGACAACTTCCATGCCAGGTTAATTTTCTATTCCACTGAAAGGGTTTCAAAAGGCAGAAAGAAATAAAACCAAAAGGAGTGAGGCCACTGAAACAGAAACACCTAAAAACAGCTTTGTTTTTTGTAGATATGAACTCGTATCTACACAGAAAACCACACAGCAAACACATCTAATTAACTGTCACATTATCATCCAACCGGTTTACTTCAAGTATAAATAAACAGGTAGAAAGGTGACAACTGAGTCTGGCTATTGCCATTAAAAAAAGAAAAAAAAAAATAACAATGGGGCATATATCAAGAGTAACCCAGATATAACAAGGTACATTAACTTTTAACAAACATACGCTATTGCCCAACAATAGCATTTGGCAGGAGTGAATGCCACAACACAACAGCATACAAACTTAGCAACAGTTCTGGGACAAATATACTGAAGGATTTTAAGATGTGTCATTTTATTTTTGTGAGACCAGTTGTTTTCTTGATTATGGGCTGGATATTGTTCGTACTCAAACAATAACAGGGGTCAACAGTCACGCCAACTCTGTTCAACAATAGCAGAAACCCTCTTCTCGTACTCCCGCTTGTTTTCCTGGTACAGCTGGGCTGCTTGGCTATTGGCTGGACTGTTTGGATTTGGCTCATCCAGTAAAGACTAAATATACAACAGAATGTCAGTGGGTTAGGTTTCTATTAATGTTAGGACAATCATACCATGTATAAATAACTTGATTGTTTACAAACATCTGTGGATATTATTTTGTATGTGTCACTACAAAACAGATTTTTTAAAAAATTGATTTGCACCGACACACAATGTGTTTATCTGCATCAAGAGAGATTACCTGTATTGAAGTTAAGATTGAAGAGACATCGTAAGTTGGACTCCAACGATTCTGAAGAATATCTAAGCATATGCTTCCATCTGCATACACTGTAAACAAGCATACAGAATATAAAGCTATTTTTAGACAAATGACTGGATGAACAGAATACAAGTCATTTTCCTGGGATAAATGATAAATGTAACTTTTTATTGCTACAAATGAAATTGTTTGTGTACTGTAGTTATCAACCCATGGCTAAGAAGTACATACCGTTCGGATGAAACATTTTGGAGACAAATCGCACTGTTGGAGGTTTATTTGGATATTCCTCTGTGAATTCAATGGTAAGTTTGAAGGTTCCTAGAAGCAAGACATGGCATATTGTGAGCTGAAATACAGTCACTAAAAACAGTGTGTTACAGTGATCTAACCAGTGGTTCTAAAACTTTTTCACATCAAGGACCCCTAAACTGACACAAATTAGACCCCCATTTGATAAGATTTTGTCCCAGGATCGCCCATCTGATTTGGCGTTTAGATGTTTTATTCCAGAAAATGTTTGAAATCCATGACCAAAATAGTCATGCATTCAGTCACTATGTTACTTATGGATGGAATTATAGTGAAAATAAATGATTTGCCTTTTTGCTGGGGACCCCCTCAAGGACCCCTGGAGTTCCCTGGGCCCCACTTTGAGAACTACTGATCTAACTAGAAAATGCATTTATCAATATGTCTGACTGGTTGTTTTGGTGATGTTGATATGACACTCAAAAGAAACACTAAATCATTTGTGTTAATCAGCTGCCAACTTGTGTGTGTGATAAAACAGATTCATAGTAGTGAAATAGTGCCTGTAAAAGAAAAGCTATAAAGAACTGTATTTAGAACAGTTCTTTTCACGGTCCACAGATGGTGAAGAAGTCAAATGTTTGCCTTCTTGGACAACTATGTGCCAGTCTTGGTTTTGTAGAACAATTTATCCAGTCCAGTGCAGTTAAGTAATTGGTTAAAACGTCTAAACTTTTTTGTAAACACAGACTATCTGATCAATGTAGGAGGCCTGATCAATAGTTGTTGTTTACTGGCAAAACAAACTCACCTTCAAGGTACCATCTAGAATCTACTTACATCCATACAACCCTATATGATCCAACTTCCAAAAGCCAATGCTTTTAGAGACGTAATGAATATTTTCTGAATTATGTCATAGCAGGTTTACATTGGCAAGATAAATTATTTGGCTAAAAAGAGCTAAAAGTAGGACTTACCATCTTCAAAAGGTGTTCCCTCCGGTCTAAAAGAAAAGTAACAAACAGGTTATAAATCAACTTGCAGAAAGCTCCTTTTATCTTTTCAGTGATAAAGCTGTAGTTTACTGACATAAACTGCAGCTTTATCACTTGTTTGACCTTCAAAAACAAGCAGTGAATACTTACTCAAAATAATTCATTACTAAAATCTCTAAAACCCCTCTATAGTAGTTTTAAACAAACCAACTTACCCAAAAATGACGGCGTTCCACACCATGATATTGTTTTCTGACGGGGCCCCACTAACTCCAGCTGGAGGATCCTCTTGCAGCCTGTAACACAGAGAAGTCAACGTCATTACTATTAGACATACTATATTATGCCCCTGATAGTGGTCAACAGGGCAGATAAGTAAATACTATTGAAACGTTTGAATGTACAAGTCAGCAGACAGCAAGGGTCTGTTGATCATGAAACAGGAATACAAGCCCAAAGTTGTATCTCTAAGCCAGGATAGCCAACATAATACAAACATTATTATACCAATAATTCACCAGGATATTTTTTTGTAAAATAATGACATCAATCATACTGTAATAATACTGTAAAATAAATTACTTAGAATAGTCTAGTCTAAAGTGGACTGTTCTAACATTACCTGAGTGAAAATTAACAATGATAATCCTAATTAATGTTTATTGAAGTTTTATCCATTAGTTATGTAGGTAAAAATAATACCATGAAGATTGATTCTGACAGTGGGCCAAGCAGGATTAGATCTTGGACGATGTGACCATCAGTACTGTTTAGTTGGAGCATTCTGTAGATCAGGGATAAGAAACCATGTGCCGTAGCCGACTGTACTGAGTGTCTGCAGGTTTTTATTGACTGCATGGCAGATGGTTGCTTATCCTCAGGCTTAGACCCGGGGCCCGGGGATAGGAGCTTCCTTAATCAGTGTGTATTTGACAGTGTACATCTACCCAAAAGTTTCATCTGGCTGTGCATGGCCATCTGGCCAAAGACTTGAACTGTATCCACGATAACCAGTTACAAATACAGCACAAATAAATCATATCTGAACACAGCCATTAACAATATCGGGGAGGGCTCGAGGAAAAGTGATTATGTTACATTTGATAATAAGTTGCAGTATTACGTTTTTGACATCTACGAAAGCGAGCATTAAGTTGCACAACATTAACTTTCCCCTCTTGGCTAATTGTTACCTTGCTAATGCTGGTGTCAGCGCTACATGCCAGTCACGTTAACAATTGTCGGTACCTGTCAATAGCTTGCCGGTCATTAATTTGTTCATACTACCCAAAATTTGCAACGGTTATAATCCGCCCGTGTCTATATGTTTATTTGTATTATTTGATAGTGGTGGTGATGAAGTTTAAATTGCCGTTTAAGCTAACGCTAACAAGCTAGCCTTACATTGCTAACGTTAGCTTTAGCTACTTCTCTGTTGTTTTCTTTTCGCTTACCGTTTAAAATCTCTCATTAAACGTCGTCTTGCTGGAGTTGACATCCTGTTTACACGGAAACCTAAACCCTTAACATACACGTAAGCAGCTCAAGTGTAATGATTTTTTTTTTTTACCGGTATATTATTTTAACTTCTTCCGACGATTGCTAGTTTGGCAAATATTTGGCTGCCTCTGCTAGTCTAAGGTCGCTTCCACTTACACCTGAAAGAGGACATTAACAGAGACATACTCTAAATTGGTGCGCTGTATAGCTACATAAACACAAACTAACAGCATCACTGTACGTGATTTTGTTAAATAAACATGCTTACTTGTGTGAACCAGTTTCAGTTTGTTGTAAATATAGCTAGAGTATTCTTTAGTTTGCGGGAAAGGACCCTATCGCTGCACTTGGATCATTCCAGCGAAACTGACGTCATGTGTTTAGCACCCATATTTAGTTTGTTGTTCGGAACACGGTAAAGAATGGTATGCTTTTAAGGTTTCATCCTTCCCTTCTTCCACTTATTCATTTTTAATTAATTAATTAATGTATCGATTAATATAATCCATATTCAGTCATTTACTTTAGGAATAACGTGACTAAAACAAGGTATTCATGGCTGACATCTGGTATTCAATTTACAGTAACGTTAAAAGACCACTAGATGGTAACGTTACCTAGCTCCCAAGTGTTGTACATTATATACCACAACAACCCCCGACACGAGCGTAACATGATTGCCTTACATGGAACTACCATGGCCACTACCGCTTGTGTGGTTGTCAAACCGCTGTAAAAACTTTTCACACATAAAATAATAAAAAAAACCATATAGTGTGACATTGTTAATGATAAAAATGGTTATTTCAAGAATTGTCGTGCCAGTCCCATATGGTCTAGCGGTTAGGATTCCTGGTTTTCACCCAGGCGGCCCGGGTTCGACTCCCGGTATGGGAACAGCTATTTTTGTCTATCACCGCAAATATTAACAGATAATAAATCATTGACCCAAGAACATACCGACATATGTAACATTTTAATCTCCACTGGGAGCACATAATAATTGACAAATGTTGAGTGTTTTCGACGGAGGTTATTTGATACAGCTATCACAACATAGACTCATCATTTCCAGAGAAGCTAGTGTAGCTTAGACCCCGCCCGTTAAAGAGTTATCCTCAATTGCTCTCATCTCACAAGGGCTTGGACATTCCCGGAAGATGTCCATTTCACACTTATCGTAGTCTAACGTAGTACAGGGGAACAAACTCGACTAATAACAAACTCCAACCTTAGCTCGTACAACCGAAATTTTTTCGTCCGCAACTTAATTTGAGTAAAGCGTATAGAGCTGTTGATAGACTGATAGCTGTTGATATTGCATGTAACGCCACACCTGTGACCGCGTAACGTTATGTTTACTAAACATTAAATCGACAACTGTCACTGTCGCTAAATACCAGTCTTTTTAACGATTTGCTAAAATCAAAAGCTGTTCCTTGGTTGTAGATTACACTACCCATGGTTACTAATATCGATTAAGAATAAATTATGTAACGTTATTGGTCATCATTGACTTTTTAAGGATTGGACGCGGAAACTTTTCCATCGCGTCTTTTAGTCCACCTTCGTACCTCGACGCTTTGGTCAATTGTAAAACCTGTCCTGGTTCCTTTTGGTCTCGCTTACTACTACTAGGCTGCAGCCAAACTTTGGTGCCGGGCCAATCATTTCACAGGAAAATGTGACTGCTAGGAATTCCCCACGCATCAGCCCCTGTTGGAGAAAACTGCAACCTTGTGTCAGGAAGCCCATGAAAGCAGCAGGAGGGTGAACTGACCGGTGACTGTGCGATGATGCAGCTTTAGTACCAGGGATAATAATGTTCTTCTAACGTCGCCTTGTTTCATGAGGACAGCCACTAACTGCCTACATAGAGCCAGGGAATATACTCTGCTGATGACAACTTCTATCAGGGTGAGTCCACTGAGTATCTTTAAAAGCATGTTTTATAGTTATTGTGTCCTTTCCTGTAACTGCAACTGTGTGGATATAATTTGAGTTCCCTGTGGAGGTATACAAAGTTTAGATTTTCCTCTTATTGGTGTTTTCATGAGTAATAATCAGGACTTTTAGCAGATAAATCCATGGGATAATATAGCAGTTTGTATACCAGAAGCCTTTTATTGCACTGTTCCTACACTCAGAAAGTTGTCAGACTACAACTAAAGAGGAATGACTGAACTCATACGATGTTAGTACTAGCCCTGCATGGATATATGACCTGCAGCTCTGCTTTGCCTACTACTCCATAGGTTTCTGTGACTCCCCTTTGTGTCAGTTAGCCAGCATGTGACTGCACTGTTGGTGTGTGTGGCTGTGAGTGTGTGTGTGTGTGCTGAAAGTCAAGGCAATTTAGTGCTGCAGAGATGCCCCTTTGACAATGCAACAGCTATACCATACTAATAATCCATTTGTTCACATCAGATAGCAGTTATAAGAGGAATGCTAGTGCCATTTTAAGTACTTAGTTGCGTTTTACTATAATTATTAGAGCTATAATACTAAAAGTTGTCCATAGTCAGCATTAACTCATGGCCCTGAGTCTGTGACACCAGGTGTGGCCTTGTCTAGAAGACATGGGGAATGTTAACCTACTGTTTATAACTGACCCCTCAACAATTTGAATATTGATCCATTCTGCCTCAGACTAGTTAATTGGTATTAGAGAAGAAATAATTAGTCAACTGACAGAAAATTAATCACAACAATTTTGATAATCGACTAATCATTTAAAGTATTTTTTTATGCATAAATGCTTGAAATGTAGTACTTGCAGCTTCTAAAATATGGATAATGGCTATTTTGTTTCAGTCTGCAATGGTAGTAAACTGATTTTTTTTGGCCTGTTGATTACAAAAAATAAGCAGTTTAAACATGTCAATGCGTGCTATGGCAAACTGTAATGGGCATTTTTTTACTATTTCTTGAAATTTTACAGAACACGTTGCAGCCCTGTTTGGCATGAAATTAAACTAATAAATAATGAAAGCTATGAAAAACTATTGCAGCCATTGATAATCTGACTCCACAGTCTCTCATTCTTTCCATTGAAGAAGCATCTGAGCATGAAAATATTCACTTAAATAGGAGGGAGTTGCTTTAGGAGTGAGTCTAAATGGTCATTGAGTTCCCTCGGAATATAAATTAATGTTATGTAAATATATGTCTGCAGTGCTTGAAAAAATTGATAAACCTTATTCTGTGGCAAAACCAAATGTTTGCCAGATGTTTACATTTTTGAGCTAAGATGCTTGTATCATGGGACAGACAAACACAATCTCATTGGTCGACTGCAGTTGCTCCCTTCAGAGGAGTTGGCTGTGACACAGAGGGAAGGGGAGAGTTACGAGCGTTTGGCTCGTGAGTCCCACTAGAGACGGGACTAGCTGGACCCACCAACCCTTCACCCACCCTTTCACCCCCTCCTCTACAGTCTTCCTATGATGGGAACACTGGCAGTGGCTTGTGGATAATTGGAAACTTCAATCCACTGAAAGCAATTATCCAGAGCAAGACTTTCCAAATATACTCCAGTGGGGAGTCGTCTTGTTTGTCTCAAGCACGGGTCCTTGTTTTAGAAACATCCTGCCATGTTTCTGCCCGTCCATTCAGCCTCTTTTGCCCCTTTCCTCTCTGGTTTGATAGCTTTGAGTGATACGGTCAGTTGTGTGTGTGTATGTGCACACTGCAGACTGTGTGGTTGAGGCTAAAGTAGTTCCCGGTAGTCTTCTTATCCTGTGACAGTGAAGGCACCATCAGCATTCTGAGCAGCTGAGGAGTGCGATGACAAGCAAGAACAACAATGGCGTGCTGTCCTGTGCTGTGCTCTTTTTAGTGACGTGGAGCTCATCACACACTTCTTCCTCTTGCCCAAGATGTACCCGCCTGCCTTAATGGGCTGCTGGATATTGATTCCGCTACACAAAAAGAAGATCTGAGCTTTTATCCTATTTAGGAAGCAGTACTCCAGTTACACAAAAGCTTTCAGAGTGGCCTTGCATGAGATGGAGAAGGGAATCCAACGGCTTTTTTTCTTTTGCAAGATGGCATATGTGGTGGTATGAAAACATCTTACTCCCTGTAACAGTGTTCAGAGATATTTGAGTATCCAGGAGCTAATACAATGTTGTTTTACCCAGAGTTTTATGTTCCCACACTTGCACCTACAAATAAAGCTTACTTTCTTACTAACTCCTGCAAGCTTTAAAGGAGTGTGATGACTGAAAAAAACACTTTACTGAAGCCACCTTGTTTAAGCAGTGACCCTTTCTTAGGTGTAAATTAGTGTAATTTGGTGCCTTAGAAATAACCACAAGATGGCAATGTTCATATGCTTTAACTAAACAAACAATTATGAGATGGCTGAAACCTCAAATGACTTGCAGAAATGCAGGAACTGAAAAGAGAAATAAAACTGTTAAACTTCCCTTTTTTCCGTGTAGAAAAATACCCCACATTGGCCTGTTTGCTGTTCAGGGAACTGCTGTTCGCAAAGTTCCTTTATTGTACACTACTCTTTTACCACCCCAGGCTTCTGACACCTGAATATCACCTTGTCAGTAATGTTTGATTGCTAGGCAGCAGTAAACCGCCGCCATTGGACATGACGTCAGAGAGAAATTAGAGACAAGGGAAATTCCACCTGTAACCTCACTCGGCTCTCATGCTGCCTGTCTCACAAGCATGTGACTTGGACGAGTCATCGTGCCTTGGTTTCTCCAAGGATCTGTGCATTGTCATGATGTAATGCAGGCATACAGTCAAACTATTTTTAGCATAAAAAAGAAAACAGCTTGAACTTTGACCGTTACAAGTTTGTAGTTCTGATATAAATGCGATTGTAAAGGTTAGTTTTGTGCAATTAGTCAGACTTAAATATTCAGGAGGTGGACAATAAATTGATAAAAACCATACAAACAAAATAAGTGCTATTATGATGCACAGTTTTAATACTGTCTTCAATGATTGGATAATTTGTATTCCATAATAATAAAATTACAAATTGAGAGAAGACTCAGAATAGAGTAAAAGCCTTACAGTTTTCCTTTAAGGAATAGCTCGACATTTTGGGAAATACGTTGTATGGCTTTCTTGCCTAGAGTTAGATGAGAAGACTGATTCCACTCTCATGTCTCATGTCACGATCTGTACACTAAATATGAAGCTTCTGCTAGCTGCTGTTTCATGCAGACATGAAACTGGAGAAAGGACTGGAAACAGGAGGAAACAGCTAGCCTGTCCAAAACTAACAAAACCTGCTTGTAAACCCACAAATTGTTGTTTTTACACTCCAGTTGTTGTACAAATTAAAATAAATGGTATATAATGTATAATTTAGTGATCTTTACAGAACCAGGCTTGCGGTTTCCCCCTTTCCAGTCTTTATGCTATGCTAAGCTAACCGGCTGCTGGCTCTAATCTAATACTTGGCTAAAAACCGAGTAAGTGTATTTTCCAAAATGTCAAAATAAAACGAAATATTTCAATAAGAAATCAAATTAGCTTACATTCATCTGAAAATGTTGAAATCCTTCAGAGAAAGTAAGAAAAGGTCATGCTATGATGTTTTGTCTGCAGGGAGAAGTACTGTAGGATGAATATGAATATATTGTGTCCACTCTTGCAGCATGTTGACATCATGAGATTAGTTAACCACATTGCTTGGGTATTTTTATGGTGTCCGCTGAGGTCCCAATAAGCACAAAGTGTAGTAGCTGATGTTTGTGTAATTACATAAAGGAGTGCTGGCTTGGTTTGTAATGTTCTAGCTAACTGTAGCTAATACACACAAAGTAGTTCCTCACAGAAATAGAAACGGGCTCTGCCTGCAACTTCAGTGCATAATGATATTTCATCATCGTCATTTTTCATGTCTCTTAGAGCTAATGAGGTTGTAGTGAGTGGTTCACGGAGGCCTTTCATGAGTCAGCTCTGCCACCGGTGGTGCTTGGATTCAAACAGTGAGCTTTGCCCGAAGAAAGCTGAAGGATCTTTCCTCATTCAACTTTCGACAGACTCAACAAATGTGACTAATCTAAGCGAAGTCAGCGTTGACAGAATTTGCATGAGCTCTAATCCACTGAGGAACAGTTGTCTATCTTCACCATCAGTACATTTTGTTTGTTTTTTAGTTTGGGTTAATTTCAGAGTGACAGGTAGTCCACAGGCTTGTTGAATTATTTAATTGCATGCAGCCAGTGGGTATTATAATCTAGGCCCTGAGTGACAGAGCAATATGCTCTTAGGGCCTCATGGCATTTTATTAATAATGAGTTTGCTGGCTGTTAGCACACACTGGAGCAGACGTGCTCTTAGCCCTGAAATAGCTGTTGTGACACAGATGGACTTAAAACCTCAGTTATTGTTTATGATAAGATGTCTGCATGAGAAAAAAACAGTTTTGTGGTAAGTGATGTGACGTAGCAATGAACAATTTCCGCTGGTATTTGACTGCAGGTTATAGCCCATAGAGGTGGATGTGGATGATCTGGATTGTTGGCCTGCTCTCTGCATTTGATAGTAATTGAGTTGCAGTTTATATGTGTTTATGTGGAGTCAACAACAGCTAATCCTTGCATATCTGTTTGGCTACTGTATGTTGCATTTTTATGCTATCGTTTGGTTTATTGGGCAACCCAACCAGAAGATGAGTTGAATGCAATGGGAACGCTACCTAAGCCCCAGTACATACAAGGGGGCTAACAATCGATCAAATGCGTTTTTCTTTCAGCTCATAAATAGATATACTGTTTTGGTTCAGTTTCAGGGCTCTCATCAACACCGTTTCCAGAGTATTTAGCAAGAAACTCTGCTTCACACTACTTGCCTAGTACCAAACGGAAGACAGGTTACACAGTTAGTGACTAGCTGGTCAACATAGTGGAGCATTTAGCAGCTGAAGAGCCAGACATTTC